TTCCTGTTTTTACAATAGCCCATGCATTAGGTAGGTTGATTTAGAAATTCGGATGACTTGTGTATCCATCAATTTATTCGCCGTTGATAATAGGTTCATGCACAAATCTCTCTTTAGTGTTTCCTTCTTGCCTTAACTTTTTTTGTTTAGAAAAATTACATTTAGCTCACAAATCAAATTTGTCACTGCATAAATAGATTACATGACGTTATTTGTTACAAATTTAGTCCTCGTTAGTCTTTATAATGTGGTTTTGTTAGTTTGAATCTTTCTAACTTTTAACTTAAAAAAAAAGGAGAGAAAAAAAAAATATCAAAAAAAAAAAGTACCTCGTTTAAATGCAAACAAGCAAAATAATTATTCACAATCATGTAGTAACATTTAAAAGATTATAGATATTGGAAGGAAGTTTTCCCACATTTGAATCAATTTCAAATTTTGACACATGGTAACAAAACAGTATCAAATCATTCCAACTTTCCAACAATCAGTTTAAAAGTTATGACAAATTTAGTAAACTAATATTTTTTCGCATAGAAATAACACAACAAGAGAAATGAGGAAAAAAACAATGTGGTCGACCATGACTAATGTAATCGACTGGGAACAATGTGATTAGATGATGATGATGATTATGGATAGATCATATTAGTTATTTTACTATGATGATAGATCGATACCATTAGCACAAACCAATATATATATATATATGGACATATACTAATGTCATGATCTTCTAAATTTTTTAAAAATCCATCTAATTAGTTCCAAATTTGGATAACAGCAATTAACACATGATAATTCATCACAAAGGCTTGAAAGAAAACAATCCCCCCAATGTACTTTATAATCACGAGAAATATTAAAAAAAAACAGAGTAGAATATAACGGTAATCCAAATCTACACCACAAACACAAAAACACATGAACTACTCATATAATAATGGATAAATAATTTATTAAACTATTTCACTAATGTGCATCAATCCCTAAAAGTATGCCACCAGTAATCATAACAATAAAAATGATTCAAAGAGACGACAGAGAAGAAATTATTCTTGTAGATCTTATAATATAAATGATTAATAACCATAATAATACTTATAACAATAATAATTTCAGTAAACTCCAATAGTATATCATCAACAACATTTTGCAAAGAAACTGTTGTGTAAAAGATAATAATAAAAATAAAAAAGCAAAATCAATCTATTCAAAAATCTAATCCCATCTAATGTCTCTCTCCACGCACAAAAGGTCTAAAAGCCACACCACACACATCAGTCACCAGACGTAGCAGAGAGCCTCACTGCTGCAGAGAGCACTCAGTACTGTTCTGTTTCTCTGATACCTCTTCTCTCTCCTCTCTCTTTAAATCAAAACTTTTTTTAGTTTCTTTTCTTTAATTTCTTGGTTTAATATAGAAAACCCTTTTTTTTTTTTTTTCTCCACGGCTTTAAGACTCACTCATCACTGTGCTACTACTCTCTCCTCTTTTGGCTGAGAGGGTAAAAGTCATGAAGAAACTCCTCTGAATTTTTTTTTTGTTATAAGAAGAATAAATCTCTTATCTTTATCTCTGTTTTTCTCTCTTTAATGGGTGGTTTAATCGATCTGAACGTGATGGAGACGGAGGAAGACGAAACACAAACGCAAACGCCGTCTGGGTCTGTCTCGCCGACTTCGTCTTCTTCAGCAGCGTCTGCGTCTGTGGTGTCTTCGAGCTCTGGTGGAGGAGGGGTTTGTTTGGAGCTGTGGCATGCTTGTGCTGGACCCCTTATCTCTCTACCAAAAAGAGGAAGCCTTGTGTTGTATTTCCCTCAGGGACATTTGGAACAAGCCCCCGATTTCTCCGCCGCTATTTACGGGCTACCTCCTCACGTGTTCTGTCGTATTCTCGATGTTAAGCTTCACGTATGTAACTAACTCTCTCTTTCTTTCTTTCTATTTTTTTGGTTTTGTTTTCTACATTTATGTTTTCTTCTCTGCTCTCAAAGCAGAGTTATGGGTTTTGTTTTGTTTATCTGATTCTTTGATTTTTTTTTTCTGTTTGGTGAATCTGAGTTGGGTTTTTCGATACAGGTATGGAGATTTGTGCCTTTGGTTTATTCAATTGTTTGAGACAAACGAATTTATGTTGGGAGAAACTGAAAAGTTTCCTCTTTTGCTCCATTTGCATTTCTTCTTGTGGCATTTTGATGACGAACACTTGAAAACCCCAAAAATTGTCTGCATTTTTTTTTGTTTGGTGCTTATGAATTTGATTTCAAAGTTTCTCCTTTTGCTTCATTTTGATGGCAATTGATTACAGAACATTGGGAAATCCTTTAAAAGGTTTTTGTTATGAGGATTAATAAACAAAATGTGGGGGATTTTGATTTCGTAGGCAGAGACGACTACAGATGAGGTTTATGCTCAAGTCTCTCTTCTTCCTGAGTCCGAGGTGAGTGTTTTTCTTTAGCTCTCGAGTCGCGGAACAGGAAAAAAGCATAATTGGTTGAGCTTAGAGATTTTGAGTTGATTGTTACAGGACATTGAGCGGAAGGTGCGTGAGGGAATAATTGATGTGGATGGTGGAGAGGAAGATTATGAAGTGCTTAAGAGGTCAAATACTCCTCACATGTTTTGCAAAACTCTTACTGCTTCTGATACAAGTACCCATGGTGGCTTCTCTGTTCCTCGCCGAGCTGCTGAGGATTGCTTCCCTCCTCTGGTACTAATCCACTCTCTTTAGATTCTGTTGTAAGACTAGTCAGCTTTGTACATTGCACATTGTGTTCTAGTTGTTCTTTTATTAGCTCATAGTGAGAGATTTAAGTGCATAGTCATTTTGTTATGTAGGACTATAGCCAGCCCCGGCCTTCTCAGGAACTTCTTGCTAGGGATCTTCATGGCTTGGAGTGGCGATTTCGCCACATTTATCGAGGTACGTTTGTTGCCTTATGTTTCTTTTGCTCGCATTGAGGTAGGAGATGGAAATTTTGAATGGTTTGAGTGTCTTTTAGGGCAACCTAGGAGGCATTTGCTCACTACCGGGTGGAGTGCATTTGTGAACAAGAAGAAGCTTGTCTCTGGAGATGCTGTGCTTTTCCTTAGGTAGTAAAAAAAGCTTCAATGTTTTCTCACTACATAACCTCTTTGATATCCTGTAAGAGGTGATATATGGGTTTCCCTGATATAGAGGTGATGATGGCAAACTGCGACTGGGAGTTAGAAGAGCTTCTCAAATCGAAGGCACCGCTGCTCTCAGAATATGAACCACAACAATTTCGCTGAAGTAGCTCATGCCATATCGACCCATAGTGTTTTCAGCATTTACTACAACAGCATTTACTACAACCCCAAGTAAGCTCCAACCACAATGACTTTAAAATTTCATTTCAGAATCATAATTGGCATCTCCCAATTGGTATCTCCCGAGGCCTTAAGTTGTGTATTGTTCTTTTTAATTGTTCCTTAGAAGCTTGTTTAGAACCAAGTTTCAGTAACATCCAAGAAATGCCTCCTAAGAATTTAGCATTAATGTTCACTGGAATTGCATTTGGTAAAACGTTTTCAGGGCAAGCTGGTCAAACTTCATAATCCCTGCACCAAAGTTCTTGAAGATTGTTGACTATCCATTTTGCATTGGTATGAGATTTAAAGCGAGGGTTGAGTCTGAAGATGCCTCTGAGAGAAGGTGACTTATAATTCAAGCTTTAAACTAACCTTGCCACACCTTTATATGCCCATCTTTCTAAAATGTTTCGCCTGTGTTGTCAGATCCCCTGGGATTATAACTGGAATCAGCGACTTGGATCCTATCAGGTGGCCTGGTTCAAAATGGAGATGCCTTTTGGTAAGCTATGAATTATGATATTTTAAAAAGTCACTAGCTTGGTTTGAGAGGTCACCTATTAGATTGTTGCTTGTTTTATAAATATCCCATAAGCTTGGTGCTAGCACTGAAACTGTGTTTTGACGTCATATTCAGGTAAGGTGGGATGACATTGAGGCAAACGGGCATCAACAGCGTGTCTCACCATGGGAGATCGAACCATCTGGTTCAATCTCCAATTCAGGCAGCTTCGTAACAACTGGTCCCAAGAGAAGCAGGATTGGCTTTTCCTCAGGAAAGCCTGACATTCCTGTCTCTGGTACATATCTACTTGCCAAAACACATCCTACTGCTTACATAATCTTCTCTTGCCTAGTCTTATGTTTTCATTGTTTTCTGCTACTGTTTCAGAGGGGATTCGCGCCACAGACTTTGAGGAATCTTTGAGATTCCAGAGGGTCTTGCAAGGTCAAGAAATTTTTCCGGGTTTTATCAACACTTGTTCGGATGGTGGAGCCGGTGCCAGGAGAGGCCGCTTCAAAGGAACAGAATTTGGTGACTCTTATGGGTTCCATAAGGTCTTGCAAGGTCAAGAAACAGTACCCGCTTACGCAATAACCGATCATCCGCAGCACGGGTTGAGCCAGAGGAACATTTGGTGTGGGCCGTTCCAGAACTTTAGTACACGTATCCTCCCCCCATCTGTGTCATCATCACCCTCTTCCGTCTTAATAACCAACTCAAACAGTCCTAACGGACGTCTAGAGGATCATCACGGAGGCCCAGGCAGGTGCAGGCTGTTTGGTTTCCCGTTAACCAACGAAACCACAGCGGTTGCATCTGCGACAGTTGTCCCATGTGTTGAAGGGAATTCCATAAAAGGTGCCTCAGCTGTTCAAAGCAATCATCATCATTCGCAAGGAAGGGACATCTATGCAATGAGAGACATGTTACTAGACATTGCTCTCTAGGGTTCTTTGGTTTCTGTGTGTTTTATTTGCTTGTGACATAAGTAAAGTTCTTGTTTTTAGTTGATTTATTATGATTATGACTTGGTGTTCACTTTCGTTGCAAGGATGGTTTTTATTAGGTTTATAATTTAAAAAAGTATTTGCACTTTTTTAAATTGCACAATACCGGTTATTTCCGGTTCAATTCGTAATTCCAATTTAACCGTAAAGGAGTCCGGCATCGTTATCTCTCTATCTGCCACTAACAGAAAACGTAATCCAAGCCAATGGAGGAGACGACATGGGAACAGAGATTACAAGCGGTGACACACATACTCACAAACCCGACAACGAAACCATCACTTCACTCCCAATTCTTCATCGGAGCCCTAATTCCAAGCTACATCTCGTGGGATTACCCTCCGATATATTCGCCGACGCATCTCCGTCAATGGTGGGTTTCTCAATTCTTCAAAAGGGTATCAAGATTCGGACTTCCTGATACTTCTTGGAGGTCGAATTGTCCGTATTATCAGCCGCCGGCGGCGGTTATGGCCGTCGGACTTGAGGAAGGGAAATGGGGGAGAGAAGAGAGGAGAGAGTATGCGAGGAAGAGGTTGACGAGGAAGAAACTGGTGAATGAAGTAAATCCATATATTCCTCTTTTAGTTCCGAATTTGCTTTTGTTTACGCTCTTGTTATGGGATCCTCTTCCTGAGTAAGCAACTTGTGTGTTTTTTGATTGAAGAAGAAGAGGAGACATAAACTCAATTAAATAACCGGCCCTATCGAACCGGTAATATGTATGGTTTTCTTATTTGGTTTGATTTTACCCGGTTTGGTTTCAAGGGTTTTCCGTTTGGATAAGTAGCAACATTTGTCACATTTACCATTTAAGAAACCCAACTAGAGAGAGTTATGGGATTTGTTTCTTTGTCCTTGTTTAAACTTTAAAAGGTTCGGTGGTGATGTTTGTCAAATTTGTCGCAAACAACAATAAATGACTTTGATTGGTGGTAGTATATATATATTTTGGTTAAGAATGTAAAATTTTCATAAAAATGAAAACGCTTTAGATTTACAATCGATAATTATAGACCTACATAAATGGTCCCGTGACAAAAATTAAAACATGGAAGTATAATCTACAAACAAGAATTTGGTCCATCCACTCAACCAAAGTGGTGAAGCTCAGGGCCGGTCTTAAACTTATAGAGGCCTAAAACATTTTTAAAAATGTGGCCTTAATATTTAAGGTACCAAATTTATTTATATTTAACTTTATATATTTTTAATATTAGTTACATTGTATACAAAGTAAAATGAATTTTTTTGAAAATGATAAGATCTAAATTTTTTTTTTCAGAGAATATGTTCAAACCTATATTTTAACAAAATATACTTTTAAAAATATGAGAGAAATTATTTAATACCTCATATGGTTCAAATTTTTTTTTATTTTAGTTATATCTAATTAGCTAACAATTATAAAATCTTGATATAAACAGATGTGGAGAATTCTTCCAAGTTTTGTAATATTATTATAGGTTTTTGAGAAAATATTTAAGAAATTTAGATTTTTTTTTTTTTTTTTGACAGCAATAAATTTAGAATGTTAGGAGTTAGAAAAAAGAAAGTTATTGTAGAAGAAATAATAATAAGGGCCACATATGTAATATAAAACAAAGTAAAGTGATGTAAAGACAGAAAATGAGCTGTCTAACTTTGTCCAAAAAAATCAATTTGTCCAAAAAAAAAAAAGACATGTCTAACTAATATGTTTCGAACTTGGCTGGTGACTATTACCTAAGTGCACGACCATTTTAGTTAAATGTGGCCTTATAATTGTTTAAATATAATGTGGCCTAAAGCCAATGCTTCATCTGCTTTACCATAGGGCCGGGCCTGGTGAAGCTATAGAAGTTAGATGAAGTGATGACGATTTCGATTGTTCTTTCCAGATTTGATGTTGAAGATGAAGGACAACTGCAAATATATCTTGAGAATAGTATGTTGTCGAGTGGTGCTATTTTTTTGGATGGAATGGATTAATATTTCTTTTGGATTGTAGGTTTAAATGGTAATGGTGAAATCTTAAGGTTAATAAAATATGACAGAGAAATATTGATAATGGTATTGTAGGTTAGCTAATTAGCATAACAACTGAAATTTTAACGGAAAATAATGGGAAATGATCAAGTAAAAGAACTAAAATGATCTATGAGGATGATTACCAAGCAGACTAATAAAGAGTGTGCATGGACGCATATGGTGAATCTAGTGTTTGTGAGTGCTTCCTGTCTCTACAAAAAAAAAATAGAAAACTCCCGATTTTAGATCCCATATAAATGAAGTTCAAACTTGTATTTGTAAAACTTCTCATCACATGTTTGAATACACCAACAGTAATTAGTGTACATGGTTGTCCTTTTTGCACCATAGATTTGACGTGCTAATCTTCATATACATGTACCAACGTGTAGTGGCATAATTATGCAATGTTTAATTGATGGATGTATCAATAATTATGCAATGTTGCGAGAATCAGTGCTTTGTAGTCGCTTCTCTATCATTTACTATCTCTTAAACCCACCGACCTCATTAGTTAGTTCCAACTGCAAGTTATGCCACCCTCAGTGTACTTTGACAAATCTAACGAATGTGGTTAATCAACCTTTGCGCGCTTGTATGGTTTGTGGGTCTAATCATAACCAAATCAAACTTTTTAATCAATAATCTTGCTTTATTTTCTACCTAAAAGATTTGTGGAGCCGTTTATTCGTTTTATTTTTCGGCAGTTGAGATCTATCTTAATATTGTCTGAAAAGGAGAAAGTACCAACTCTCCCATACTCACATTAGTCAATGTTGCTTGAAATTTCTTAATGCATTTATTTGTTTTAGGTAAAATATTTAAGAATTACGAACGAGCTATGTTCGCCTATTTATGGATCAGCATTACTCGATGTTAGTGAGAATCAGACCAATCTTCTTAAATCCGGTATATTAAAAGAACAGAAGAAACTGATAAACAAATCTTTCACTTTGGCCAAATATAGGGCAAATGATATTTAGCGATTGTTCAATAGTAAATCATGGCTTGTAGTGTTATATGATTTGGTTGTGGTCTTTGTGGATGTGCAACTGTATAGTTTAAGTGAAATGTTATGTGTTCGAAATTTCAGGTAATAATTTTAACTAAGACATTAAACAAAGAAAAAGATGAATAGTAGACGCAAATCAGTTGGGTATTTTAAGCCTAACACTTTGGAAAAAAAAAAAAAAAAAAAACGTAGAGGCATGCTTAGGCTCGGAAAGCGTATGGTATCGGTGTGACGGTTTCCCTATAGTGGCTACCCCCAACATCTCTCGTCTCCCATTATTACCCTGCCATTGCAATTTCACTTACTCCCCCTCTATTTTTTTTGTCAACTAATTTTCTTTTTATTGGTTGACAAAAAAGAAAAAACAAATTGCCTTTTATTGGTCATTAATTCAACTAAATTTCTTCTTCCATTAGGAACTGTAGTTAGTTACTACTATTGCAAAAAAAAAGGGGTATGATTATCAACATTTTGGATGCATGGAAATAAACACTATAAACTTAGCTAAACTGAGAGAACGTATACGTTGGATCATAGTTATCTTTGGAATAGAGCACTATGCATGCATACTAAGACTCCATATGGTATGCAAAAGGTTTGCTTAGACCATCTCCAACAATAGAGTATTAAGTTGGGGTTCTTATGACACGACCCTAAATCTGAGAAAGAAGAAAAAAAAGAGAAAGAAGTCTCAAGAAAGAAGAGATTTTTCTTTTTTTAATAAATCTGCTTTCCACCAATTAAAATGTGACATAACACCAGTTCTTGTGGGGCCACTAGTTCTTATGGGGTTCTTTAGTCTCTTAATTAATAAAGAGCTACATATGAGAAGCACGTTGCGGATGCTCTTATGTATATACTAAGGCAGAGTGTACCAAAGTAAACTAGTACAAAATTGCACTATTGTTTTTTTGCTAATCCAGTAAATATCATATAAAATGAAATTGTTTGGGTTTATATGTTGATTACCTAAGCTTTTGGTTGCACAAAATTGCACTACTGTTTTTGGTATGTTTCTTCCGTATTATATAAGACATGTGTTATTGGAGAATAACCCTTTTTGGATGGGAAAATCTCATTAAGCCATTGATTTTTGTTATTTTTAGTGTTATTACGTGTAGAATGTTTCGCCAAGTGAATCACTTGCATATAATTAAACACTACTACAGTACCTACATACTACAACCCCATTTTTTTAGAGCATGGTACTCGTGTTCATTGTCCATAAGTGTTTTAACAAAAACTCACAAGACGAGGTATTAATATTTCATCTAAATTTGCTTAATTAGTTACCATTTTCTGATAAGATAATTACATAGGCGCCCAAAAAGTCGAGCTACCTCTTTGAAAAAATCCTCTCATCTCAATAGACCCGCCATCAACCATTATCACCGATCCACTCCTTATTTCCACCTAACCATTTACACTCTATATACTAATCAAAAGGAAAAAAAACCTTTCCTATATATAAACAATCCCACTCTCTCTCACAAACCCACAACACTCACATCACCATGGGGTTTTCCACTAGCTCATGTCTCTTCTTCTTCTTAACACTTGTTCTTTTCTCCACCCAAATCGATGCAAGAGACAGCTACTCATTTGGCAAGTTCCAAAGAGAAGATCCCAAAGAGCAAAACCCTAACAATCTTGTCCCTATCCAAACCAACGAGAAGAAAGAGCCAGATGACCAGAACCCTGCCTTTATCCCCCAGTCCGAAAACGGGTACGGCTTGTATGGTCACGAGACAACCGACAACAACAATGAAGAGTTGAACAGTAACAAGTACGAGGATAACGTTAACTACGACGACTCTTTCTCCACCCCAAGCCTAAGCGAAGCGGCCCAAACGCAAGAATCTTACAAAAACTACAGAGAGAGCTATCCTAAGACTACCGAGATTTACGACAACAACAAAGACACGAGCTACTACGAAAACTCAAATGCTTACGGGACGGATAAGAGAGAGGAGGCGTACAAGGGTCGTTATAACAACAAGGACACGAGCTACTACGAAAACCCTAATACTTACGGGACGGAGAAGAGAGAGAAGGAGGCGTACAAGGGTTATAACAACAACGTAGAGAGACAAGGCATGAGCGATACGAGGTATATGGCGAATGGTAAGTACTACTACGACCTTGATGACGACAGAAACCACGGCCGTTTCTACCAGAATCATTACTACAACTACAAGCCAACCGGTTACAATGAGAAGAAATCCAACTTCAAGAATCCATACGATTCCAACCAACAGTCCGAGATGTACGGGGAAGAGCAAGGAGATGAGTTCACTCCATGAGCATGCCCACATGAAACAAAAATAAGTATTTGCTTTTATGTTTTCGATTTTTGTTTCAAATGGTTTAATTATCTGTCAAAAGTCTAATTGTTTGCATATAAAATTTGGAAAAAATAAAAATATTATAGATATGGTGATGCTTGTTATGCTAATGTTCTGATGATGGTTCATTCAATCTCTATTCTTCTTAATTTATATAGAGATTAAAAAACAAAAAGAATAAACACGATTAAGCAAAATTAATCTTTTGCATCATGTACAAGAAATATAAGAACTAATATCGATTAGTCAACAATTAGTTTGCGAATCTGCGACTGCGATAGAACCTTTAATCAACACATAGTGAAAACCATGGTGGCCACCAACTACAGATTTGTATAGAATTTATGACATATCGACTCTCTAAAAATTAGATTCCATATTAATATTTGAACAAATTATTCTTTTGATTAAAATTCTCTTAAAAAAAAAAAAGGTGTTGAACGTGTCACGACTTCTAAAAGTTCCAGTACGAAAAGTCAACAGCTCAACAGATTTTCTTTGACCCAAACAAAATCCCTAAACCCAGAAAAAACCCTAAATCCCAAATCCAACGAGAATCGGAAACTTTCCATGTCCACCGCCAGATCCGTCCTCCGTTCCGGTGTTAGCCGAGCCGTCGTTGCCGCATTGAGGTCGACGAAACCTACGCCGTATTCTGCGCGGTCTTCGTTTAAGTTGCCTAAACAGAGCCCTCTCTCTCACCGCATTTTCAGGTAAACATAGAGCGAACCTCCGAAACATCGATTAACTCAAATTTGATTATCCATTGTGAAATGTGTTAAAGGTCTCCGGTGGAATTGAGCTGCTGCGTCGAGACGATGCTTCCGTACCACACGGCCACTGCTTCTGCTTTGCTCAATTCGATGCTCTCAGTTTCAGGGCGCTCCATTTGGACTCTCCAAGGTACTTCGAAGGAGAAGGCAAAGACTTTAATGTCTTAGCCAATTTTGTTTCATTTTCTCGTGATTTGATACCTAAGTAGCTGTTTTGGTGAAACTTGTTGTTGAAGATAACTGTATCCTTCAATTTGTTGTTCTTCCTGTTTATCCATCATATGCTTGCGTATCTATCTCTAGTCGTAAGGTTTGTGTCCATTAGGTGTATAAGTTGGTATGTTACTTTTGAAGGTTGTTGTGTTGGTCTTAAAAGGTTATGTGCAGTTATAAATGGAGGTTTCTTTCTATAGATTGATGAATTTCAGTTAATTCTGTAATTCTCTGCCATTGATTGCCCGCTTGGTTTACTAGTTCTGTTAGGCTCTCTCTTGTTTAGGTGGAGCCTTGTTTACAATTAAGTGACTAAATCACAGCCTTACCTGTGTCATGATTCGACAAATCTTGAACCAGATTTCAAATGTCTTGCATGTAATGAGAATCTCAACTTTTTCTTTTGTCAAGTTGATAAAAAGGAGAATGATCTAGAGTGGTGTAAGCTATTTTTATCATGTGTTCTTCTTGGAGTTAAGTCTTATATATAAAAAGGGGAAAATCTTAATGTGTGCATTATGCCCTGTAGTGTTTTAGATTATGATAGTGTTTCACATGAATAATAGAAACTTTCATGAATCCTGCAACACTCTTTGCTCCCTCTTATCACATGAGCTTATGTTTTCTGGATACTGATATGATGTTCTATTTGCTCAGATTGCATTGATGATGCATGATGAATCTCAAATGAAGAGTGCAAGAATGGATGCAGTTCGAAGCAAGGTGATGAAGTGACGGTAGTCGTGTCATGTTTCGTCTTAGGTCATAAGATTCGTCTTATATTCATGCATGACCAACCGGTTCAGTAACAGTTATTACTTGTTAACAAAATCTGACAACTTAAACCCCAACTCGATCTTCGTTTTTTTGGTGGGTGTTGCACAATCAAAATTTCAGAACTTAACTTATATCAAAAATGGGTATTGGAATTGCAAGACATATTTTGGACACAAAACTTTTCACCAATTTTTTCATTAACCTTCTCTTCAAGGACCATACAAAAGCATCCACAGCTGAAAGCGTACATACCGATAATACCAAACCCGAGATCAACACAAATCAACCGGTAGATAAATATAGCAAACTTGCAACGTCATAAGATAAATATATTTAACCCGCACGGTGTTCACCCCAAAACAAAATTCATTGTGGCGCTTGATATATCACCTATTAGAGACATGGGGCCAGAGATCATTCCTCAACGACATTGACGAGCTCATACTCCACTAGGGACAAATTGTTATCCTCTTTAACAGTAATGTCAGCAGGTTCAGTGACCTCGATGCGACCCCATTTGTCAACAGCAAGCCTCATTGATCCCTTGAACATATCTATCTTTGCATTCCGAAGATTCACACTAGCTCCTGGTTTCATCAAGTCCACTGAACCCACAAAAGAAAAACCAAGAAAGACTTGTATTAGCCCCCAAAAAGCTAAGTGATCCACTATGAATCACCAATTGAATATCAGAGCTGAGTAGATCCTGTCTTTAATCAACAAAATCTATAATTGTAGAAAACATCAGATCAATGCCAGTTCCAGTAGAGAAGCTTCAAGTATCTACACTGTTTTGAAGCTAAAATGACGATTTAAAAGCATCAAATCTTCTATCTATGAACAAATTTGGAATGTGATCAAATCTTTTATCAGCGATTGAGAGATGAAATTACAGTCCAGATTCCAACAGACTAAGAAACTCCACAGGATCGTTAAGGCTCTTCGAGAGATAATTCAAAAACAGAAATTAACACACGGAATCGGATTAACTCACCTTGATCGTTGCGAGCAGTGAAGAGGATGCAAGCAGTCTCATCTCCAACGAGACACTCAGAGATCCGAGCAGGTCGGATGTGAGAAGAAGCAGCTCCAGGCTTTTGAGGAACGGAATTCTGATCGACGACTTTAACGGTCAAAGTGTGGCCGCTTGTTCCTGGTTTAAGCTGATCTACCTTCACGAACACTGGTTTCTTCTTCTCTTGCGGCGTCTGTTGTTGTGGCTGATTCTGAGAAGTTCGCGTTGACGATGACGGAGGCGGTGGATTTCTTCCCTGACGCCGCGGTGGAGGTGGTCCGTTTCTTTGCCGTGGTCTATGTTGGAAATTGTCGTTGCTGGTGTTTGACGCCATTGGGACTGGAGAAAATCTCGGTATGTGAATTCTTCTTCGATCTCTAGAAGAAAGCCCTAGATTAAAAGACTTGTGAGTCTTCTTCTTCTGATGGTTCTTTTTAGTGGAATTTAAGGAGCTCCTTTTTTTTTTTCTACAAAGGAAAAGATAAAAGTTTGAGGCAGCCACGTCAATCTAAGACCAAAGTAAACAAATTATTGAGTTTCTGAGATTAAACGTTGAATTTCTCAAATAATCTTTTTCTGATAATGTTTGTGTCACTAAAGTTTCTTTCAAAATAAAAAAAATATTTTGTAGCAGAAATATCGACACGATTATCATAAAAGAATGTATTTTATTGACCACAAACATTGGTAATTGTAGTAAGTAGCATCTGATATACCAAATAAACAAACTCCAGGAGTTTTACAGTGTGTTTTGGTAATAATAGCTTTCATAAAGTGAGAGAAAGCTTTGTCCAAACAATGACACATTCTGGCTCTGTAATTTTATCTGGTGACTCTGTAAGCCTACACAATACAAAACCAAAGGAGTGTGAGAGATTTCTTAAGGAGTATGATTAGCATAACCGGAAAAATATTATATTTTTGTTACCTTGATCTGTTTGAGCAGATTCTTGGCCCGTGCGTCTGTTTTGAAGTGATCACGAACAGGCTGCGATATTGTTAAGGAGGTTAATGATTCTGTTGTAGAATCCAAAACTACTAAAACGGTTTCCCGAATAATTGTTTCTATCTTTTTTTCTAGTATCAATCATTAGGGACGTGAAGCTCTAACATAATGAAAGTTTTACTTACTTGCAAGATCTTATTCAACGCATTCATCAGGCCTTTCTTTAGATCCCCAGGGTGCAACTCTCCGCTCTCATATTCAGCAGCAATCTCTTCAAAGCTTTTGTAGGTCCTAACATTTGGTAGAGTTTCAACAGCAGGATGTAGCGACATGTATGTAATACGATTACAGTAATCCTTATTGGATTCTAATCCACAAACTGAGCAAGAAACTCCGGATGTAAAAGAAAAAGAGCAAGAACTCACTTGTTACCGCCATATTCTTCATTTCGCTCAACTGTGAACTCATCAAACCACGGTAGAATGATGTATTTAATGTATTCAAGGCATGGATTGCCTTGCACAATTTTTGGAGGACAGTAAGCTTTCTTGATCTTTACATTAACTTCAGCCTGAGGATGACAAAACATTCAAAACTAGTTAATAACTGTAAAAATTCTTCTCTACTTTTGTAAACTATAAAAAGTGGCCAAGTTACCTCCTCATCTTCCATAAAGATGGCAGATAATGGATCACTTTTGGACATTTTTTCTTGTCCTTGTTGTAGACCAGGAAGCATATCTGTAAGTAGTTACAGCTAAAATATGATTAACAACGCTGGACCAGTTAAAACGTGGTATAAACAGAAGTCAAATAGGAAAATGCAGAGCATACGGTGTGACAAGATTATCGGTTTGTTTTTCCTCTTTATGTCATCACAGTATTCTCTCGCTAGCACGTTTACTTTTCTTTGATCCATCCCAAGCTGGCAAATATCAGCCTACAGATGTAAAGCAAATGTTTTAACCATAGTCACAGAACTCATAAGCCAGATACACATAATGACCATTACATTGAGTAAAAACTAACTAAAGACATCGACAAAATCTGCAATCATGTACTGTTTTTTCTAGCCTGGAGCTTTTATCCGGTGGTTTGTCAACAATGTAATAGACTTTCTGCTGATGTAACGCTAAAGCTAAACATTTGATTCCAAGTAACTAGCAACAGAATCAAAGACAGTTCATAAGCAAACGAAGCCTTAACAGTACCTCAAGGAAAAAAATATCTGCACATTGCATGCATGGGTAAAGGATCTGGGCAGCACTCAGTTCATCGGTCTCACTACGTCCCATAATCTGCACACACCTGAAAGGTAAAGAAACAGACTCATTCAGGTTCCATCATATCCCTCACATAAAAACAATGTCCCAAGAATGGAGAAGAATAAAAGAAAGTAACCTTAAGATCCTAGGCAACTTGTTTTTGCGAGCAATGTCCATCACAAGAGGCCAATACTTATCCGCCTTAGAATTGATTTCTTCAGAAGACCACAAAAACTCCACTTTATCATTGTCCATCCCAGCAGCCTTCCAAATCTCTTGAAAATATTCTCCAACCACTCTAATTTTCTTCAAGTCACCTCCCATTTTATTGTTCAACTGAGCAAACCAATCAGCAATCCAAATCTTCACTCTGCAACCAGCTGAAGTCATTTTGTTCACATTGATGACTTTCATCACTCCCTATTAGGTAAACAACAGAACCAAATCAGATTAGCCAAAGCTTCCCACATATAGTAATAGAACAAATGAAAACTAAAGTTAATAAAAAAAACTGACCTGAGCAATGTGCATTCTTCCTGATGGTTCAAAGCCGTCGTAGCAAATCGGAGCAGCCTTCTTAGCAAGAAGATTCTTTAGCTCTTCCTCTTGTATACATTCCTCACCGATGCTCCTAACAATTTTGTATCTCTTCTCAACTTCTTCACTCATCCTGAAAAAATTAGTAAAATTTCAATATCCACCAGACCAATCAGCAGATAAACAATGCACTGGCTTTTCAATTTCAAATCCCATACTTCTAATCAAATAATCCAACCCAAATCAAATTGAAGCGCGAAACTGAGAAATTGATGATTGGTAAGAAAACTCACTGTAATCCATCAGACGAAGAAGATGCTTGAGTTGATGAAACGGAAACAGCCTCCATCTCCGACGACAGAGTGTTGACGATATCCGAAGATTGGTCCGCCATCAATATTAGCCGGCGGCGGATGAAGCTTACTAGGGTTTTTTTTTTCCTTCTTCACAGAATTGCGAAATTGCAGAGGATTCTTAGGGTTTAGCAGTGACAGTGATGGAGAAAGTTAACGTGCAATCTAGCACCACTACGCTTCACGTTTTCTACGGTTTGATTCGGTTCTACTTAATTTTGTTGTGGTTTAATCCGGTTAGTATAAAAAGGCAACGATGTGTTAATTTAAGGAAATATTTGGTAAATTTTGAAATTTAGTATGGGCCTTAGACTAAAGCTTTAATATTTAGGAAAGGCCCATTAGATATGAAATAGTACGGACTTTGTATCAATGGTGGTTTCGATATACCAAACGTATTCTCGGAGATCATCAGGACTCAACAGCGAGCTTCGGTCCCCGATCACGCCGCAGTATTTACGAATTTACCACTCTCTGCGTTGGTTTCCTCGCCGAAGACTTCAAGATGTCTGATTCCGACATGGACATTGATGATGATGAGGTCGAACAAAAGGTGCAAGTACATACAATTGTAAGAGAATCTGAATTGCTTGATAAACCACCAATTCAAGCTTCCAATTCCCAGAGCGGTTAGTATTTGAATTCGTGATTGGTTACATGGTGTTGTTGATTAATTGTGTCAAAGTTTGTGTTTTTATTGATAGAAACACCTCTTCCAAATTGGAATAGATGAATTTTGTTCTAGAAGAAAGAGAGAATTGTTAAATTGACTAGATTTAGCTCTGATTTGAGGTTCAAAGACTTGGCAATTAGATTTTCACTGAAGCTCTTTTGTAAAAATTGTGGCTTTAATACGAACTAGGCTAATTCATTACTGTTTCAGAACATCTTTCTCAAAGTTTTGTGCTTATCTCTGTAGGAATCTCTTTTGTTAATTCAAAGCAGCAGTTTGGGTAATATGTCCTGATTTATAACTTGTCCCATGTAGATGTGAAGAGGCATTCTGTAACAACACCTTTAGATGAGCAATCAAAAATCATAAAGGAACAAGCTTTTGCTCAATATAATGGTACTTTATCAAGGTATAGCAAAACAATTCTGCTCAAGTTTTACTGAAACTAAGTTAGGAGGTTGTTGAACTTCTGAATTTTATATGTTTGAAGCTTGTATACTGACAGATTCGGTTCTCAGATTTCCTGCTCCGGGTATACCGCCAAAAAGCTTTTTCCCTGGCGGTGAAGGGAATGAACCAGAACAAAAACGTGCAGCTCTTCCCTGCAAGTTTTTTGCTAAAGGGTGGTGTTTCAACGGGGTGTCCTGCAAGTTTCTACATGTGAAAGAGAATTCAAATTGCTTTAGTCAACAACTGGCCGAAAATAGTATGGCTGGAAACGGTGGTATCCTGTCTGATCTAGGTATGTTGTACCATGAAATTGTTATTCTTTTCAAGATTGTGATATTAGTGATCCCTATTTGGAGGTAATTCCCACAATATAGAGGTTGGTGAATACTTCCGGGGTTTAATTTCTCTTCATGAATCAACCAATAATTTATTTTGCGTATGTTTATTCAGAAAGAAGAATTTTGGACAGCAAAGAAGGTGTAAGAGTTTCCCAGTTAAGCGAAAACGGCATGACATCTTTGCATACCAGAGATGATATATCTTTCGTGAATCCCCCAGGTTCTCAGAGAGTTTTCTCCTCCATGTCTTTTGTGAATCCCCCAGGTTCTCAGAGAGTTTTCCCGGTCAGTAACGAGATGCGCTTTATGCCTTCATTTGAAAACATAGGAAGAGAAAGTTTGAAGCAAACATATGGTGATGTCACTGACAATAGGTCTCTAGTTATTAATAACAGCAATTCCTTCACATTGAGAAGCAGCTTTGTTCATGAGCATAGACCTTCTATCAGTTCCTATCTAAAAACAGACATGGGATCTTCTGGACCAGCCTGGACAGGATCATTATCCAGTTCTGTTCCTATGAATGAGCGTGCTTCTACTGTGGGGCATTTTGAAAATGGGAATAATATATCTGGATCTGGATCACTTCCAACGCTGCAAGGGATAGCTGTTTCTTCTGATAAAGGCGCAGAAGGCAACACTACTAGCAATAAAAAGAAAGTTTCTTCAGATGACTGGGAACCTTCTGAACCTTTTAAAGCATCTTTTACAATTCCACCTTATATACTTCCCTCGTCTGATGCCCTCTACGATCCTTTCACGGATATAGAGAATCTAGGAGGAGACAGAGCTCTTAATGCTTCATTGTCAAGTAAAGGAGAACATGCACGGAAAAATTCCCGCCAGCAGAAAGATGGTGATTCTGCTAGTGGTCCCCAAGCACGGGAAATTAAGAATGATGATAAAAGCAGTTCATGCAGTCAAAACCAACACCAAGAAACTGTGACAAGGAGTTTGGAAGCACATGGAGTAGTGGAAGGGGTGGCTACTTCAGTGGTTGATCAAAATGATGCAACAACACCTAGCAAAGAGATTTCTTCGGCTGCGGCTGCAGAGAATAGAGTTGTTTTGAAAAGAAGCAAACCTGCGGGGCATGATTCTTGGCATAGAAGTGATGGGTCTTCATATAAAAAGACAATGAAATCAGATGAGATAGATGGTGAAGTGAGGTCAGATGCAGGGATGAAAGTAATGAGACAATTCCGGACTGCAGTTGTGGAAACCGTTAAAGAAATGTTGAAACCGTTGTGGCGCGAGGGCCGTCTTACCAAAGACGTGCATAACATGATAGTTAAAAAAGCTGCAGAGAAGGTAGTCAGCGCCGCTGTCCAGTTTCATCAGGTGCCAACTGACACCGAATCAGTTGATCAATATCTTGGTTTGTCTGCAACCAGAATTGTGAAGCTTGTTGAGGTGAGTTTCTTAGCTGGAAATAAAAGACACTTAAAGCAATTGCATAGTCTAACAATTCTTATGTTCATTTGCAGGGGTATGTCGAAAAGTATGGTAAACCCTGAGTTATCAAACCAAATGTCACTTGGTGTGGGATGAGCTCAAATTGATGAGATTCCTGTATATTATGTCATCCTTCTTTTCCTCAGTTAGGGGTTTAGTACGTAGCATCTAAATTCTTTGGATCTCCATTCTATCCTCCAATAATGGAATAAGGTTAGAATTGGAGCTTGGTGGAGGAAATGTGTACACATTGTAAAACTCTTCAAAGCTTAATTTATGCTTAAAAACAGTTTTTTTTACCATTTGAAATATGATTTAGATTGTAATCTTTAGAAGTGATGTGATAAAGAATGGTTGCTTTGGAAGCAGATGAAGGGGAAAAGAGAAAGAAATGGAATAATGTTGAGGTACGTTTCCTAACTATTCGTTAAGTAATAAGCTTTGTGAAAATCAAGATTTTTCAATTTAGAAGTTAGTTTTCTGTTTTTTTTTTAATGTTCTCTGTTTTTTTTGTCATAATATAAGATATTCAAGCACTGTGTTTTGGTTTAGGATAAAATGCAAAAATTTTGTTTACAGTTTTGGAATCAGTTTTATCTTGTTCAAACATTTTTGGTGCATCATTTGGACTGGTGATCATTAGGACAGCATGAACTTGTTAATATATGTGGTGGGTTTGTGGAAAACACTTTGATTAGATACTGTTGCTTAATATATATTTTACCTTACAAAATAATAAAAATATGTTTGTTGTTCATATAATACTTTTCCACAAAAGACTTAGGATACTTTTGATTTAAAGGTCCCTACCACTCTTCGTCCTTATCCATATCTTCATCTCTATCCACCTTGCATTTTTTTATTTCCACACCTCTCCCTCATTGCTCACTCTTCTGATGCTCATGGTTTGATCTATATTATAACATTAATGTTATATAGTAAGGTCATTTAAAAATTGGCTTATCCGCATCCTAATTTGCAAAGATGGTGTGTATTATTAACTCTAAACTCTGGAAGTTGCATGTTATCTTAAAATGTTGTAAAATGACATAAAATGACATGACATATTAATAAATATAAATAACACACTATTTAGTATTTACAATTGTATCATGTAATGTTATTTTATGACAGAGAATAATAACATTTGTCTAAACGTATGAATTTTTATCAGAGTGTTTAACGAAAATTCTAGTTTTTTTTTTTCTTTTGGGTCACGGTAACGAAAATTCTAGTTGGTGCAGATATTAAACTTAATTTGGTACTTTACCAATTTAATTGTCAATAATGTATTGTCTATTATTACTATGTCCCTAGATATTTCATGGGTCGAATAAATAATGAGAGAGCTAGGCGACAAAAGAAAAAAGATATTTTTACGAATAGTTTAAAAATGAGTCTATAAATTAGATGAAAGAAGCCCTTTAGTAAAATTACTTCACACTTGATACAATTCTATCCAAAATCAACCCCAAACAATACAGAAGAGAAGATTAAAAAAAAAAGATGTGGGATGAAACTGTAGCCGGACCTAAGCCGGAGCATGGCCTTGGCCGCCTCCGCAATAAGATCACCGCCCAACCCCTTGACATCAAAGGTATTTGTTTTTTCTTTGTCAAGCATACGTCCCATATTTGTATAAACGTATGATCTCATAATTAATTACGTGATGGTTTTGGAAGGTGTAGGAGAAGGGAGCAGTAGCAAAACTGTGGCGGCAGTTGCGGGAAGTCCCGGGACTCCGACGACACCAGGATCGGCGCGTAAGGACAACGTGTGGAGAAGTGTGTTTCATCCAGGAAGTAACATCGCCACCAAAGGAAGGGGAACAAACCTCTTCGACAAGCCTTCTCACCCAAACTCTCCCACCGTCTACGATTGGTACGTACTCAGTTTTTGTTATTATTATGTGATCGGACGGTTTAGATCAGATCGAAGATGGTCTGACCGTTGTTGTGATCCTGTAGGCTATACAGCGACGATACTAGGAGCAAGCACCTTTGAGCCGATGAGGATAGAGTGACATGCGAGTGATGTAAAATGTCATGTCTTCCTTCCGCCACGTGTTTATGTTCTGTTTCTTCTATTTTGGCTGTATTCGCAATCTTTTATTTTACTTCTTGTCGTTTAATTTGTGGATGTTAGTGACCGTTGATCTCCACCATCTGGGTTGGTTTTTAACCTTTAACGGTAGCGATGCGTCTTCAGTGTCTTGTAATGTTTCTACTGTTCGGTAATATACTAATATAACTATTTAGCTTCTAATGATCTGGCTAACGATAGAATTTGACTTAAACTATGGTTTGCATAATGGAATTTAACTTAACCATGGTTGATCTCATAATCATTAAATAACAAAAACTTAACATAGGTGTGGTTAGATGAATTCTTTTGTCAACAAACAACTATGATAGTGAGATTTGATTAAAGTTTAACTTAACTATGGTTGATCTCATCTCATCAAATAACAAAACCATAACCATGGTTAGATGAATTCTTTGTGTCAACAAACAATTATGATAGTGATTTAATTAAAGTTTATACATGTCTTTGGGATGTAGTTGGGATACAATTATACTTTTTTTTTCTTTTCAACTGATTTAATTAAATAAGGTAGGTAGGATTATACCAGCTTACACAAAAAGAACCAACCCAAACCTGAGGGATAACGCCTATTCTAAGCATTTTTCACAATACAAAGGACATATACAAAAAAATTTGATCCACAACGAGCTCTACAAAAAAAACACACAAGTTCAAAGAGAAGAAAGAAATCTCTCACCATTAAACACACTCTGCAACCAGGATATGTAACCAAGAGCTACATATGAATGGAGCCGTTAAAAGTCATTAGTTATACTTTAAGCGATGAGATTAACTCCTCTATTTGCCACTTTGGATTCACTACCATCTTCTAATTTAAACCTTTAAACTAAATAATATTAACTAGATAACTAGATGCCCTTTTTATTTTATAAAATCTTAAAAGTTGAATTATTATGGTTTTATTAGATATTGTTAGTTTTCTTTGCATGCTTTGAACTGATTATTTTTATTGAATCTCTTCTTAGACTTGTCGTTTTCTTTTTCGATAAAATCTTTCTAAGCAACTTCTTCATAATCTTTTTTTTTTTGACGTTTAATGTTTATTTGGAATTCACAATATAATGTAAGGGAATTATATCAATAGATGTATTTTTTTTCTTTAACATCTTTTTATATAGAAAGAAACTCTTACTTTCTCAAGATTATAACAGTGAAACAAAAGGAAGAACTTATCTGAGTAACAGGGTTGCGTTCAATGTTCTCGAGATTGACAGAAGGCCTAAGAATTAATTCCTCTATCAACTCAATCTCAGTAACTGAAAATTCACTCCTTTTGGGATGAGTCTTGATTTTCCATAGCTTTCAAGTCTCAGAGAATCCCTTGAAAATCCGTAAAAGTTATCCGATGATCACTAGAATTTTGGTATGATTCTCTGCAGAAGTTGTCCGATGTCCACGAAGAAGAAGAAAAACATATCAATATAGGTACGAAAATTTAAATCATATATATATATATATATATATATATATATATATATATATATACCACATAAAACAGTGAACATTTTGTATGCCATTCGTTGATCGATTATAAACATATTTGATGAAAAAATCTTTTAAAGTACAAATTAACAAAATGATTTACACTATCCATCTTGTTGAACCTATAAAACGCAACTATATGATACTATAAATCTTTTAACAAGTTCAACACTCTCCATCACATAAATTACCATTTTTGGACAAAAAAAAAACAAGTTGAATTTTTCTTACTACAAAGTATTAGAACAGTCTTAGATGCTAAACGAGTCAAGTTTTGTGATCGGGTCCATCAAAAACGATCATAGTGAAAAAAATCAGAGTTAGGGACTCAGGTTTCTAAATTTTGTTTAATTAGTTTTTTTTTTTGTTTTTTTTCATCACTTTTGTACCCAAACTAATATGATTTTGTCACGTTTAGACCGAAACTATCATTCTAATTAGTTTGCACCAAATCTATTTTTCTTTTGGGTACACAAATTGTGCTTATCTTAAAAAAAAAAGTAAAAAGGTAAATTAATCAGAATTTAAATTTTACTTGGCACTGCAATGTTTCCTTCCTCTTGGAAAGTTGTTTAGAAATCAAAAGAGTGTTAATAGGAGTGTTGATAGAAAGAAGAAAGCAAAAGACACTTCCTTTTGCTCGGAGGGAATGGGAGAGAAGAAGACGACGACAGGAGAGGGTTTAGGGTTTTACAAGGAATATGTCGCTGGAATGATGGCTGGTCTCGCCACTGTCGCCGTCGGCCACCCTTTCGACACCGTCAAGGTACTCGATTTTTTAATTTTCTTGTCACATAGGTGTTTTATCAGGTTTATACGAAATGGGTATATGTGTTTCATCTTCCAATTTGAGGAATTATGCTTCAGACATGAATTCTATACTTAGCTGCAGAATTTTGAATTAAGATTGCATTGGTGTGACAAAGTGTTCTTCTACACTGGACCATTGATATGTCAATGTGATGCCGTTGGGGCTTTTTTTAGGTTTGTTGCGTATGAGCTTTCTAGGCGTTCTTGTTTTTGGTGAACCATTTCTTAGATAGTGTATCACTGAATTGGCATCACTCATGTTAGGAGGTAATGATTGTATCTTCGGGGTTTGTTTCTTGTGTCAGGTGAAACTTCAGAAACATAATACAGATGTGCAAGGGCTCAGATACAAAAACGGGCTGCATTGTGCTTCAAGGATCCTGCAAACTGAAGGAGTATGTTTCCCTGCACTTTTGTTATGTTTCCTAGACTCTTGAATCTTGCAAACTATTTCAGTTATTGAAAATTTGGATTTTTTTTGTGTCAATGGAATCTTACTAGATCCATCATCACCTGATTGGCTGGATACAACTTTTTTGCTTTCATATTTAGGTCAAAGGACTTTATAGGGGAGCTACATCGTCGTTTTTCGGAATGGCTTTTGAAAGTTCATTGATGTTTGGCATATACTCCCAGGCAAAGCTGTTCTTGCGGGTAACATTGCAGGCCAAACGATCTTGTACTGTATTATTTTCCTCCAAACTTCATATTTTGCTTCTTTCTTGTTTTATTGTAAAGGGAACTTTGCCAGATGATGGGCCACGACCAGAGATAATTGTTCCGTCTGCTATGTTTGGTGGAGCTATTATTAGTTTTGTGTTATGTCCAACAGAGCTTGTAAAGGTGAAATCTCCAGAGCACCATTTCTTTCCCCGCAATTATTACCTTTGATGGTTTCTATGGAGTTTTGGGCATTCACTGTTTTCTTCAGTGTAGAATGCAGATCCAAGGAACGGATTCTTTGGTTCCTAACTTCCGTAGATACAAAAGTCCTCTTGATTGTGCCGTTCAGACCGTTAAAAATGAAGGGGTGAGAAACTCTCGTTGCTATAATATTCTAGGAATCGAACATTAGGTTGATGGGGATATCTTTCAGGTAACAGGTATATTTCGTGGTGGCTCGGCAACATTATTAAGAGAGTGTGCTGGAAATGCTGTCTTTTTTACTGTCTATGAGTATTTACGGTATCATATCCACTCGAGATTGGAGGATTCTAAGCTGAAAGATGGTTACTTGGTTGACTTGGGGATAGGAGTTTTCACTGGTGGTCTTGGAGGCATAGCTGTAAGAATCTATCTAGTGTGTTTCATGAATTCCGTCATGAAAAATGTTGCTATATTATATGTATATTACATCTGTTTCTATGATGCAGTGCTGGTCAGCTGTTTTGCCCTTTGATGTAGCAAAAACCATTATCCAGACCTCTTCAGACAAAGCTACCGAGAGAAATCCTTTTAAAGTGTTGAGCTCGGTCGGTCAGCCATCTTGCATCTGTGTATCTAAACACCAATACCAAAGAGTATATGAAATATCTTTTTTGACTTTAAATAATCTCTGCAGATTCACAAGAGGGCAGGACTCAAGGGATGCTATGCAGGTTTGGGTCCAACAATTGTGAGAGCATTCCCTGCTAATGCGGCAGCGATCGTTGCTTGGGAGTTCTCAATGAAAATGTTGGGAATCAAACGGGACTAGGATTAGTCTTCGAATCTAATTTATTTGGTCTGATTTTCAGATCTCAGAACCACAAGGAGCTTGCATTTGCTTCAGATTTTGATGAGCTTTCTTGTAACAGAACTACATATATCAAGAATCAAAAGTGTCTCCCAGATTATTATTTTTGATAGCCTTTTAGCTCTGTCTCCCCATTTGTTGATTGCAAAACAAATACAGTTTCCTGATTTAGTTTAAGATCTTGGCTTGAAATAACATTTTCCAAGTTTAAACAGTCTTACACATATTCCTTGAAGCATTTATCAAGTCTTAATGCATTTATTTAATCATGTCATAGGTTTAGCAGATAGCTTTGATTGCAGGTAATATGGAAACAGAGGATACACAGAGGATTACAAGGAGCTAAAAGAGACTGACAGAAGAGAGTAAGCAAAGCCTGTTTCATTAACCTTCAAATTGGGATCTCACACTTTTCACCGTCTTTATTCAGTTGTGCTTTTCCGCCTTCTCTCGTTGTGTCCAGCTAAGCGTCTCCTGCAACTCCGCTTGGCTTCATCAAACTCACTGAGCTCGTGAAACCTTAAAAACCAAATATTACTTGTTCTTGTTTTTGGTTGCTGTTGAAGGAGGTTGAAAAAGATGACAGAAATTTACCTGCTGCATTGTTGGCAGAAACGTTGGTGAAGACCATAGATCCGAACAAGAGGAGCTTTGGCATGAAACTCGCAGACTTTATGTCGTTTGTGGTACTGTTTGGCCTTGCTCATATCCGCGGTACAACTCTCGACCTGACAAACTCCACTACTACTTGTAGCTTTAGCTTTCTGCTTCTTCTCCAAAGCCTCCTCTTCTTCAAAAGTATCTTCATCTTCTGTTTCTTCGTCTTCCTCTTCCTCACTCATTTCTCGTAAACTCCTCTTACCTTCCGCTTTGCTTCTTCTCATACTCATCTGCAAATTTCAACTCTCTCTCTCTCTCACATGAAAGAGGGAACAAGAAGAGAAGAAGACGAAGAGGAAGTACAAGTAAACATTGGAAGAGATATAAAGGAGCCCCAAACAAAAGTGGGGAAGGATCTTAGGTGCTTAAGTTGTTGGACCACTAAATTTTCACTCCTAAGGTATAAAAATTATTAGCATGTCGTGTAAAAAAGAGTACGAACAAGCTTTAGTGCTCTATTATTTTGTATATGCATACATGAATACATATGTATCCTTAAAACCTGACGAGGACCCAGTCACCCAGGCTTTGTTTTGTAGTTTAAGTTACTGTCGATGCTATGTCACCACCCGGGTTTATCATGTTAGTGCTGATGCGGGCTTCAAATATCCATGTTGTTTGACAGGAAAATACCGAGAAACTGAAACTGAAAAACACTGAAAAGTACATTTGAAGAATATGCACTAGCTAATATCAGTGTTCAAGAAAGCGCTATAAGTTTTACATTGTGAAATATTTTTTCTTTTTTGTGGTAACAAGAAGTTGAGATTCGAACTAGAAAACAGACCATTATAACATAAAACATTATAAATATGATATTATATATAAAAGTTATATAAAATATCTATATAAAACTAAAAATTATGAAATTATAAACAAAAACTAAATAAAACATTTATTTATATTTATATTAAACAATATATGAATATTTATAACTATATATATAAATAAAACTCTAATTGAAATTGAAAAAATACACTAAACAAGTTCTATATAATTTTAGGCGGTCAAGGCGGTTATTTAGGCGTCGCATGAGAGCTTAGCGCCTAGTCGGGACCTAGGCGACCGCCTAGACCGCTCTTTAGAACACTGGCTAATATATAGTGATTTGGACAAGAGAAAATTGAACAGTAAATTTAAGTTTTACATAGTGAAATATTTTTTCTTTTTTGTGGTAACAAGAAGTTGAGATTCGAACTAGAAAACAGACCACATTGCGTTCTTATGAATCATTCGTTTTATTTTATTTTATTATTTAAAGTTTATATATGCATTGAAAAAGAATAACAGTTTAATTGGGACAAGTGATGAATCATGGAGTGGCTGGCTCTATAATTTAATTGGGACCGATCAATCATGGAGTGGCTGGCTCTATAATTTATCCAACGGTAGGTTTGTAAAAACGTTATAACTGAGGAAGATGTCCACTAATTTGCACATAGATATGTCGTAAGGATAATATTTGGTTACAAAGAGAAGTTCTTTCGATTTTATAGCATAGGGCCACCACTAAATTAATTTGACAATTTGATATCTTGTTTGGTGTAGATGATAATGTCAATCAAGTTAGCCGGGCCACGAATCCAAAAGTGGACATATAAGAATGGTCCAAACTTGAATGTAATCATTTTTCAATTGGTAATATGTAAATAAAGATATTAGCATAATTAAATGGTAAAAACAGCAAATCGTCCCATTTATTATATGTTTGAAATCAACTACGATTTCAAAGAAATCCCCATGGTTTTAGCCTTACAAACACACAAGATATTTTCTTTTCGATCTTGTATTCAGGGTTACACTAAACACCAAAAAAATCTCGAAGAAACTCTGAGAACTAGAAGCAACAAAATAAAAAAGATTATTCTTGACGTGAACGGAGGCTTTGTGGTTCGTGGGATTTGAAGACCATATCTAAATAAATAAAAAAACTTAGTTCACACTTGACACCATAGAACCATGCACATATACTAGGTTATGTCATCAGCTAGACCCATGCATATTCACATATATAAATGCACTTGACACCATAGAACCATGCACATATACTAGGTTATGTCATCAGTATAGACCCATGCATATTCACATATATAAATGCGGAGGAGCGTCGTCAAATGATGCCAATGCTAATCAAATGTTAAAAGATTTTGGAATGTTATGCCATCAGCTAGATCCATGCACATCCACTGATCCACATATACACAAATTTAGAAATGGTACAGCTATAAAATTGCTTGTAAAGACAAAAAGCTACACAAAGGACTTTCTCTCTCATAGGAAAAGTGCGACTACTTTGGCGAAAACCTAATTTTTCCGCCGCCGTCGGTGTTGGCCTCACGCCGCCGTCGGTGTTGGCCTCACGCCGCCGTCGAGAATATCTTCTTCCTCCCCCCTCTTCCTTTCTTCAGATGGCTGCATCTACTGTTGTACTTCCTTCGGCTAAAGATCCCCCTGATCCAACATCTTCTTCGTCTCCAATCGACCCCGTAACTCTCACCATCCACAGATCCCAATCTTCTCATCTAGTTTCCGCCGCCGCTCCTCCTATTCTACTGTCTCCTTTTCCCGTGGCTGGCCAAGCTTCAGTCGTCACGGATTCAGAGATCTCTGACAATTTGACATCAGTTACAGCTCCTCTTCTTTCGGACGGATCTGTCCCGCTCACAACTAGCTCCACTCCCTCTTTGGAAAAGGAGGAGGAATTGGAAATTCCCCCTGTGATTCATGATACTCAGTTGCTCTGGGCTGCTAGGTTCAAGTCCAACCTCCGCAACCTGAAGAAAGTCTCGCTACCAACGTTCACTGAAGATGGTACTCCAAAAGTCAGAGCCCCTGCTTCCGTCATTCTCCGAGCGTCCGATACATGGAAAGACCACATCGTTGCCCACTTCCATGGCAATCCGCCGCCTCCGGGTAAAATTTTCACTGACCTAAATCCTATTTGGGGTACCGATGGTCGTATCCATATCAAGGCTCTCCCAAACGGACCAGTGCTTATCTTCATCCCATCTGAGCTCACACGACAATGGGTCCTTGAGGTTGGTTGTTGGCAAGCTGGTAATTGTCTCTTCACTGTCACCGCTTGGTCTCCAACAGCTACCTTGACTCCAATAAAGCTGGTCTCTTTACCGATATGGGTAATAATCAAAGATGTTCCTCCACAACTTTACTCTCTCCCAGGGTTGAGTACCATTGCCTCTGGCATTGGAGAACCTCTTCACACTGAAAAGCATCAGCTTCCTCCTCTAGCTCCGGATACGCGGATCAAAGTGGAGATCCTCCTTACTAAAGTTCTTCCCAGCTCTGTCCTGGTAGTGGACGATGAAGGCAATGAGCTTCGAGTGTGGGTTGAGTACCCAAGGCTTCCTCCAAAGTGTGATTTTTGCAATGAATATGGTCATCTTTACCATAGGTGTCCAGTTGCTCCTGATATCTCCTTGCCTCCATCACTCACTTTTGAGAAAGTCCCTCCACAAGCAAAAGTGAACCCAATAGCTAATGTGACATTGAGAGTGCAGCCTCCTCCTCGGAAAAACACTCTGTCACATCCTGTTCTTGGTGTGCCAGCTTCCGGTCCTCCGTCTGTCACACCTCCCTCCAAGCTCTCTACTCAGGCTACTTCTTCTAATCCCAATCACATATACCTAGCCTCCCCTCCAACTGTTTCAAATGATTGGCAAGTTGTTAAGAGCAAGTCTAAGCATCCTAGCAATAAAGAGAAAAACGTTGAGGTTGCTGCTATCTCACAAGGGCCTTCGGTCTCCTCTGCTCAGTTTGCCGAAGAGGAAGAAGCTATCCAGATTGGTCAGCGAATTATCAGGCGCAGATCAGGGTCTCCTTTTCGTTGTCAAGTTAATCAACCAAATAGCACCGAGAAAGAAATCATTCCTTTATCTTCTTTGGTTATTCTGCCAGCAGTTGCGCCATCCTGTTCTACTAAGCAAAAAGTAGTTGCTGCAATTACTAAGAAAACGCCTTCAACAACAGTAAAGAACTCCACTAGAGGACGTCGTCCAGGAAAGGGACGCTCCCATCATCTCGCTTGAAAGCTTAGCTTTCTGCAACCTTTTGTCCACTATGATGATGATGAAGATTTTTTGTTATAATATTCGGGGATTAAATAATTACCAAAGACAACAAGAGCTTAAGCGTTGGGTGTCCACTTGTAGACCTTCCATTGGAGGTATTTTGGAAACTCATGTCCAATGTGACAATGCAGCTTCAATTTTGGCTCGGATCTTCCCTGGTTGGAGATACGAGTGTAACTACTCACCTTCGGCAGAGAATGGAAGAATATGGATTGTTTGGAACCCGGCTGTCTCTGTCTTTATCTATAAAAAGTCAGACCAACTCATTTCTTGTGGAGTTTTTGATTCCTTTTCTCGCCAGTCTTTCTCGGTTACTTTTGTCTATGCCAGGAACTGTCTGATTGCTAGAAGAGACCTTTGGGCTGATATGGAAGAGCTTCTTCATCAACATAGATATCAAAGCTCTCATCCTTGGTTGATTCTAGGTGATTTTAACCAAATTCTTCAAGCGGAGGATCATTTTTCTCTTATTCCATATTCGTTACCTTTACAAGGTATGAATGAATTTCAAAATTGTATTGATTCCTGTGAGCTCCTTCATTTGTCTACCAGAGGCTCTGCTCATACATGGTATAATGGTCAGCCGACCAACCCAATCACTCGCAAGTTGGACAGGGCCCTTATTAATGAGTCATGGTTTTCTACTTTTCTTCAGTCAAGTGTTTTCGTCGATGCTCCGGGGGGTTCTGATCACTCCCCACTTCTGGTCTCCACTTCTGATATTGTTGAGAGGAGAAAAGTGCCCTTCAAATTCTACTCTTTCTTCTCCACTCATCCTGATTATCAAAGCTTAGTGGAATCTGCTTGGAATTTAGATCTTGGTAATACCTCTACCATGTTTTCGCTCTGTCAAAAGCTAAAGGCGGTTAAGGTGGTGTGCAAAGCTCTGAACAGAAATAGCTTCAGTAATATCCAACAGAGGACTGCTGAAGCTCATGATTCGTTGACAAGTGTTCAACATCAGATTCTCACAAATCCAACTCCAGCTCTGTTTGAAGAGGAACGTGAGATAAGGAAGAGATGGACTTTCCTTTCTTCAGCGGAGGAATCCTTTTTAAAACAAAAATCTAGAATTAGGTGGTGTGATGAAGGTGATTCAAACACTAGCTTCTTTCACAAATCTGTTCAAGCTCATCAGGTCAGAAACTCAATTGGTTATCTTAGGAATGATGCAGATGAGAGGATCACTGATAAAGACCAACTCAAGCAGCTTATCATTGACTATTATCATAACCTTCTTGGCTCAAGGAACTTCGATGTCCAACCGCTCTCCGTGGAAAGAATTAGAGAGCTGAATCCTTTCAGATGTTCTTCTGCCTTAGCTGCTCAACTTACTGCAATTCCAACACTCGAAGAGGTTACATCTACTATCTTTTCCTTACCTAGGAATAAGGCTCCTGGACCCGATGGTTTTACTATCGATTTCTTTATCACTTCTTGGGGGCTGGTTGGTCCTTCTCTCATTGCGGCTGTGGTAGATTTCTTCAAGACAGGGAAGCTTCTCAAACAGGTTAATGCAACAATTCTAGCTTTGATTCCCAAAACAGATGATGCGGATAAGCTAGGTAGTTTCAGACCAATCTCTTGCTGCAACTCCATCTACAAGGTTATTTCCAGGATCCTTGCAAACAGGCTAAAGTTATTCATCGGATTGGCAGCCCAAAGGAACCAAGTTGCCTTCATCAAAGGTAGATTGCTCTGTGAAAATTTGTTATTGGCTTCTGAATTGGTTACAGATTTTAACAAACCGGGTCCAGTGACTAGAGGCTGCTTCCAAATAGATCTCTCTAAGGCTTTTGACAACGTTGATTGGGGTTTTCTCTCTAACATCTTGGAAGCTATTGATCTTCCTCCTATGTTCATCAATTGGCTCTCTCAATGCTTCTCTACTCCTTCCTTCTCAGTTGCTTTCAATGGTGAGCTAGTCGGTTATTTCCCAGGAAAGAAAGGTTTGAGACAAGGTGATTCCATCTCTGCTCCGCTTTTTTCCTTGGTAATGGATACGCTTTCTAAGCAGCTTGACTTGGCAGTCTCTTCTGGGAGAATTCTTACTCATCCTTTAGGTGTTGACCCGTTAATCACTCATCTAAGCTTCGCTGATGACTTGCTTGTATTTTTTAATGGTGAAGAATCCTCTCTCCTTGCTATTTTTGATGTTCTGGATCAATTCAAGCTTACCTCGGGATTGAGCATCAATTTGGCTAAATCTTGCCTTTTTCTTGATGGAAACAACTTTGATCTTACCAGTCAGATTTCTTCAAGACACAACCTTTCACATGGATCACTTCCAGTTCGTTATCTTGGAGTGCCCCTACAGCCTAGCAAACTTACTGCCTCTGACTATCAACCTCTGCTTGACAAAGTTAAAGGCAGAATCTCCTCTTGGACAAATAGACATCTCTCGTTCGCTGGAAGGCTCCAACTCCTACAATCTGTCATTAACAGTACAATTAACTTCTGGGCTTCGAATTTTGTCTTGCCAAACAAGTGCCTATCTGACCTTGAGCATATTTGTAGTGCCTTTTTATGGAATGGTGCTGCCAATACTGCTCGTGGTGCTAAAGTTTCTTGGGAGATAGTGTGTACCCCAAAAATTTCAGGTGGTCTTGGTTTGAAAAGTTTGATCTTCTGGAATCAGATTTTTGGTTTGAAATTGATTTGGCTCCTTTTCTCTCAAGCTGGATCGTTGTGGGTCTCTTGGGTTAAGAAACACCTAATTAGAGACAGATGCTTCTGGAATGCTGATTTTTCTACCACAGGAAGCTGGATTTGGAGACGGTTAGTAAAGCTGAGAGTCTTGGCTAGGCCTTTTGTCTTCTGCAGCATCCTCTCTGGCCGAACTGCTCTGTTCTGGCACGATAACTGGACTTCCCTTGGTCCTCTTATTGACATTGTTGGTGAAGCTGGTCCTCGTGTTACTGGAATTGCTCTCTTATCTTCGGTTTCTGAAGCAGTTTCTAATGATGAATGGTCAATCCCTCGTGGTAGACATCCTCTTGTTCTGCTTTTGCGCTCTTGCCTTTATGATCAAATCCCACCTCTATCCACTGAATTTGGGTCTGATTCCTACCAATGGAAAATCTCTGTAGACCAAGCAAATGACCTCTTCTCTTCCTCAAAAACTTGGATTCATTTACACCCTCCTGGTCCACCTGTCCACTGGCACTCACAAGTTTGGTTTAAAGAAAAAATTCCAAAGCTTGCTTTCATGTTTTGGTTAACAGTTCAGAATAGACTTACAACAAGAGATCGTCTTAGAAGTTGGAATCTTCCAATCCCAGCCGCTTGTCTTCTCTGTCTCTCTGGTGAGGAATCGAGAGATCATCTCTTTTTCCAGTGTAGATACTCCAATACTCTACTGATGGATTTCTTTGGTCGTTTCTCGCCTGCTCCTTCTTCAAGTTTCCCAATCTTACTCGACTGGATTAAGAACCCTACCACAAATAGGAAGCTTAATGCCATTTGTAAACTTGTTATTCATGCTTTGGCTTACTACATTTGGAAGGAGCGAAATGCACGGCTACACACCACCTCTTTTCGTTCTGAAATCCAACTAAAGAGAGAAATCCAACTCCTCCTGAGAAGAAGACTTGCTGGTTTGGATCGTTCTGCTTCTTCTACATCCTCCAACGTTACTCAAACTCAAGAGACCTATCTAATGTTATGGTTTGCCAAATTCCAGTAATCCCTCTCTGTTTTGCTGCAATTGTTTAATCTCTCTCCATGTAATCATGTTTGTACTCTATGAGGTATTAATATAAAGTGGTTTATTAAAAAAAAAAAAAAAAAAAAAAAAAAAAAAAAAGAAATGGTACAGCTATGCAAATGTTTGCTTATATATCATTAGAGGCTAAGGGACAAATCTATTTTTTTGTAACCCCTTCTTTTACTGTTTACGAAACAAAATCACCGGTTTACTATTTTCACAGTTGATATATCTATATATATATATATATATATATATATATATATATATATATATATATATATATATATTTGTTTTCATATCAATCGATCTAGTTAGCCCTAAAATATATTCGTAAAGTCACCTGAATGAAAATCATAATCAGTATACCGAGGCATAACATAAAAATTGAGATCCACGACACTGACATAAAAAAAGAATCGAATCCGATTTATAAAAGGAGTTAATTGTATTTGATATGCACTAATAATGGTTTATTTTCAACTTCTTCTTTAAGTTGAAATACTATCATAAGAAAAAAATGGAGAAAAATAAAAACGTCAAGATTGGGCAGTAGACTCGTCAGCTGTCATGACACAACTCCACATTATTATTGTACTGCCTGTCAATTTTGTTTGTATCTTTTGCTCAGCAGCATCTCATTCTCTTCTTTTTTCATTTTCTTTCCTCATTAAACCAATTCAATTATACGGTAAATATATGTGATGGATTTGTATACAAACTCTCTTAACTGTTTTTTTGAGTAATATGATGTGTAGTGTACCTAAACTTTAAGATAGAAAGAGTCAACAAAATTGTAGTTAATTCATGATTATCACGAGCTAGTTCTTAACTTGTAAACGTAACAAAAATAAATGACGTTTGCAACTACAAGCCTGAACATAAAATTAATGACGTTTCTTTGATGTGTTGGTTAAATTTTGGAATGGACAATAAAAAGAAGAAGAGAAGTGGTGGGGGAACCTTAACTTCCCCACGTGACACCAGCGTTAATTAAATTTTTAGTAGGGCCTTTTTGTGTAGTACACTCATATATTTTTGGTCACCTTTTGATTATTTTGCAAATCATACTTATTAAAATCATAAAAAAAAATCAAATAACGTTGCTCGTTGGTGTCATAGAGGATTGTAGATAGCATAGTCGATCTTAATTAGGGAAAAGTCCATATTAAATGACCAAAGTATGTATGTAAAAAAAAAAAAAATGTTGAATTAGCCTGATCAATGATCTTTTGTAATTTTAAGATTAGTAAACCTTCTCAGCTTACGAAAGTGGTAACTTAAGCGGTGGTCTACAACATTTGGTGGTAGCGAAATAACTTCCTACATAACTCCTAGCGGTTGGCTCCTCACATTATTTTCAATTTCAAGTTTCACATCATCACCATTTCAAGACGACGAAGGAAACGCTGATGAAGGCTAATGCTTATTGGATCCGGTAGTCGATCCAAATCTTTCTTTAACTCTATTATAACTTTTTCGCTTTTTTTTTGCCAAGGTTGCTCTTGTGTAAGTATTTTTTTTTTGTAAAACCTCAAACTTCCTTATTATTTTGTTTAGCAAGAAGAAAAAAAAAAGATTAGTAAACCTAAAGCTTATCCTAGTGATTCATCATATTTAATCCATTGCTATGGGTTTGAAGAAACTTTATTGGGCCACAAAGGGGAAGTGAGGAAAGCTTGCAAAGGGCCCAAATTCGAACAAAAAGAGCTCATATCATATGTAATAAAAGTTACGAGGGTTCAAATGTAATTAAAAAATATATTGTGGCCAATTTGTAAACAACCAGAAGTTAATAATTACTTTAAAACCCCTAAGACAGTTTTCTTTTCAGTTTTTCACCAGTCTGGTGCTGGATAAGCCTTTTGCTTCGTTCTCACTTCCTTCCTCATCCAAAAAGCCTCCATTTTCAATGGCGACAGCATCAGCTCTCTCTTCACTCTCTTCTCTCTCACTCCACACCCGAACCACCTCTTCTCTCATCTCCTCCTCCTCCACAAAACCCATCGTCTCCTTCTCCTCCTTCCTCAACCGCCGCGTCTCATCTCTCACTCTCGTCAAAGCCTCATCGAACGAAACCGAAACTTTCTTCTTCGAAGACGAAACCCCAGAAATAACCGCCAATGTCGTCTTCGACCCACCAATTGCTCCCGAAGGATTCGTCCCCCCTCCGTATTTCGACGAAGGAAGTGACGAGACAGAGGAAGAGATCGCGACGGCTTTTGAAGAGCTCTATGGTCCTGCGTATAGTGGTGAGAGTATGCTTGGGAAAGACATTTATGTGATGGATTCGAAGCATAAGAAGAGTTCAGGTATTGGTGGGAAGCTGAAGAAAGATAAGATTAGAGATGGGTTTGAAGAGAGAGTTGTGCAAGTTAGGAGAGTGACTAAGGTTGTTAAAGGTGGGAAGCAATTGAAGTTTAGAGCTATTGTTGTTGTTGGTGATAAACAGGGGAATGTTGGTGTTGGTTGTGCTAAGGCTAAAGAAGTTGTTGCTGCTGTTCAGAAATCTGCCATTGATGCTAGGAGAAACATTGTTCAAGTTCCTATGACTAAGTACTCTACTTTCCCCCACAGGTAATCAAAGTTTTGAATTTGATGTTTGTAATGTGTGTTAATGGTTGGAAGAATTGGTTTTGGATGATAAGATGTCTTACTTGGTGATGAACTATGATTTTGGGAGTTCAATTTCTTAGTATTGTGCAGTCATGTGTTGGATTTGTGATGGGTTTGTTTGGTTCAAGGATTGGTGTTATGAAACTGATGTTTGCATTGTGCTAAAAAGTTAAATCTTGAATAGAGAGTGCCCGCCCTAATAATTAGCAGAGTCGGTTTTTGTTAATCAGTAGGCAATGAGCTAAGATTGTGGGGTTTAGTCTGTTTAGCATTGTGTTGGATGTGATGATTTGTTTGGTTTAAGGGTTGATTTATGGAAGGTGTTACTAAGAATTCTGGTTTTATGAGATTGATCTTTGAGTTGTTCACAATCATCTTAGAAGAATCGGTTGGTTGATAGGCAATTGAGCTATGTTTTGGGAACAATTGGCGAGTGTTTTGGTTATGTTTTTAGAGGGTTTGTTTGGTTTTTGTTTTATAGATCGGAGGGTGATTATGGAGCAGCCAAGGTGATGCTTAGACCGGCTTCACCAGGTACTGGTGTGATTGCTGGAGGAGCGGTCAGGATCGTGCTAGAGATGGCAGGAGTCGAGAATGCTTTGGGAAAACAGCTCGGAAGCAACAATGCTCTCAACAATGCGAGAGCCACTCTTGCGGCAGTGCAACAGATGAGACAGTTCCGCGATGTTGCTCAAGAGCGTGGAATCCCCATGGAAGAACTCTGGAAGTGAAAACTCATCTTCGCTTTAACATTTTCATCCTCTTTTGTTGAGATTCTTGTAAAATCAAGAGGCATGATATGTAATTCATAAGAAAAATATGTTTATTTTGAAATAGCAAATCCTTTCATCTTCCACAAAAGTTCCAATTGACCAATTCTATTACAGAATGCTATAGTCAGCGACTTGTCAAGTGTAAGGCTGAATCTGAAGGAGGCTTGTAAACAGTTAGAAGAACACATATACATGTCCGAGACATTTATGTTAGTCTAATGAAGAGCCCATCAAGCCCAAATTCAGTACTTATAAAGTTATAATCTTTGACAAATTCGAGAATTAAGATTCGTCGTTATCATAAACCCAAACAACTTGGCAAAGTTCGTTTCGAGTCCCACGATATATGTCGAAAGGGTACAACGAGTCATCTTCGAAACACAACTTTTAGGGTTTACTTGCGGAAGAATATAGGAGAAACCCTAAATGTTGCGATTCTTCGATTTCGCTTCTCGAGCTTAATTTCATCACTGGAAATAAAGGTAATCCCATATTGTTTGATGTTGAATTAATTGCAAATGGGCTGATAAGGAAAGTTCACAAACCCTAATTGCTATTTTCTTAACTATAATGGTCGTTTTTCTAGTTTTTGCACTTTGATATTTAATATTTTGACTACTAGGGCTTGGATGGATCTCATGGATGCCAAAAAGGTGAAATGTTGCTCGAGAGATACAATCAACTCGTTTCCAGATGAGATACTTGCTAAGATCATATCATTTCTTCCGACAAAACGAGCTGCTTCTACATGTCTTGTCTCCAAAAGGTGGAGGAATCTGTTTGCATTGATGTTTCAACTCTTTTCATCTCAACATCATTTAGATTTAGACTACTCAGATTTAGTTTATCCCGAGGAGGGTAAAAGAGAGAGGAAAGATGTCGAGAAGAGCTTCGGGGATTTTGTTGATAAAACCCTTTCCAGTTACAATTCCATAATAAAGAAACTCTCACTAAAATGTCCTCGTAGTTGCCTTCATACCGAAATAGACCAATGGCTAAGCCATGCCCTGGAACGAGGAGGTGTCGTGGATCTTGATATGCGTATTCCAATTGGTTTCACTCGTGTGCAATCAAAGTGGCCTAGTGTTTTCACAATCAAGACGCTGGTTAAGCTAACATTAGAGATAGAGCTCGGTCCAGAACGAATATCATTTTATCCACTAGTGTTTCTTCCAGTGCTAAAGAGTCTCTTTCTCCATACAGCTTGGTATACATGCGAAGACTTGTGCTATAAAATGTTTCCAATACTTGAGGAATTATCCTTACAACACTTACGTGGTCTTCCAGTTAATTATCCAACACTTAGAAGACAACGTAGAGAAAGTAAAGTATACTATATATCCCACAAAACCCTCAAGAGACTCACGTCTCACTACAATAACAGTCTTGACAACTGTCGCCACATGCGATTCGACACACCGAGTCTTGTTTACCTCGACTACTCTGGTTTCGCTCCTACTTCCACTTCAACTGCCAATTTCTTGGATTCCCTCGTCGAAGCCAAACTAGATGTTTTCTTGGATTCCAATTTACATCACGATGTTAATTTGCGACAGACGGATGAAGTTTTAGTGGATCTATCTACGATCATGAATTGGATGCGCAATGTTAAGACCCTTTCCCTGTCTTCTCTTCTGCTTCTGTTAAGGTCTGTATCTTTGTCTTCTAAACTCTCTTCTTCCTAATCTTAGTAATGATGACCAATAGTTTGTTAATTATTGTCTTGGTTTCAGGATATGTATTCAAGTTGTGGAGGATTACCTTTCTTCTCAAACCTTGTTAAGCTTCATTTTGAGAGTAATACAGAAGAAGGTTGGGATGTGCTTGGGCGTCTGCTCAACAAATCTCCAAAGCTAGAAACTTTGGTGCTCAAGGTGTCTAAATCTAAACTTAATATATAAGCAGATAACTAATTCAGATGCTTGCACGTCAAGTATTACGTACAATCCTAACTCTGTATGTATGTGCCTGCTTCAGGGCTTGCACTGTGTAAGTAGTCAGGGACTCTGCATTGATCGAAATGAAGTGAAGGTGTTGGAGATACATGGGTTTAGTGGACGTGATAAAGAGGTCAGAGAAGTGACGTGCTTTCTGCGGGAAATGCAGTTTCTTCAAGTGATGAAAGTCGAAATTGATGCTGGTGATAACAAGAAACTGCGACTCATCAATCACCTTCTTGCTCTGCCCAGACGTTCATCTAAATTACGGTTCATGTTCTTGTAAGATTCACATTTCCTTCTAGATTCACATTTGTCTGATCTTTGAGATATATATGATGCATGATGTCTGCGGCAAAAACATTTAAAATAAAGTGGGCAAGATGCAAAATCATTGGGCTGTGGATATGTGTGTTATCTATTTAGGCAAAGTGGTGCAGCGAAGTCACCATCACCATAGACGATGCGATCTCATTACAAGCACTGCAAACGGCTCCTGAATTGGATGACATTGTACATCTATCTTGACATTGCAACATACATACAGCGTACTTGAAAACCACCGTAGAGCCGCTGACATACAGTACAATAGACTAAGTTAAAACCTATGTTCATCGTTTGGAATAGTGTTTGGGATGAAAAGGGTGGTTGATCTCTAAGGGTGATTCGGCGCATTCCTTGTGGAGATAGAACTTGCACTGAGGGAAAATAGTACCCTTTTATGTCATTTTTAAGTTTCAGAGCAACCAAAACAATCAAATGGAAACACTGAAGGGTGTAAGAAATAATGGTGAATACTGAATATGCAATTTCTGTGGCTTAGAAGCTCAATGACTTTGGGTTAAAGATCCGCCTATATGTTAGCCATAACCATAGCTAATGTCGAAAGTGGCTAGTGATAAGCGATATGATAAGATGTTTGATAAGCTTTAACTACAATTATATATCCATATCAATAACTGAAGCTTTTTATAAGCCAGTCATAACAAAAACATTGTAAAGGGCAGATATAGATGTTAGCTAACTTGTGGTAAAGCCTCATTACAAACCAAACATAGAAGAAAATAAGGTTCATATTCATAATATTCAAAGCCTTGAAACACTACTTGAGATAAGAGTGTTTTCTGCTGGGAAAGTAAACTTAGAGAAACGTCTGGGTGGCTACTCAAAGTAAAAGGTTTTTTTTTTTACCTTTCTAACGTCAAAGTGAAGAGACGTTGATCTTTCACTCATCAGGTGGGAATTCTTCATCAGAAGCTTCGTTCTCCAGAAAAGAGCCGAGAGTTTTCCTCAGTATGCTGAAAGTTTTGTCACCCTACACCAGGAGAATTCGCGGTTCAGTCGTATAACAAGATCAAAGAGAAAGAGTAATGTAAATGTAAGGCTTGTATTTACCCGTTTCTTTTTCTTCAGTGACTCTTCCAATTGAGCAAGCTTTTCAGTGCAGAACTTCTCCTGTTCTGTTATCATTGTCTTCTCCTTCTTCCCTATATGTTATTTACAGGTGGAAGTGAGTAAGTGTTGCCATCTCATAACTGTGGTCTCATTATAAGGGGTTGGTTTGCTTACTTATCTGCTCATATCGCATGTAGAGCCTCTCCTTGTCCTCCTCAAACTTTGAAATAGTGTCTGTCAAGCAGAAACACATGTTCATCACTTTTGGTAATATCCCACTTAGCTAATGAAAGAAATCTACACTTTTGACACACAACACTACTGAACATAAGAGTAGGAGATGACAAAACCAGAAAGCAGTAGAAAGAATACCTTTCAAACCCTGTAGATGATCAGCTTTGTCTTTCACGAATTTCTTCTGAATCTCCTCAAACTTGGCAGCTTCATCCTTCAAGATATTCTCACACTGCAAGCATGGATCAGGTCAGCTCATTGTACATTTCTAAAGACTCAATTAAGTTCATCATCATCTTGGGATTTTTGTTCAGACCTCCTTTGAACTCTTTGAAAGTGCTTTGGCAAAGTTTTGTCTGCAGGTTGTTAGTCAAGGACAAAATTCATTAGCACATTTTCATTTATATCTTATCTTGCAAACCAACATACAAAGCATGGAATGGAAGATCAGACATCCATCCTCAGCAACATAGCATACCTTTCTTTCTCAAGTTTTGACTTCAGCTCGTCAATCTTTGACTTCACCTCAGTGGAGACACTGCCAGAAAGATACACAAGGATTAAAGCAAGATTCAACTATCAAACAAACGACACATAAAAAGCATTAGAACCATGTTGTTTATTTCATTATCTTGTGGAGAAAACTGATTCTGCAGATAAAATGGAGGAATATTCTCACAATCCTTATATGATTCTATCTTTCTGGAACAATAAATGACAAAACCATGCTAGTAGATACCAAATTAACGATACAAATCAACCGATTGCTTCAGAGTTGAGTATCAAAAGTCTGAACATCTAAACGTTCTGTATCTATGTAATCAAACGAGTTCATATCCATCAATCAAACATTTACTTTCTAGTCTAAAGGATACAAAGAGCAATTTCAAAACCAGTTGCACATTAGATAACTGAGTGCTTCAGAGCTGAGGAACAAACCACTGATCATCTAAAAGTTCTGTATCTATGAAATTAAACGAGCTTCATATCGATCAATCAAACATTTGCTTTATCGATTAAGCAATTGAAGATCATACCACAACCACTTGCACAACATATCAACCAATATCAAAAAGGCTAGAGCATATGATCGAACACTTTATCTGCCTAAAACTAGTTGATGAATTTGGTTTGCGATACAAGATCCAGACTAATCCACGTACAAACGAGCTTGATATCTATCAATCAAACATTTGCTTCTAGTTTAAGCGATACATGAGCATACAACAATCAATTTCACAACCGATCAACCAGTATCAAAATGTTAGAACAAATGATCGAACACCTTAGCTTCATCTAGCTATATCTACTTGCTAAATTGATTTGCGATACAAGATCCAGAATAATACATGTACCAAAGATAACTATTAGAAGAAACGCTCTATCAACAAATGCACATGATCAATCGACATGAATGTCTCGATAATTGCATAGTGAATGATGAAATCGAAGTTACATAACCTAACCGGAGAAAATCATGTAAGGGAGAGGTATATTACCTGGAAATGCTCTCTTCCTTCTTCTTCCGGCCATCTTCGTGCGCCTTCTCTCTGAATTGCTGCAACGCCGACATGATTCCTTTGAAATCGCTGCACGATCAACACGGAAACACAATCGCGAGTCACAATTCAGCAAAAACCAGAAACGAAGAAGAAGACGAAGCAAAAAAGGACCTAGAAACATCGACATCCAAATCGTCCTGGAGTTTCGCTTTCGGTGTTGGCTTCTTGAGCGATTGCGGCGGCTCTGGCCGAGTTCTCTTAGTGCCTCTTCTGGTAGACGACATTGTAGACGAAACTGAGAGAGTGTGAGAGACGATGAAGCGAAATCAATAGCTCTGGCGATTATCTGCTCTCTCTCTATCGTGAAATTCGAATTTGAATTTTGAAATTCTGTTTCGTTTGTTAGATTGCCTTCACTCTTCACAGTTATATTATATATATAGCCCACATTACGTATTGTGGATCCCGTCGTAGCGATCAGTGATCACCGTACTCTCACTCTCTCACCATTTTCATTTTTGTTTTTTTCTTTAAATTTATGGCTAAGATAATTAGTTAATTACTTTTATTAAAATAAAAAATATTGGTTTATGTAGGCCTGGGCAAAAAAACCGCTAACCAAATAACCGACCGAACCGAACCGAAAAAAACCGAACCATATCCGAACCGAAGTTTTTAAAATAACCGAATGGTTTGTAAAATCCCCTATCCAAACTAACCGAAACCGAACCGAACCGAACCGATAACCAAACGGTTAACCGAAATATCCAAAAACCTATAAGATACCCAAAAATAATATCCAAAACTATAATTATAAACTCAAAATATTAATTATTTTTAGAATCAAAATAATCAAATACTTTAAATAATCAAAATATTCAAATATTGTTTGTTATATTTGTCAAAGTTAAATACTCTTTTACAAAATCGAATCAAATTTTAATATTTTTTTCTAATACTTTCTTTTTTTGTATTTTCTTTTTGTATTTTTTTGTGGTTAATTTTGGTTAGTTTCGGTTAGTTACGGTAAATTTTGGTTAGTTTCGGTTAGTTACGGTAAATTTTGGTTAATTTGGGTAAAAACCCGAACCAAACCGAACGTGATAAAAGTTTGGTTAGTTACGGTTATCTATTTAAATATCCAAACCGAACCGAACCGAAAGGTAACCGAACCGAACCGAACCGAAATTCTTAAAATATCCGAATGGTTATTATATTACCATATCCAAACTAACCGAAACCAAACGTAACCGAACCGAAACCGAATGGTTAACCGAATGCCCAGGCCTAGGTTTATGCATCTAATTCTTCAAATTATGGGTAGCAAAAATCACTGTTACTTCTATGTATTTACATCGATTTTTAACACTTAACTACCCACTTAAAAAATATGAGACTTGATATATCATGGGCCTCTTTCTTTTTTTTTTTTTTTTTTGTCAGAACATGACCTCATGGCTTAAAAATTAAAATGCGTATGAAAACTTTTCAACTCAACCCAAATCTGCAAAATATGGGATTAGTTGTGAATTTGAAATAGATTTAGGCCAAAACACACTTTTAACTAAACACATATCGCCGGCGCCAAACCATTTAACGTTTTATCAAGTTTTATAAAATCAGGGCCGACCCTAAGCTAAAGCTGGTAAAACTCTTGCTTTAGGCGCCAAAATTTATATATAGCAGTAAAGAATGTTAAGAGAATTCAGTGCTATACCTTTACCTATTTTCCAACTGGTAAGAATGTTAATTTAAATTTTAATAAATCACACAGATACGATCCATGATGGAAGCGAGCACGTCTGATTATGACAAGGAGAAGTTGAAAGAAAGATTGGCTAAGCTTTCGGGTGGTGTTGATGTACTAAAGGTATTGTACACCTTGTTAACATGAGAATATGAAGCTATTAATGCATTAATAGTTTACTATTAATGTCGGGATTACTCACATGGGTTTTTAGATTGGAGGAGCGAGTGAGACAGAAGTTAGCGAAAAGAAAGATAGAGTAACTGACGCTCTAAATGCCCACTAAAGCAGTCGTAGAAGAGGGTATTGTTCCAGGTATTCAAATCTCTAAAACAAACTTTGGTTGAGTTTTTGAAAGGAATTATGAGAATTACATTGGTTTTGTGTATTACAGGTGGTGGTGTTGCTCTTTTGTATGCTTCAAAAGAACTTGAGAAGCTTTCCACAGCTAACTTTGATCAGAAAATCGGTGTTCAAATAATTCAAAACGCCCTCAAGGTTTTTCTCGTCACATTGTTCATCCTCTCTAACATAAACAGCTTCTAGAATCTTACACACAAAATCTTTCGTTGATGCAGACACATGTTTACACGATTGCTTCCAATGCTGGAGTAGAGGGTGCAGTTATCGTAGGCAAGCTTTTGGAGCAAGATAATCCTGACCTTGGTTATGATGCCGCTAAAGGTTACACTCTTATATGCATTAGAGAAATTTGCGTTCTAACTGCTCCTTTCACTATATATTGAACTAGCTTCTTTTTTACGTTTACTTTCAGGTGAATACGTCGATATGGTAAAGTCTGGTATTATTGACCCTTTGAAAGTGATCAGAACTGCATTGGTTGATGCTGCAAGGTACACAAAGTTTTGAAAAATTTATGTCAAATTTTGTAGTTTATTGCAATGTTTTTGCTAATATTTTTTCCTGGTTTATTCTATTGGTTAGTGTGTCGTCTTTGTTGACAACAACGGAAGCAGTTGTGACTGAGATTCCAACGAAAGAGAAGGAAGCGTCTCCAGGTATGGACGGTGGCATGGGTGGCATGGGAGGTATGGGAGGAATGGGTTGAATGGGTTTCTGAGAAGAACCAGAAACCCTAACTAGGTTTCTTTGGGATTACGGTTACTTCATCCACAAGGCACTAATGGATTCTTTAATCATGATTGGAAAAGAGAGAGACCTTCAGATTTTCCGTGAAATCCAATTCACAATCGATTTATAAAAATAATAATTTTATTTGGTTCATGCAAGTCTTTTTAGTTAACTTCTTCCAAAATTCTTCAGATTAGAGAGTTCAGTGAATCTTCAAAAAGGTTGCGCATGGAGATCTATAGTTCTTGCCAAGTATCACCAAACCCTTATATCTTATGAACACGATATTTACATGTTTGTATGTGGTTCAATTAACATTTTTCAGACTCCATTATCAAATAAAAAATTGAAAAGGTCTTTTCAAAGTACACAAGGGATTAGTCATAGAAGGAAAGAAACGATATAGAAAGCAAATCTACTGAAAAAGAGGATTATGATTATAGCCCTTGGTGGGTCCTCAAACATTCCTCTCCCCAAAAAAAAAGTCATGATTATGAACCAAACTCTTTTTGTTTTCACGTCTTTGTCCGTACCATACCATAATTTGTCCTATTTAAAGCAGTGAACCATAATCAAGGATACTGTAATTGTGATTAATTTTTTTTTTTTTTAATTGTGATTAATTTATATATAGTATTAGATTGATTACAGCTTGGATATACAGGATGAAGCGAATTGATTCAATTTGGCCAATTGGTCAAACGCTCCATGTCCCATGGTATACATCCACCGAACTAGATGACAAAAAAACAAACATAATTTGAGAATATTCTTAGACATCTAGTTCAAATTCCTTTGGGAAAATAACGTAGTAAAGTAAAAGAAACTAGGAAAGATACTTGGAGCTTGATGATGAATTAGCTTAACGAGAAAACTATATATCTGTTTAGGCAAGAAAATTTGATGTCTCGGTTGATTACACACTTCCAACACTTCTAGTTAAACTACAAGTAATCATGGATTAACTCTTAAGAAAGTTCCACGCTCTTATTTATTTATTTCACAAGTAACCCGACGTGGGCACGTGGCTGCCCATTGTAACGTTTCCTCGAGCCCGGAGAATGTTTTCTACTTATTTTAGTTTTAAATATATTTACAAGGGAACCCTATTTAGAATGTTCAAAGTTCTCATTAACCTTTTGCCAAAAAAAAAATGTTCAAAGTTCGCAATTAACAAGTTTCATGTGATGTGATTAAAATCATTAAACATAAAAATGAACACTCAAGCGGAAATCCAACATTTGTCTCTGTATTAAATATTCATTCAAAATTTCTTCTTTTGGAGACAAATAGGTCAAAGCAAAAGAAAAATAGCGGTCATTTCAAATCGTACGGCTAGAAACAGAAGTGCACAAGTCATTAAAATGAAACCGTTGCATAGAATCATACACCAAAGCATGTGTTTTATTTTAAATCGAGTTTTCGAACCGCTGCTTCGTCTTTACTCTCTTCGTGATTCTCGTGTGAGAACACTCGACTCACGCTTCAACTCTCAAGCTTCTTCTTCTTCTTCCTTCGCATCTTCTCATTCTCCAGCTTCTGTGTCTAACATAAACGAAATTTTAGCCAGAACCACAAAAAAGGTCAGCTTTTTTTAACTGGAAATTTAAGTTTTCTTTTTCTTAATTACTGATAATGGGTCTGATTCTCTGCTTTCGAGTTTCTCTTTTTGACATGTAAAATTTTATGTTCTTGTTCTTGCCTTTTGATTCTAGAGACTTTGCTAATCGCTAGTCGGAATTGTGTTGTGTGATCGAGACATCATTGCCATATATTTCTGAATAAAAATGTCTCTTTTTTTAATTTGTTCTTGGCCACACTTTCAAAAAAAGATAAAAATGAGAAAATTGTCTAAATGAGAGAACAAATTTCATGAAAGTTTCATGCTTTCAGCTGCCTTATCTATTATTAATTGTGTGATTTAAACAGCATTCATAGGAATCACTTGTTCTCTAAATTAAAAAAGTACATATATTCATTCAATTTCACTTTCTTTTTGGTTTTTGGCAATGAATGGACCAGCAGAAACTGCTCCACCGGTGAGATCATTGCAGATCAGTCCTGGTGATTTAGAGGCTGCTCATCTTGATGAACTCATAAGGGAAGTAGAACAGAGGAGTCTCTATTACTACCAAGAGAAAAACAAGTCCTTGAGAGCTCGATATGTCTATGGAACCATCTTCTTGATTATAAACCTATGCGCTTGGTTCATTCGTGACTATGCACAAAAGGCTCTGGCCTTGCTTCCATGTAAGGTCATTAATCTTTTGACATCTCTCTAATGTTGAATTCAAAGAATACTTTTAGATTGAAATCATCAATGCAGATGTCAGTAGTTGCGGACCAGAAGGAAGTTATTGTTTCCATACGCTTGGAGTACTCCGTGTGAGTCTTGGATGTTTCGTATCCTAAAAATGAATTTTCAGGCTGATAGAATCACATTTTAAAATAATTGGTATGTCATGTAAGTTCATTTATCCTTAACAATGAAGATATTTTTCCTTATTATGTTCCTCTCAACATGGAACACAATGAAACTCCACGAAGCTCAAAACAGTTGGCACTCGGATTATTGGAGCTTCAAGTTTTTTCTGCTGGTTTTAGCCATGGTAGCTTCTTTCTTCATACCTCAGCTTTACATCCAAATTTACGGTATGTTTCTGTCTCACTATAGCTCTATGCCTCTATCATCTTCTCCATTTGATCTGATTGGTTTGGATCATGACAATGTTGTTTTCCTTACAGGAGAAATCGTGCGTGTTGGTGCAGCGTAAATCATATTTCAGTTTACTCTCTTATAAATGATGGAGAAACACATGAGTCTCATACCATTTTTAATTTTCTATGGTTGCAGGATATTTCTTGGTCTTCAACTTGTCAGCGTTATCGAATTCATCACTTGGTGGAATAACTATTGGATGCCTCATGACCAAAGTAAGCAAAGGTAAGCAAGTATCAATCATTACAAAAATGTTGTGTCTATGTGGATATATCAACTGTTGGTTACTACTTACTACTGTGTTTTCTGCAGCTGCTCCTTTGGTTTGGTTATGTCAACAGTTTTCTACATCGGTTCTGTTTGTGGGATCGCAGTGATGTACTACTTTTATGCAGCTTCCACTGCTTGTGTCCTCAATATGTTCTTCATCTCATGGACTGTTGTTCTTCTAATCGTTATGATGGTTATGTCCTTGCATTCAAAGGTAAATTTCCTGGAATTTGCTTGATGATAACACAATGATTGATCTCTGCTTCGAATTCTGATGCTTTGCATGAAAGGTGAAGTATAGAGGACTTTTGTCTTCCGGGATTATGGCTTCCTACATTGTCTTTCTCTGTTGGTCTGCGATCAGAAGGTATAGGAAAAAACCAAAATCTGGCTTTTGTTTGGTTAGTTCTTCAAAGCATTATTAAAGTACAAGTTTCTTATCAGCGAACCTTCACATACAAAATGCAATGCGCATACTCAAAACGGTCTACCGATTGGATTAAAATACTGGTAACTTGGTAAGAGCTCAAAGCCTCTCCTTGAGTTCTTGCTTACTTAACTCAACCCCACTTCTTTTTTTGTCTTCGTCTTTGTTCAGAGTTTCCTTATAGCTATAGGCGCCATAGTGATGGCAACATTCTCAACTGGGATCGATTCAGAATCCTTCAAGGTAAATTCACATTCAGTCTCAGCTTAAAAATCAATATTTTTTTCTGTCACAGACATTAGATCTTTATTACAGTTCGAGTTCCGTAAAGATGAAGCTAAAGAAGAAGACGATATACCATACAGCTATGGATTCTTCCACCTTGTTTTCTCCTTAGGAGCGATGTACTTTGCTATGTTGTGTTTATCAGCTGGAACCTTTCACATTCAGCACGAGAGTAAGAAAATTCCCATCTGAAACAAAAAAAATTCAGATCATGACAATGAAATTGTATTTATTTATGTAACATGCACAGATGGAGCATTGATATTGGGTGGTCAAGCACATGGGTGAAGATAGTGAACGAGTGGTTTTCCGCAGCGATATACTGTAAGTTTTATAATATAAAACTAAATGGTTTCACCCCTTGATCTATATACTTTATGCAAATCACACAAAAGTAGCTATAAAACAACTTATATATGTGATATAAAATAGTTAACTATATATGCAGATCGATGCTTGATGTCCTCTTGATATTCTGTAAAGGTTTTGTGTTTAATTTACAAGTTTCAATTCATACTTGTGGTACGTTTTGCATGTGTTTAATTTACAAGTTTCAAAAGGTAGCAGGTAATAAAACTTGCCAAAAACAAAGATCACCCGTTCAAACAATAAGTAACAGTGTAAAGAATGAAAATCAGCACAATCTAAAGATTCTAAACTACTCAGAAAACCAAAAAAAAAGAAACCAACACTTAGAATATTAAAGCTTTCTGACTGAATTGCAAATTTAATAGTATAAAAAGTAGCTATAAAACAAGTTATATAAAATAGTTGAAACAAGGAGTGAGAATATTCAGGCAATGACAGGATGAGCATATAAGAAGTTAAAGCCAACATATGAGCCTGAGAGAACAGCACCGGACCAGTGAATCTTCCCCGCCTTAGTCCCGCGTCGCTTGCTGTTCGAGAAAGAAATCTCGGCAGACCAAAGCTCCAAAATGAAAGGATCATCATCATGAGGCCGCACTATCCAGAAGATGGCAATCGTCTTATGAGTCATGGGGCAGAGGTTGATGATTTCATTATTACCACAGAGAGATTGAAGATTTTCCAAACCCTTGACTTCCTTCCAATCCAACTCATATGGGAAACACCACAGTATCCTCCGGCCTTTACCAGCGCAGAATAAGTGTTTCCCAAATAAACACCAATCAGTTAGGTGTTCTTCTTGGGTTTTCTCAGCATTTCCGTTGGCCACAAATAGAGATTTACTTGGTGAAAAGGACATGGTTTGACCATCCTCATCCACCACGTAAACCTCCTCCTTGTCTCTCATCAACACACTTTGTCGGATATGTTGGGGAGGGGTAGACACATACAAGAAATCCCAAGTTAGGGTCCTGAGATCGAATACCTCTGCCCAGTTTGAGGAATCACCATAATCAGTGCAGCCTCCAAACACATATATCTTGTCGTCTATTAGGCTCGCCGATGCTCTGCTTCGAGCTATCTTCATGGACGGGAGACGGGGCCATATGTGCCCGAAACAATCGAAAAAAGAGACATGGCAAGTGCGCTCGCCCTTTATGACTCCACCGATATCAAAGATTCCCCAATCCGCAAACACGAAAGCTGATTCTGCTTCCGGAACCGGATTCGGATTCAGGTTCGAATGGATCGGTTTCAGCCGACGTTGCACAGGGTGGAATATGAACCAACGTGGGTTTGGTTCTGGAAATATGTGCAATAATACGTAGAGACTTAGCTCGGAGCAACCCATCTCATATCTCAAGTCCCAGAGCTCAAGGGACCCTACGAGAGACCGCTGTTCCTTGGAAGCGATAGCAAAGGCAGCGAGATCCAATCTCGACAATTGAGCCAGGCAGATCAAAGCCACCGAATCTGGCAACGACCATATCCCACACACCTTCTTCTTCCTCGGCGTCAATTCCAATCCTCCAATCGCACAGCTCTCTTCCATTGATTGAGCTTTGATTATCGGAACTCTCTTTATTGATAGCAAAAGAAACTAACTCAAAACTTTGGATCTCTCTCAATCTCTTAAACACAATCTCTCAAACTTCTCTCTCAAAACTCATAAGCTTACCACAACCTTGGTAGCTCTATTTATATGAAAACTCAAATCCAAATCCTATTAGAAACAGTCCGGCCGGCCCTGAGCTAAAGCTGGTAAAGCCCTTGCTTTAGGCGCCAAAATTTATATATAGCAGTAAAGGGCATCACTTTCACAAAATATTATGTAGTACAGTGGTTAGCTCCTAGGTTTTTGTCCTTGTCCCAAAACTGTTTTTTTGTGACTTTATTAATTGTGTGGGCTTAAGAATGTTTTGGGCAGCTAAATCTATTTGGCCGACCATGTATAAAATCAACACTCTAAATATTAATTATTATACATATGACGCTACCATACATTTGCCAAGTTTGGAAATTTATAAGTATTTAATCTCACATAGATTGAGAACCTCCAAAAAATTGCACTTATAACCTGCAAGGCATTGTATAGTTTAGGAATTGAATCTCATGCATGCGTACGTGAAAGTATATATAAATCTTTTGTGAAACACTAGAGCAAAAGATTTTGCAATATTAACATACAAAAAAATTTAATAAATAATTTTCTGATTTAAGAATAATTAATAACACGGGCATCGTTTTGCCAGTTTCATTAAAATCTAATTGACTAATTATATATATTATCTTATCCTGATCCAAGAATAATTTTTTAGGCATCATTTTGCTAATTTCATCAGATTGGAAAACCAAATAAATAGAATTAGAAGTGTATAAATTAATTGAACTTTAAATGTGTAATGTGTTGAAGCCGCACCAGGCGCATCTTGTTGCCAAGTCCATGTTAAGGACCACGAAACATGGAACATGAACGAAAACTCATGCACTAATACTACTTCAGCTAAGTTGACAAAATTTTTATTTACTCTTAGAAGATAAAAACCGGGAAGTGACTGTATTACAAATTAATATCGAGTTTCTTGCTTAAATTATTAAAACCTGTTAATTAAGAGATCTAAATCTAAATCTTTAACGAGACATCGGAAACTTCTCGCCAGTTGTGTACATGTGCTATGTATGCCTCTGTTATCTATATGAATGATACAAAATTGTAGCCCGGAATCTCCTATAAATACACCCAAGTTACATCAACCCAAACTCACACACATAAACAGAAGCAAAAACAAAAGAATAAAGATGGGAATCATTGGTAAGTGTGTTTCTCTAACTCTCTTAGCACTTTTATGCTTCACTTCCTCTGTTTTCACCTTAGGAGTGAATCAACCTGGTTCATCAGATCCCTTCAATAGCCATCCCCATCACCTTCCCATACCTCCGGTCACATTACCAAAACTCCCACCGGCCAAAGCTCCCATCAAACTACCAACACTCCCACCGGCCAAAGCTCCCATCAAACTACCAGTCTACCCACCAGCCAAAGCTCCGATCAAACTACCAACTCTCCCACCAGCCAAAGCTCCGATTAAATTACCAACTCTCCCACCGATCAAACCTCCAGTTCTCCCACCAGTTTACCCTCCTAAGTACAACAAGACCCTAGTGGCCGTTCGAGGTGTGGTCTACTGCAAAGCCTGCAAGTATGCGGGCGTCAACAACATCAAACCCGTTAAAGGTACTAACTATATATACACTTATGATATGAAAATTATCCTTAATATTCACACGTGTGGTATGTGAAAAGTTCACACTTCACTTCCCATGCATACTTCATGATATCCTGTTTATATGTATTAATAGGGTTGTGGTTAACACGTACGAGCTCTTTCGTTTAAAAAAAAATAACTTCTATTATAGTATATAACAAATCTATCCAAGTACTACTTCTCACATTTTTTTTTGTGTTATCTGGGGATACAGATGCGGTGGTGAGACTTGTGTGCAAGAACAACAAGAACCCAGTATCGGAGACAAAGACGGACACGAAGGGATACTTCATGCTCTTGGCCCCTAAGACGGTGACCAACTACGATATCAAAAATTGCCGAGCTTTCCTCGTGAAGTCGCCGGACGCCAAATGCAGCAAAGTGTCAACGTTCAATGGTGGATACAAGGGCTCCGTTCTAAAGCCGGTCTTGAAACCAGGATTTTCCTCAGTCATCATCAAAAAGTTCAAGTACGGTGTTTACAACGTTGGTCCATTCGCATTCGAACCTACCTGCCCCAAATGAGATGGTTTAAATAGCTACTTATACTTTCATTAATTAATGTTTGTGTTGGATGTATCAGCTTGGGTTCTTTGTAAGGGCTTTTGTGTTAGTGTCTTTCAAATTTGCTTCTTAAATAAAAAACGGTGACGTTTACATATCAGGTTTTTCTTTTTTAATCCTTATATATCTTCCTGAATCCTGACCCCAAAAACAAATATAAAAAAGAAGAATTTGCTATATAACAAAAAAAGAGTTTGAATATGTTTTGTGGATGTTAATGACAAAATAATCTACCAAACGAAATGAACAGAACCGTTGATATTTTAGCCTATTAATTCGTTAAAAATCGAAATGATAAAATTTATCTCCATCACCATCATGTCAGAACAATTATTTTCAAATATATTTCGCCTTCTTCTCCTTAAATTGATATATTTTCTTAGTTCACGAAAATATTGACAAGAATTGAGAAATCATAGATAATTTTCTTTCATAATGTTGTACATTTGTTTCTTTTGTACGAAACCTCTGATTAAAGAAAATTACCATCTATAAAAAGTTATCTATGATTTCGACTTACGAACCGTCATCTTTGTAATTTTGTCATTATTATATAGTGAGTTAAAGAAAAATCTTTTTGTGAGATTAGTTAAATTTAGTAAAAGTATACCTCATATTATTTTTAATAATTTAAAATGTAGGTCTCATATGACATTAGAGACACAAAAAAAAAGGATCTCATTATGATATATATATATATATATATATATATATATATATATATATATATATATATATATATATATAAATTAATTAGGCAACTTGGGAAAATATATAAAGTTTATTGACTTTGTCAAACTTAAATATATATTTTTGACAACACATATATCTTTTGGCAAAAACATGATAAATAGATGGGTTGGTATAACTTAATTACACTTTATAATCTTTCATAATCACCCGATAATAGATTACTTACCCATAACTTCATTCTGTCATAAGATCTCATTGGATTCCTTTAATTTTTCCTATATATTTATATTCAATTCTATCAGATCTCTTAGCCAATCCTTCCGTATATATATATATATATATAGTTTCCTTTAAAATCCTTGCCAATATTTTACCATTGCAAAACTATATGTGATTTGAGTCTAAAATATGAGAGATGTCATCAAAAGTTTTTTTTTATTTGTTAAAAAGATGTCATCCAAACTTGCGACAAATGATGATCATCTACAAGAGCCGCCAATACTGATGACCTCACTTCCCGATGAAATCCTCTTGGATTGCGTAGCACGTCTACCAAGATCTTACTATCCAATTCTCTCACTCGTTTCAAAGCAGTTTCGGTCTCTCGTTACATCCCCTGAGCTATACAGGAGACGATGTTTTCTAGGTTACGAAGAACACTGTCTCTATGTTGCCATCTCTGAGAACATCGAAACCTCTAATATCCATTGGTATACTCTTGCTCGGAAACCCAACGACAAGCTTTGGTTAGTCCGTATCCCTTCACTCCCTCCTATGCCTTTACATGGAAGCTATGTGGTCAAAGGTTCGAGTATATATGTCATGGGTGGATTTCACCAGTGGCAGCGGGGGTTGATCACACCGAATGTGTCACGCCTCGATTGTGTATCTCACATGGCGGAGCCTCTTACTAGAATGCCAAAGGCTGTCGCTGCCTCGGTCTCCGCACTCGTAGATGGGAAGGTATATGTGATTGGAGCCTTGGAGGGTCCGCTACTCGTTCCCGGCAGTTAAAGTCAACGTCTAAAAGGATCATGGTGTTTGATACCGTAGCACAAACATGGGAGGTTAGGAAAAGGCCAAATTGGGAGGTGGGCCGGAGGTGGTTTAGTAGCGTGGAGATAGCGGGTAAGATTTACATGAAGAGTTCTCGGATCAGCTATGTGTATGAACCAAAGGAAGGTATATGTGAGACTGACCCGATCTTGCACTATAGGAACTGGTCTAATTCATGTGTTATAGACGATGTGTTGTACTATTATGATGATCGTAGTAATTTTTTAAGAGCGTATGATCCAAAGGAGAGGGTTTGGGAAGGGGTGAGCGGTGTGTTAGGACTATGTCATGACGGTTCATGGTCATACACAACGAGTTATGGTAAAAAATTGGCTGTGTTTTTTCATAAAGTAGACTTATTGAGTAAGACAACAGAAATTTGGTATGCAGAGATTGCGAAGGAGGAAAGATGTGGGGAAAGGTCGAGTGCTATGATCTTGTGCTTAATGGAAAATCTCGCATTATGAAATGTCTAGCTGTTAAACTTTGATGTTTGAACCATGTAATGGTAGTTTAGTAGTCATTATCGTCTTGTGGTTCTTGGTTAAAAATGATTGGTTGTACTTCAAGCGCAATAACTTCTCTAGATTATCATTACAAGGAAAAGGAAAAATATTGATGTTTGGCTTTGTTCTGTGCATCAAAACTTCTCTAGTTTCTTAATAATTACTCTTGATGTTTTGAATAGTATACCTATTGGGATGGATAAATGGATTTATGTTTGGAACGTGTTAGCTTACCAAAGATTGTTGTTTTTTCATTGGCATAATAAATTGTTGATACCTTAAAGAAAGAAAACCTCATAAGCCCAGTTCAATAAGCTAAAGCCCAAACAGATGACTCATATCTTTATTTTTCAAATAATCGAATTTTATGGGAAGTTTTTGAATGGTATCTGCAGTAGTACCTTCACCAAGATTTTGTAGTCAAAAACTAGATTTTGTATAATCAATGTGTTGACTAATAATCTCATATCTATGGTTAGATACTCTTTTTTGAGAAGGTAAATGCGTTGACTAATAATTTGTTGACTATGAAAATCTGAAGTCAACAGGTCCACACACCAACCAACGTTGCCAGTTTTTAACTTTGACGGTGGCGCGTGCACATTACTCTCATCATGTAGCGCGTCACATCAGATTACAATTCTACAAAAAGATAGTCATATTTACACCAAAATGGGGTCAATAGATACCACTTGTCCATTTCTCACCGAATCAAACCAAAAAACAAAATTTCTTTCCAAAGATATTAATTTAAATTAAAAAATATTCAAAGTCTAAATAAATAAAATTTACTATTCAATGCCAAAAAAAGTTATAATTTACTATCTTACCATAAACATGTTCAAATAAAGTTGAACTAAATTATTTACATTTTATTATATAAACTAGAGATTATATTGCTAGTAAAAGATAAATATATTTCCATTGAACCTCTCTCTCTCAATACGTGCTTCAATGGAGAATTCACCAAGATACAAAGATGACGCAAAGAACTTGCTTCCTTCACCAAGCAGCTGCACCACTACTCCGACCAGACTCTTTAGATCCACCAACATGATTGACACCACTTTCATCCGAACCGATCCTTCTTCCTTCAAACAAGTCGTCCAACTGCTCACCGGAATCTCCAAGACCCCGCCCCACCAACCCGACCCGAGATTTTCTTCCTTTCACTCTATCCCTCCGATCAAATCCGTACCCAACAAGAAACAAGCTTCTTCCTTCCGCCTCTACGAACGTCGCGATTCGATGAAGCACTATCTCAAGATCAACCCGACCAGTTCCGGGTTACCTGAGGTTCCCTCCCCCGGCATCTTGGATTTTCCGGCTCTGGCTCTCAGCCCTGACACTCCTCTCATGTCTGATCCGTTTCATCGATCCGGATCTCTGAGTCAGACTCAGAGCCCTAGTGATCCGAAACCAAGCTCCGATGATGAAGAAGAGAGAGCGATCAAGGAGAAAGGGTTCTATTTGCACCCATCACCGTCGACAACTCCGAGGGATACGGAGCCCCGACTTCTCACTCTCTTTCCGATGACTTCGACTCACTTGCCGCCATCACCTCATGATCAACCCTAGTTTTGCCTTTGTTTTATTTTGATGTTGTAAGATTTTGTAATGCTTGGTGTGACAACAATTGATCAATGAGAATTCTTACAAAAGCTTGGACTTTTGCCATTGGCTAATGGATATGTTGTTTCTTTCTCCTCATTATAAGATATAGTTTTATAGACTTGTTCAGGTTTTTGATAGATTTATTGCAATCTTAAAATGTGTAGAACAGTTTGTTCTATAGATAACTAAAATAGGTCCTAAATTTTCATTTGCATATTAATTTTTACGGATTTGTGAAATAGAGAGAAGTATCGTTTTAGGGACATCTGGATCGAAGGTATAGTTTAGTGTGGATGTGGTACGATGTTATAGTTCTCGGGAGAAATAGCACGTGTTCCCAAACCACTATGATCCCTAAGTTATCTCTTCTCTAGTAAGTTATCTTTAGATTGTTTGTCCTATGAATCAATGAAAATCTCATATAAGTCATGGTATGTATTAAGGGATTATTGTCTATATTGCCATTTTTGGACCAAATCTTTTACCCATGCCATTTTTGATTTGGGCTTGTGGATTTGCCATTTTGGACCTCATGCAATGACGTTTTTGCCCTTGTCTTCAACCTTAGGCTATTGCTTGCCGACCACCACCGTCGTGCTCCATCGACGCATCTCCTTCTACTCCATCATCACTTTCAGTTTCAACTCTACTAACATCATCACCTTTGTTTACGATTTACAAAACGTCAACACTATTTTCTTGGATGAATTTAATAATTTTGAATGAAAAAAAGCTAAACCCTAGATAATGACTAGTAAACCCAAGGGCTTCAATAATAAACATAGATTTAATCAAAACTTCCAATTTATCTTCAAATCTAAACCAAATCTGAAAACTACAATCACATATTTATGAAAGCATTGAGTTTTTTTTTTTTTTTAAATTTCTCTTGACAAATCAAAACCCAAAGGGAAAGAGATTAGTTTAAAAGCTTTCGTCTTTTGGTCTTGCTTAAACTGGAATTGTCACCAGATCTCGTCATGGAGAAGACTATCAAGAAGCAATCAATTGAAGACAAAAGGAATTCTAATACTTCGGGATCGCTCATGGACGGAACCGGAAGAGAAGCTGCGGTTATGGAGGTGTGCTACAAACGATCTTCAGAGCTCAAGCCCATCTAATTAAACTTCACTGTTCGATTAGGTCCAAGAAAGCAGAATAACAGAGAAGAAGATCAGATTTTGTGACGGCGAGGAAGGGAAGAAAAGCGAAACTTTGGTTTTTATTCTTCACAAGCTGTTTTTTTTTTTTGATAAAAACCCAGAATTCTGTGGGCAATTTCGTCTTTTGGAGCAGCTGATAATGGCAAACTCACAAACTGTTGAAAAAGGTCAAATTCAACAAAGACCACTCCAGAAAATGGCTTTCTCGTAATTGATTCTATGTATTAATTGTCACTGACATTGATTGGTGACATATGAAATAGTAGTGCATTAGAAATTTTGAAGTAATATAAACATGTATGCCGGTGCTTTACGCGCCAAAAATTTTAAAGCTAGAATGTTACACAACACCATATTTTTTTGGGCTTTACAGTGTGCCAGACCCGACCATGAGATAAAACACATATGCTGGTGTTTTACGCGCCAAAAGTATATTATTGTTTTTATGAAATCATCTGTGGAAGAATACATGTAATGTAGCGGCATAGCTTAAATATTTGTATGCCATAAAAGATGGTTTTTGTGATTTTTTTTTTGAATTTAAGTGTTAATGGGGAAAAAAAAATTATGCTTTAGACATCTCACCACTTTGGGTCGGCACTCCATCGTTTTTATCTTGTAACAATATATAAAAGCATTTACATTGGTTTGAAACTCCTCATGAATATCTTAACATTAAAATATTAGTATTTTTTGTATAATTTAATTGCATATTTAAGTTTTAATTTTAAAACAAAACATGAGCCAACTAAAACAAGACAATTGTTACGAAGAATTATTAATAAGAGCTCATGATATCTTTCTTTAGAAAATATCGTGTTAAGATACTTCCAATGAAAATACTCTAAAAAATATTACACTTTGTACCATCATCTTAATATGCTATCAATCAAAGCGGGAGTTGTAAATATTAATGACAGTTTTGGCTCCCTTTCTCTTTCTCTATATCCTTTGTAGATTGGTTATTTTGTGACGTTGTTTAACATATTCTCAAACTTTGTGAAAGCTCATATATACCCTATGCCCTAATATAATTTTATATTTTATTTGTGTATTATATTGTAGATCTTTGGAAGAGACTATTCAATGGTGACATCTCGTGAATTCACTCCATCTTCGGAGAGTCTTGGCAAAGCATATGCAAAAAGAGTCTTACAAATTTTGGTTCATCTCTCGGATTTTATGAGTAAAGTTATCAAAACAGGATACTACTTGCAAGTTGCAATCACTTGATGACATAATAATAATAAACAAGTGGTCGTATTGGATTATGATATTAACGGTCACATAAATTAATACAATTGTAACGTATGTTTGAAGATACAATGCAAACGTCGTCAACAATTAATTCCAAATTCTTTTTCCTTTCAAGTTCTGAACAAATTTTCTTGATACATACAAAGTTTAATATTTAACACATAGCACAAGGTATGGAAACAATACTTAATAATAGACACAAACGAAATACAACAATTTCTGCACAAATATAAAAGAAGAAGAACAGATGAAATGAGCGTATATATGCATCATGATCATAAAAATAAATGAAAAAGATGATTAAAGATAGTTAAGAGGAAAAAAGGGGGGCAATATCAAGAACCATAATACGTAGAAGAACTGGTATATATTTTGTTTGTATTCAACTTTTTTGCATTATTTGCCCTCTCGCTTCTTCAATCATATTGTTTGTATAAATGCTTCTCGAAATTAAGAAGTTTGCCTGTAGCAATGTGTGATTACGCTGCAGCCACGCCTGTAAGGGTTAGCCCTTTTCCTCTTCTTGCAATCATAGTAAGACCGGCCACGTCGGCTGCACGGCACATTGTTCTTCCTGAGAGCACCGTAACTGATGTAGCTGCGCCTCGCGGCTAGTTGGCGCCGGTTGGTCTCAGAATCCATCAAGTAGTCAAGCTCACCATCCTCTCCAATGCAACCTTGGCCATTGACACAGGATTTGGTCAGGGTCCATGTGGCATTGGCAGACTCGGCGACTACGGCCAGGGCCAAGAGGCCAAGAATCAACAAGAACTTAATACCCATTTGGTTTTCTTTGTTTTGTTTGATGATGAAATTTTAATTTTTTTTTCTGGTTATAGAACTATTATGGTGGATTCTTCTACGCCCTTCCTTGTGAAAGGAGGGAGAAATAGAAGTGATATTGCAGAAGAACAAATGTGGGATGCTTTTGTTGGGGATAAAAAAGGGCAAGACAGAGTGTAAGTTTTTGTTTTATTTTTGTGGTTGTTGATTTTGTTTTTTTAATGTTGGCCCTTTTTTTAGGGTAATTTTTTTGTTGATTCACGTCGTTCATTTCTTAGTTTAAATCTGTTAATTTTATATGTGGCACTCCTCTTTGATCGGGTGTCCAATTTTGTAAGGAAAGATTCAATTAATTTAAATGTTCGAATTAGCTTGTAAGCCCTAGGGCTAATTGGGGAGTTATTCCTGCATCTGCTGTATCTTTTTTACACATTTATGTACGTACAATCACCTCCAAATAGGTATTCAAGCAGAGCATTTGTTCTCTAGTCTTTTTTGTTTCCAACGGTTTATTTCAGGTTTTACACTTTTTAGATATGAAAACTCTTTTAAAGTTAATTAAATGCCACGAAATCTCTCTTTTAAAAACATGTATACCTTGTGTGTATATACTAAATTACTCTTTCGTAGACATTTATGATTAGCTCTAACTTCTTGTATAGTAGCGTAAGGCCTACGTTATTGAATAAACACAAGAAAACCTTGTTGTTTACTTGACATAATCAATGGTTCTTGACAATCTTTTCGAGTATTAAGAAATAAAATGCTGTTCGTGAATTTTCGAACCCATTAAGTATTACTGGTAGAGCATTTGGTGTTTTATTTATTTTGAAAGGGTTTAGCACATTTTTTAAGGTTAGTATCTCCTTTCTTATGAATTTATTTTTGGGAGACTCACAAAAATACCCCTTTTTCAATACCCCTTTTCAAAAATGCCCCCTTTGGATGTCCATTTTTAAAAATACCCCTTTTATGTACAAAATGACTATATTACCCTTCTTTTAATAAAAGATATCATAAATATATAAGGAAATATAACAAAATTAGGTCCACAAAACTTACAAAATATTTTTTGGCGGGAAAAGTGATCCCCCAATTTTTTCCGCCAAAACACTTGTAAAAATTTGTAAAACCTTTAAAATACCTTGTAAAATTTTCCAGTAAAATTTTTTCCCGCCAAAAAATTTTCCCGCCAAAAAATTTTCCCGCCAAAAAATTTTTTTTGCGGGAAAAGTGATTCCGCAAATTTTTTGGCGTTAAATTTTTGGCGGGAAAAATTTACAAGGTATTTTAAAGGGTTTTTACAGGGTATTTATAAGGTTTTACAATGTATTTTAAAAGGTTTTACAACGTATTTATAAAATATTTATAAGATATTATAAGATTTTACAAGCTATTTTATAAGGTTTTACAAGTTATAAGGTTTTACAAGTTTTTTATAAGGTTTTACAAGTTATAAATACCTTATAAAACCTTATAAGTACCTTGTAAAACCTTTTAAAATACATTGTAAAACCTTACAAAACACTTGTAAATACTCCGTAAAACCTTTAAAATACCTTGTAAATTTTTCCCGCCAAAAATTTTCCCGCCAAAAAAATTTCGGCAAAAAATTGCGGAATCACTTTTCCCGCAAAAAAAATTTTTTGGCGGGAAAATTTTTTGTCGGGAAAAATATTTACGGGAAAATTTTACAAGGTATTTTAAAGGTTTTTACAAGTGTTTTGGCGGGAAAATTGCGGGATCACTTTTCCCGCCAAAAAATATTTTGTATTTTGTGGACCTAATTTTGTTTCGTATAAGGGTAAAATGGTCATTAAAAATTAAAAGAGGGCAAACTTAAAAATGGACTCTCAAAAGGGGCATTTTTGAAAAGGGGTATTGAAAAAGGGGCATTTTTAACAATTTCTCTTTATTTTTCTTATTCTCACAGCAAATTAACCCTGGAAGCTCTTACCTAATTAAAACAAGATTACTACGATAACTTATTAAATAAACATAGTACATAAATTCAAAAGGGATTATTACGGATTTTGCCACTTTTTATAATGACTTTTATGGATTTTGCCCTTTTTTGAATAATTTATGGATTTTGCCCTTTTCTAACACTTAAAAATGTACGTATTTATGATTTTTTTTTACAAAAATACGTACATTATACCAAATACTAAACCCTAAGAACAACTGGAACCGACTAAACCCAAACATAACGAATGAAACGCATGTTAAATCATATTTTTGGAGCCTAAAAAATGGCAAAATCCATAAATTATTCAAAAAGGGCAAAATCCATAAATGCCATTATAAAAAAGGGTAAAATCCGTAATTAATTCAAAAGATAAATCTAGCCCTTTGAAAAAAAGGCATCCTGATGTGAACAATTATTTTTCATTCCAAATAAGTGGTATGAGGCATCTTCTTATCAAGGGAGAATCAACTTGGTTGGAAAAGCATCCAAAAAGAAGAAACGAATAAAGGAAACCCAAAAATAATTCTGAAATTGGAATTACAAAAGCATAATATCAAATATAAAAGGCAGATATCAAAGTAGTATACTGTTGATCCAATTCCAAATCAAGATGAAGTTTTTGTTTCAGCTGCCTTGTTGTTCATGCTTCTGTTTCGTTAAGCCAAAGAAGGGAAAACACAAGGATGGAGAGACAAAGAAAGAGTGATGAGAAAGCGTCTTCAAAGAGATAATGGATCTTTCTATTTGATTGAACTTTTTGGTCTCATAATTTTCTGTCACTTGTGTATGTCCGTTTCTGAATTTCTTATAAGAAATAAAAAAAACTATAACATTTGATGTATACTTCTCTGGATTTGTATGTATCATCATTTCGGTAAGCTTCTCTTTATATGAATTCTATAAGATATTTCTTTATATATATATATATATATATATATATATATTTATTTTCTTACAAAAAACAAAATTGTCTACCTTCCTACTAGCTTATATCATGCATATTTTAGTACATTTAAAAGTAAAAATCAAATAATGTAGTATTTTAAAACATTGTCCCGCGCGTAACTTAGACTTGGAGTTCATCTAAAACAATTTAATTATGTGAAGAAACATATACTTATCTTGCTTATCGTAATTAATTTCCAATTTAAGATAGTATAATTGTCCTCCTAAAAGAGTATCTGTTTCTAGTATTATTCATGAAAAGAGTCCCTTTTCCGAAATTCTTGAGCAATAAAAACTGCTATTTGCCAATCACAAATCCTAGTATCTAACCTCCTCTTTTATTCCATATCTTCGTTCGAAATTGATTATTTTAACTACACTACTTTGATCTGAAAAATGAATTAAATATAGAAGGATGGCTCAACGATGTAGTGTTACCTACAACAACACGTACTAAGCCATCTTAGATGCAGAAGGAGAGGGGAGAGATTGTACATTGGATCTTCAAATTCGCAAATCGTAAGAAGATGGCTTGATGCGGTTTGTTACCTTCCATTAGAAGAAGCAATCGCCTTGATGCCAAGTTCACCGTCGTTTTTAGTAACTAAAGTACCATAGTATAGTCTTACTTTTTTCAGTTTCTTGTACAAGACTTAAAATTGGGGACTCCTAAAGGACAACATAACACGATCACAGTCAAAATCATATTTTTAAGTAGCCAACAAGAGGTTAGAGCCGAGACCGACCAAAGTTTGCATTGCCTAAGAGGCTAAGACCCAAGTTATTTTACAAAAAGAAAGGCCCACTTTAAATTCTAGGAAATTATTATCAAAGTAAACAGAGAAAAAAAGGGATAACAAAACAAGGCTAATATTTTGTAACGAAATATATAAAGAAATTATAAAGTAAGCCCAACGATGTAAAAATAGACTCAATTAGACTCGAACCTGTTTAAAGCATGAGCATTTGTTACACATTTCAGGCTTATTTTTCATTTTAAACATTCAACAATGCAGAGATATCATCGAGCAGATCAAGAAAAATTGAAAAAGAAACGAACTTTAGTGGCCTAACAGTCGAGTTAAAGGAGTCACACAAAAAGCATTAATCTTCTCAAGACCATATAATTAGGTTGATTATTCATGAAAATAGAGTAATAACAGCAAGATTTCATGTCTAAAAATAGTACTAGACAAAGTTCAGAACCAAATATTTGAATCATGAAAAAACAAATTAAGAGAAAAAATTAGAATATTTTTTGGTAGTAAAGCAATATTGACGGTCCACAAAGTCCAAGTGGTGTGGGTAAAGAGCTTTACCACCAAAGTAAATAAATGAACTAAACAGAGTTTGTGTCCATTCAAAATGGCACAATTATAAGAAAAAAGTGGTAATATTAAAATGTGAAAACTAAAAAAAGACTTCCACTTTGAATAAATCATTGTGCTAATGGAATCTGTTGTCATAATAGTTTCTCCACTTCCTTCACAATCTGCCGCACTCTTATTATTCTATGCACTTAGATCTAAAGATGTACACATACTCATATATGTAATGTAAAGCAAAAAGCATGGCTGCTGCTGAATATTATTAATGCTGCATCTTATGTTCAACTGTTCCTTGCATTTTGGAAATATTAAGAAATATGTACTTCAATCAAATATGTGAGTTGGCCTAGAACAAATCTCATATTTGATTTAATGTTAAAGTTCAAATGATAGGGATCGATTTTCTTGTGGGATATATAGTATTTGGCTAGACCTAGACGGTAGATCAAATAATTACAAAAATGTTTATATCTTGACAATTGTTTCTGACAATAGTTAATAAATAAATTTTATGAAATATAAAAAATAAAAATGTGAATCATCCAATCACTTACACTTTAGTAGATTATTTTCTCCTAAAAATGATAATGGTATAAAACTTGTACTATCACTATTTTTGTTTTGTATTGCTAAGTTTGACTGTCTTATTCATTCTACCCTCTCAGATAACCATTAATTATACCAAAATTGGTACATTATTTACCACAATAATACAATATCACCAATCAATCTCTACGATATGTTTTTTCAAATTATTTCGTATTGAAATATCAGGACGTGGAAGTTTTTAACATATGTTTCTCACTTGTACTAATTCTCTCAATAAAATACATAACCGGCCGTGAGAATTCTTTATGTTTATACACGAACATTTATAAACCAGAAACTAGATCGCGTCATATGTTTTTAAGTACAAGGTTATCTGCATAATTACATCGATATCATCAACCGTATATAATAAAGTTAGAGGGAGTGTTTTTTTTTTTTTTTTTTTTTCTTTTTTGTGTGTGTGTGTTTCACAACCACAAGAAGTGTTTGCTTTTCTGAAGATATTTTTCATAACATAACTTACGCAATAACGCATGTTATCATATATATAGGTGTCCATTATTGATCTTCTTACTTCTTGCTTCATTTGTTTGCTTCTCTTGTTTATGAATCTGAAAATTACCTAGATTGACTCAAAAGGACAATAATAACTAAAATGACTCTCATTAGTGATGGATAACTAGACTAACACAAAATTTTGTGTAAAAAGACCAATTAACCTTAATCAAGATTTCTACAACATTTCTATTCACAAAAAAAAATTTATTTGATTTCCGAATATTAAAAAAAACAGAAAAATTAAGAAACAAAACAATTAAAGCAAACACAAACTCGATTTAGGTCATCTTATTTCTTCCAAATCAGACTTTCCTCTCATGAAGCCACGTTTTTTCACAAAAACTAAGGAGGCCACGTTTTTTTTTACAAAAACCCTAGATGTCGACATTTAATGTTTAGTGGTAAATATGGTAACTGCTCTAATAAGTCTATCATTACAAGGAAAAAAAACTGTCACCACTGTAAATATTATTATAGCAAAAAAATCTACCAAAAAAAAAACACTGTTATCAAAGGGGTTCATAATTACAAATCTGTCGTAACATACAAAATTATAAACATCATTCCAGCAATTTTTTTACTTTAACCAATCTGCCATCAAATGACAGATTTGTGGTAATATAATTTAATCTGTCATAACATAAAACAAGTCTGTCATAACATAAAAGATTATATTTTGAAAAACAAATCTGTTGTAACACGACAGATTTATTGTAACATTATAAAAATCTGTCATAACATATAACAAATCTACTATCATTAGACGTCAATCTAGTTATTAATTTTAATCAGCAAATCTGTTACAACATGACAGTTTTTTTTCAAAAATAATAAATCTGCTGCTTCTTAAAAACTAAATCATTCAGACATTACAATAAGTCTGTCACAAATTGTTAAAGTCTGTCGTAACCATATTCTAAAAAATCTGTCACAGACAAATAAGTCTGCAGTTTATAAATTAATCTGTCACACCTAGATATCAGATTTTTCTAAAATTGCTGGAATTTTTTATTAAGGGTATTTTTGTATTTTTTTTTTACACATGAGACAAGTGTATTTTAGACATGAAAATAACTCATTTAGCCCAAATTATTTGTGAGTCAATCTAAGAGTTAAACTCAAAATTTGGGTTGATCTAGTAACTGTCCTTTTATGAATTGTTATTTGTTACTCCCTCCGTTTCGTTTTACTTGTCGTTTTAGAGTTAAAATATTGTTTCATAATAGTTGTCGTTTTAGGTTTTCGATGCAAATGTTTTATGAAAATTCCATTTTTATCCCTACTGTTTTAATGTTTCGGCCAATGAATTTTTTTAAAAAATATATTAATAAAAAATAAAACAGAAAATTTAATGATTTTCTTAATTTGTGTGAGAAAACCTTAAACGACAACTAAAACGATACGGAGGGAGTAGTCATTAAGAAAACCCAAAACAACTTCTTGAATTGTCTTAGATATGTATTTTACTCCTATATCGATCCTTCAATATTCTGTATACATGTGATTTAACGAGAACTTTTATAAATGGTATACTTCATGAACCGTATATGAGCTTCGTGAAAATTACACAATTTATTTGATGTTCCAAATATGATACAATAATTATCTCGAGGTGATTTCTTTCCTTGTGACCAGTTTATTGCTTCTAGTAAAGATGTGTTGAAAAATAAAACACTTTCTCATTCCACGACACGTATGATTATCTTAATCAGATACTCTTTCGGATGAGCACAAGGGCACCAATTAGGAAGAGGACATAAGAGAGTCAAGTGCGTAAACAAAAATGGCACACTACCAAAAGCAAAAAGGAAGAAAATCAATTTGTAGAGAAATTAGGAACAAGTCATTTTCCTAAGGCCCTTCTCCCAAAATAGTTAATTATATTAAAAAGGCCCTTTACAACTAGGATAAACATGTTCATCATTAATCGTCCACTTTCCCCATTTTGTTCAATTAATATTTTCGCAATCTTAGAAGTTATACTTTGTAACCATTTGCTTCGGGAATAACACAATACTGTTTGGTGTCGAGTTACCGACTATGTATATGTCTTTTCAATTTTCTATAGTATTTAAGTAATCGGACCAAGACGTGGTTTGGCTCAAAACCTAGGAGGATGCACAAGTTTGCATAAACGATAGCGAACGTGTAACGCACGTTCACAAATTATCCAGATTACTCTAACAAATATAAAAGTCCAGATTTGCACGTGTCACATTTATCAATTGGTCTACAAAAATCAAAAAGCACTAACCCTAAAGAAAAAGTCGCATCTTGTCACAAATCAATCAAAAATTTCTATTATCCACTCACTTATGTTCTTTGACCTTAGAGCTTGTTAAGTAAATTCAAGTGTTTCTCTCACAAATTGTCAATGCATGCATGTGGGACTGGCACAACTATTTTTGAAAATGTAATTTAAATTTTGTTAGCTCACTTTACACAATTAGTTGTCTTATACAGTAAACGAATTAACGTATATATCATGTGTACATTCTTTACACAATTGAAGTCGCTATGATGAAATTGGAAAATCTCAATGTTGATTATTGGATATTTCAAACAATTATGATTGTTGTTCAAGCAAAATAGATAAATAGAGAAAATAACAATTAATGATTGTTCATGGAAACCCCTATATGTTTGTCATGATCTCGTATGGATCGGACAGAAAAATGAACATCTTCTGTTATTCTCAAAGGACACGTGACAATTTCTATATTTAGAATTATATCAAACATGACTGTTGTATATTATTAGGTTGGGGATGTGAACCAAAATCTAGATAATAGAATTTTTTTTATAAAATTTTACGTTTCTACAAGTTTTTTTTTTTTGTTTGTTTGTTTGTTTAACCTTGGATAAAAGATTACTACAAATCAAATTTTTAATGTTTAAGCCTTCCGGATTTTTTTAGATAAAGTAAATTTGTCTTTTACTCTGTTTTTAATGTTTTCATTTAATAGATCTGATTGGTGATACAAATATTACAAATTTTTTAACTGATAAAAAAAGCGGTAAAAATATTAGAATAGTTCAAATGGGTACAACATACCGGTAAGAGACAATCGAAGATTTATATAAATTGTTTTGTTTTTGTTTTTTTTGTTAGAAACATAAGAGATTATAAAGTTTATATTTTTTTTTTTGGATGTGGGTGGAAAAGGAAAGGGGAGGAAGAAAAGGAGTGATGTGGAGTTGTGTTGTGTGTGGGGATACTCTGAGATACTGTTGGTATATTCCCTTCTTCTCCACCGAATTTATCTTTATCTTTGCCTTTGCACTTTGCCCTTCCTTGGATGTGATACCTAATCAACCACTCTCAACACGGAGACCAACCAACCACCCACCACCAGAGCATAGAAACAGAGCAGAGAACAAAGCAGAGCAGAGAGAAACACAGAGAGAGAAGGAGAGAACAAAGCAGAGAGCGAATTGTGTTCGTTTTGCAATGGTTTGGAGGTTTGTTAATGGCGTCATAGACTCGGGAGATTAAGGGAGAAGAAGTACTCTGCATCTTCTGGATTTCTCACTATTTCTCTTCGGCCAGAGGAATAGGTGAGAAATTGAAAGAAAAGGTTTTCTTTGTTTCGTTTAAACAACGTCCAACGCTTCTTATGGTACGTTCCTCCTTTTCCAATTTGTTTGATCGATCTCTTGTTGAATTACCTTAGAAAGTAGAAAGCTAAGACCTTTGAGATTCTCCCTCTATTTTGGACAATACCCTTGACTTGCCAAAGCCGATTGAATTAGTTTAATCGTAGCTTCTACTTGTATAGGTTGAGAATTTGTTTTGACAAACTTCTATATATGTCCGTGATTGATGCTGATCCGGATTGAGATATCATGGATTGGTACTTTAGTCTCGATGCTGTTTTTGAATGGTCAAGTCCATCTTTCTACTTCTTTTGATTTTGATTAACTAATCTCTCCTAGGCTCAAGGTTTTTTTATCTGCACAAGAAATTATGTTTTCTGAGTTGTCATAAGTACCATTGTCTCTGTTCTGTGCTCTCTCTTCTTAGCTGAAATTGCCAAATTGGTATTTTTAGCAAGAAAGCCCTATGCTTCGCTCTTTATTTGTTTTCCAACTTCTGTTGCTCTCAAAGTCTGTGATAATTAAGAAACAAATGACACTTTTGCAGGTTCGATGGAAATTCTTAAGTGATGGAGGAAAATCTGTTTTACTTCGCATGAGCAATTAACGAAACTTCATCATGATGGTTTCACTGTCACACTGGTGGGAATATGCGTGAATGATTGTCAAGAGACCGATCTTGTTTCTCACTTCGTTTTATTTGTTTGCACTCTATCCTGTTTCCCATTTATACTTCAGATTCTAGCTCCTTTTGGGCATATCTCCTTTGGCAAAAGTAACAATTAAGCAGCAGCATAAGTGAAGTATCTCCCGCTACAAGTCTTTGAGCTTTCAAATTTCTTTGAAGTTTGAAGCTCCACCCTCATTCTAGGGCATATCTCCTTTGGCAATTGGAACTCCAATCACATCTTGGGTTCCCTTTGAAGTTTATCTAACTGGAAACTTCAGTCCATTCGTTGGGCAAATCTCCTTTGGCATTTCGGAGTCCTCAGTTGGCTCACCTTATCTCTCGTTCGAGCAAATCTCCTTTGGCATTATCCGATTCCGCAGTTGGCTCCCCTTATCTTTCAAAGAGCAAATCTCCTTTGGCATTATCTGAGTCTTACACTTGACTCCTATTATCTTAGTCGAGCAATTCTCATCACGGTCTGCAGTTTCAGTTGACCTTTGCTGTCAGTCCATATCAGTCATCTAACGTGAGAATACACCTCCTATCAAAGTAACTGGATCTGTTAAGAAAGACTGCAGGGAAGCTACACCGTTTCTCATCAAGGTCAGAATATTTCATATCTTCCTGGCTGTCAGCATTTCTTATATCATTTGTTTCTGTTTGGTATTTGAGCACCTGACGAAAATCCAGTTCCGTGGCAGGCATCTAAACTATGGATATGTCCCTTACTGACTCTGATTGGGATAGCTCCAGCGACAGTGGTAGCAGCGAACACGAAGAAGTCGAGTTTTCTTATGGTGGGCGGGCTCAGAACATTTTCTCAAACCTTGAAGAGACCATTGGCAAAATCGATGAGTTCTTATCGTTTGAGAGGGGATTTATGTATGGTGACATTGTGCGGTCCACAACTGACCCATCAGGACAGAGTGGCAGGGTTATCAATATCGACATGTTTGTCAATCTCGAGAGTACTCATGGGAAGATCATAAAGGAAGTTGATACCAAGAGGCTTCAAAAGTTGCGTTCTATTTCACTCTGTGATTATGTGATTAACGGACCTTGGCTTGGAAGGGTTGGCAAAATAGTTGAGCGTGTCTCTGTCACCCTTGACGATGGGTCCAATTATGAGGTCCTTGTAGATGGTCAAGATAAACTTGTGGCCATTCCCCCAAATTTGCTCGAGGAGTCTCAATATTCTTATTACCCAGGGCAAAGAGTTCAGGTAAAGCTGGCCCATGCCCCCAGATCAACTACATGGTTATGCGGGACCTGGAGGGAGAATCAGGTTATGGGAACTGTTTGCGCTGTAGAAGCAGGGCTTGTCTACGTCGATTGGGTTGCCTCCATCGTAATGGGGGGTGTTCGGAATCTAACTGCACCTCAAGCTTTACAGAATCCTGAGAGTTTAACTTTGTTACCCTGTGTTTCTCATGCAAGTTGGCAGCTTGGTGACTGGTGTATACTTCCTGGCTCTTCCCACTGTGATATAGCAGAGCGACAAACTCCAAATGTGGTTGCCTACAATCTCGAATGCCATAAGACATTCCAAAAAGGGTTTAACAGAAATATGCAGAACTCAGGTTTGGATGAGCTTTTTGTTATTACAAAGACAAAGATGAAGGTCGATGTTATGTGGCAAGATGGCAGCTGCAGTCGGGGATTTGATTCCCAACAGCTGCTTCCTGTTGGTGCTGTTAATGCTCATGATTTTTGGCCTGAACAGTTTGTTGTGGAAAAGGAAACCTGCAACAGCAAAAAATGGGGAGTTGTGAAGGCTGTCAATGGAAAGGAACAAACTGTGAAGGTACAATGGACAACACAGGTTGAGAAAGAAGCAACATGTTGTGTTGGTGAGGTGATGGAGGAAATTGTCAGTGCATATGAACTGCTTGAGCACCCTGATTTTGGATTCTGTTTCAGCGATGTGGTGGTCAGGTTACTTCCAGAAAGAAAAACTGATCCAAATGCAGACACAATCGTCCCTGCAGAGACAAAACACCTACTTACAGAGAGTGACTACAGTGGCGCATATTGTTTGTCAAGTATTGGTGTTGTTACAGGTTTTATAAATGGTGCCGTGGAGGTGAAATGGGCCAATGGTTCTACTAGTAAGGTATGTATTATGCTAGTTATATTTCCTTAACAACAGTATATTGCATGTGAATTGCTATTTGCTATTATGGTCGAAAAGTGTGTAACTTAGTTGGGTTCTTTTTATTTTTTTCGTGAACCAAGCGTGGAATGTGTACCTCTACAGTCTTCTTCACTTAGTCTTGTTTTGCGACCAGTAAATCGCTCAAAAGAAGTTTACATTCGGCATTTATATACTGAATGTTTACTCCATTGAAGTAGCAGTAAGGTTTATATGCTGTTAAATAAATTTTCTGAATATATGTTTTTCAGGTTGCACCATGTGAAATTTGGAGGATGGAAAGGTCTGAACTTTCCAACTCTAGCTCTATAAGTTCGGAAGGCAGTGTTCAAGATCTAAGTCAGAAGATTAGTCAATCGGATGAAGCATCTTCAAACCATCAGGAAACGGTAAATCAATAACTCAAATAATCTGATGTGTCTTTTCATAAGTTAGAAGTTCTTAGATATTCAGGTGTCCATGATTTTTCTATATACTTGAGTGACTTATATGATACCCGTATGTTCAGGGTCTGGTGAAGCTCTGCGGTGTTGATGAAGGCTGCCACAAGAAAATTCCAGAATGTAGTTCATTTTTCCTTCCAAAAGCTGCCATTGGATTTATCACAAACCTTGCATCAAGCCTTTTCGGCTCTCAGGGTTCCACTTCGGTTGTTAATTCACATTCACGTTGCAATGATTCTGAAGATCAAAGTGACTCTGAGGTCCTTGTTCAAGAAGCCGCAGAATCATATGACAACTCTGAATCAAATTCAGGTGAAGTGGATATGACTCTGGCGGTCAGCATACCTATAGAAGAAAAAGGAATTAACAAGACACTGGATTCAACTCTGCTAGAGAACAGCAGGAAACAAGTGGGATTCAGACAGTTTGATATGGTTAATGACTGCTCGGACCATCATTTCCTTTCTTCAGATAAAGGGTTGGCACAATCTCAGGTATGACTACATTCTGATACCCCGATACTTAACATTCTGACATCAGCTAAGTTACCCTTTTTGCATTTTCATCTCTTATAGGTCACAAAGAGTTGGGTGAAGAAAGTCCAGCAAGAATGGAGCAATTTGGAGGCAAATCTCCCGAGTTAGTTCTTTACTCTTTCTGTTTCTATATTCTCTGTTGATTTCCCAGCCATGCGGCACCGTTTTTGTTTTCGCTTTTGCCAAATGATGGTTTACAGTTCTGATGTTGTGTTTGATTATAAAATCACTGAATTTCAGTTTTTGTGATGAACAGACACCATATACGTGCGTGTGTATGAGGAAAGGATGGACCTTCTGCGTGCAGCCCTAGTTGGTGCCCCTGGAACGCCATATCACGATGGGCTTTTCTTTTTCGACATAATGCTTCCACCTCAATATCCTCACGAGCCACCCGTGAGTTTCACTGCTTTAACTTCTTTATCACTCACTCTCGCTTTTAAATATGTGTTTCTTGGGGACCAGTCAGTCGGACTTCTGTTTCTTGCCAATTCAAATCCTTAGTGCTATCATTTGGTCTAAAATGCAACTGTTGTTGTTTAAGAGTGTTTTGTGGACTAAAACAAATGACATTGTTAATTTTTTTCTCCTTCTATAAATACAGATGGTACATTATCATTCAGGTGGGATGCGACTGAATCCGAACCTGTATGAGTCAGGAAGAGTTTGCTTGAGTCTGCTTAATACATGGAATGGCTCTGGCACTGAAGTATGGAACGCAGGGAGCTCCTCCATCCTTCAGGTTCTTCTTTCATTTCAGGCTCTGGTTCTGAATGAGAAGCCTTACTTTAACGAAGCTGGCTATGATAAGCAGTTGGGCCGAGCCGAGGGAGAGAAAAACTCAGTCAGTTACAATGAGAATGCATTCCTCATCACCTGCAAATCCATGATCTTGTTGCTTCGCAAGCCTCCAAAGGTATGCTTATGTTGCAACAATTCAACAGAAAATGAAAATTAGCAGGAGAGACCTTTTTTATCAACTCTGTGTTGTTGCATTGTAGCATTTTGAGGTGCTTGTGAAGGACCACTTTATGCACCGGGCCCAGCATGTTCTGGATGCGTGCAAGGCTTATATGGAAGGCGTCCCTGTAGGATCATCAGCGAACCTGCAGGAGAACTCGACCACAAATTCCACCGGTTTCAAGATCATGCTCTCCAAACTCTACCCAAAACTTCTTGAAGCATTCTCAGAGATTGGAGTTGATTGCGGCCAAGAGATTGGACCGGAATCATAAAGATCGGTAATGTTCTGATGTCGTAACATCTCCCTAACATCCAATAACTGCTGTATAATATCGGTTTGCGAGGTCGGTAATTCCCTCCCCATGTAGAATATATTTTGTGCAATGCGTGAGAATAAAACCTCTGTAAAATAGGCTCATCTTGTATAATATCAAAGGCTTGTAGTTTTGCAAGAACGATGTACCATCTTTTGTAATATAACACTTGTGTTTGTATCTTGTTCTTACCAATAGTCCAGACATGAACAAGAACCATTTTGAAAATGGTGGAACCGAAGCTTATCACGCACTATGATCTGCCTATTGGATACAATAGAAATGTACTTGAAAGCAGAATGACAATCCTCACAGATGCGCAGATTCTTCACAACTGTAATCGCTGAATCTACTGTTTTCAACAACCCAAATGCTACAGCAAGCTTCTCGCTGTGGTATCTAAGTGCAAACTCCTTTTCCTCTTCCTCTACTTGGTGCATCACTTCTTCAGAAACCGGTGCATACCCAATTTCCTTGCACCGGCTTATCAAAGTTTCCAGATACCGATAGATTTCTCCAGTCTCTTGGTGAGACTCATCACCCATACTAAACAGATATGTCTTGTTTTCGACTTCAATTATGCTATAGCCGACCTGTTTTCTAAGGTTATTCCTCATCATTCTATCTCTTATGTGTGATACTTCATCTGTTTTGCCACTCAAGGCATAGATATTTGAGAGCATGACATGATGACCGGGATTTTCTGGCTCAAGTGCTATGAGACGCTTGGCGATTTCTACACCGAGGTCATAGTTCCTGTGCATCTTGCAAGCTCCAAGCATCGCTGTCCACAATGCTGGAGCAGTTGCATTCCCTGTAGCATCAAGCTGCTGTATGAATCTATAAGCTTCGTCAAGAAATCCAGCCCGTCCAAGCATATCTACTATACAAACATGATGTTCCACTCCTGGGATCAATCTATAGCTCTCGGTCATTCTCTTGTAGACCGAACGTCCATCCTCAACGAGTCCAGCATGAGCGCAAGCTGATAAAACAGCTACAAATGTTACATTATTAGGGATTGAACCGCAATCATCCTCCATTTTATTAAACAGGTCTACTGCTTGTTTGCCATATCCATGAGTACCATAAGCAGAGATCATTGCCGTCCATGCCGCCACATTAGTTTCCTTCATCTTGTCAAATACTTCCCGGGCTTTTCCAACGTCACCGCACCTAGAATACAAGTTAATCAATGCAGTACCGAGTTTAACATTCACGTCAAGACCCTCAGAGACAATATACTGATGCACCCAAGAGCCTAAACTAATCGCACCAGTTTGTGCACAAGCCGAGAGAAGGCTCACAAACGTCGCTGAATCCGGTTCAAACCCCGATTCTCGCATCTGATAGAACACCCGAATCGCATCTTCCGCCAACCCATTTTGCTCAAACCCAGAAACCAACGAATTCCACGCGACAACAGACTTCTCAGGCATTCTATCGAACACTTGGCGTGCCGCCTCCATATCTCCGCACTTTGAATAAAACGTCACCAAAGCAGCCTGAACATAAGTATCCAATCCAAACCCAGAAACCACTGCATGACAATGAACACCTTTTCCGATTTTCAAGGCAGAGAGATCAGCGCAAGACTTGATAACAGAGGTAAAAGTGTAGTTACTCGGAGAGACGTTAGAAGATAGCATACGACGGTAATAAGCAACGCAATGCAAAGGTAAACGCAACTTAGAAGTCGATTTAATGACCGAATTGAAGAGGAAGTCATCGGGAAGAGGAACAGAGAGGAAGAGAAGATGAGTATAAGCGATGGCTCGAGCGGAACAAGCTAAAGTGATGAGCTTTGTCAAGAGACTCCGGCTACGACCATAGCTAGTGACAATGAGGTGAGCATGAACTTGTTGAAGTTGCTTTACACGAGGACCTGCTCGAACTATGGCTTCGTAAGCAGCAGAATTTGCTGCTACTTTGGTTGTCATTGAATTACTTGTAAGATTCATGGGAGATACGTAGATTGCTTTAAATTTGGATTAGTTCCGGTATTTAAATCAAAATCAAAAGCTTCTAGACCGGTCGGTCTGGTTCAGTACCAGATGATTGTACCGGTTTGCAGAATTAGAGATGATCTAGTCCGGTTAATCTGAAAAGCTATTGAATTAGACAATCAATGATACTGGTTAGACACGAACACTAACAATAGAAATAGGGTTGTTCTAGAAACGGTTAAAGGTTAACTATCCCACCGGTTAATGGTCTAAACAAGCTACCAAAGGCTAAGTGCATCCAAAAACTAAAAGCAACATGGCTAAAGCAGGAAGTTTGTTTAGTTGCTAATGAAGGAAATGGCTAAAGCTGCTAGATATAATATAAGATCGCAAAGAGCCAAAGACTCCCAAAACATAGACCATGCATGGTCTGTACTAAACCGAGAAAAGCCAAAGCCTCCTAGAACATAATATATTTAAACGAGTACATTATGGCGCATTTTGTGATTTTAGGTCTTGCAGATTATTCACGTGCATAAGCAGGCCCGTCTTTGACCCATGGTAGAGTGGGCATTTTCTAAGGGCCCAAAATTTTAAGTCTTTTATTATATAATTTTGTTGTATGATTTGAAAAAAAAAACAAATTAATTAAATAAAAGGGCCCATAATTAAAAATGTTTCTAACATAAAAGGCCCAAAAAAATAACTAACCTAGTTATAATTAGCAAAATGTTTCAAAAACTTAATTAATATAATCAAAAAACGTGTAAAATGGTAGAAAATAATCAAAAAACGTGTAAAAGAGCCCATATTTTTTTTTAAAAAAGTGTAAATTAGCCTGAAATTTTTTAATAATAGGGCCCAAATTTTTTTAAATTCTATTTTTTACATAAAAGGGCTCATATATTTTTATTTTTTAAGATAATTCAAAATGTTATTTATAAAATGGTCCAAAACTTAACTAAAAATTCAAGAAAATCTCAAAAAAAAAAATCTATAACAAAAAGTCCAAAAATTTTGTTTGGCGCATTTTTATAAAAATAATTTATTAACGCTCATTTGCTATTCAAACAAAACATTCAAAAATTATTTACTTAAAAGTTTGACTAGAAAAAATAAATATGTGGTATACCGCGGGTTAAATACTAGTATTTTATAAATATCATATAAATAAAAGGCTCATTTTTGTATTTTGCCTAAGGTTGTACAAAAGCCAGAGACAGGGCTGTGCATAAGGTAAGGAACAATTTGACTCAAAATGACAATAAAATGGCGAAGAAAGAGGTTTTTTTTTTTCATTGTTTCTTCGAAGAATGTAAATGAACCGATCCAAATAAGTTTCAAGGAAGAACTCTACATTAGGTAGACGGGGACTGATTTTTTTTTATAATCTGTTATTGATATATGTTCACTTCACTAAAACTATTTTGAAAATTTGATTATATGGACATATCATATCGAAAAAAACACATTAGTAAACCTACTACTTTCTGTTCGTGACAACTTACATCGCTTAGTATCGGACTCATCCAAAAGATAAACGAATTAAATAAAGGGTTATGACCACCAAAACTTTTATTTTCTTAGGTTCACCAAAAACTTAAATAAGCCACTAAATTACCCCTTTTTTTTGTCTTTTATTGAAAAAACAACCTACCAATTCTTTCTTTTCGGATTGCCATTTTCATTGGACTGGTTGTCCAGGAATGAATCTATCGTGCCAAACAGTATCTGAAACGTATCTCCTAAACTAAGCAAAAGAAATAAGAACTATATATATGAGACAAATCTTTTTTTTGAAAAATATATGAGACAAATCTTCCAATATTATTTTAACAATATGTTTGTTAAGTGATAAGACAGCTGCCAAAAGACTAACGATGCTTCGTCATTTATCTTCTGCAACTTGACCAGTTATGTTTGATCGTAGAATGTGACGATTGTTAATTTGTTATTTATGGGTATATGTTGTAACAACTTTTAATATGATGGAATTGGCTGAAAAAGTTAGGAATTTTTTTTTATTATGTTATACCATTAGAATGATTTGAGGAATTGGGCTGAAAGGATGGAATATGAGAAATCAAATAAAAAATGTTGAAGTGAACAAAAAGATAAGAAAACTGATCACGTCGAAAACTTTTAAGAAATAATTCGGGATCCATGCAAAAAATTCGAAAACTCATCATTATCAAAATCTGCTTTTTTGTATTAAGGTTTAGAAGAATATGAATCCAGGTTCTTTAAGGAGAAGAAATGTTAGCCATCAAATTTTTATTAATTGAATCGCCAAAAATGGTTTGTGTCTCCTTTTTTTTTAACATCTCACTTTCATTAAACTGTAAAAGGTTGATACAAATAGTTTAACAACCAACGAGGTGGTACAGTGAAAGTTTGATACAAAGAATCAGCCAAAGAGGCATGATATATATGTCTGTTTGGATTATATATTGGTTTGTGCCTGTGTCATAATTTTCTTTTTAATTAAGTGCTGGATAAAATAAAAATTTATCTTCTATTAGTGAAGATTATCTAAGTCGTGTATAAGGTAAGAATGAATGTAGAGCTGACATGTTAGCAAAATTCACTAAAAAACTTTTCATAGAAGGATGTTGTTCTTTTCATAATATGATCTCATAGCAAATCATCGATTTTGATATTGGATATTGAAATGGACTTAAAAAAGAAATATGTTCCTTTGACTTATTTAAAGTAAAATATGTTATTACTTAAATAAATAATGGAAAGTGTCGCATACAAATTATTTATTTATCATTGACCTTATCATTGACCTTTTAATGAGATACCATAAAAAGCCTATAAAGATAAACTCAATCAGTCTTTTTTTTTTTCCAATTTAAGAAAATAGTTTGAACGCTTCTAATGTGTTATTGTTTTTGCAATTATACAGAAAGAAACAGCGATTGCTCACTATCACTACTTTAAACAATTACGAAAGACAACCGTTTTTTATTTGTTTTTGGATTCGATATAGAAGAAATTATTATAGTAAAGCGTGAAATGTATATATTCGTGGTGAATTTATCAAGGAGAAAAATCTAAAACTTCTAAATTACTAGAGTTACTAAGAATCTGTCTTTATAGACAAATGATCAAATCATAATATCTAAAAGAATAAAGAAAAAGGTCACCACTATTTTGCTATAAATTTAATTAGAACATTTAGTAACTTAGAAGAAAAACTTATAAATAAAGTAAGATGGTTTAATATTGTAGGGTTTTAGGTTTGAGGTTAGTCCAAAAATAGGTGTGGTGAGGTAGGGGTGGACGCGAGATTCATGTTATTCGATCGGATCCTTATTATGAGTATCAAGTTTTTAGTATTCGTACCCCACTTAGAAAAATTAGATATTCGAACAAACGAGTATTTTTTATATACACAAAATACCAGCATGTTATCTGATCCGTTTTGTTACCCCAATCTAAATTCAAATAGTTACATTTTAGTCAATATATAACACTAAAGATTAAGGAAAAAGAAACGAAAAATAATAGAAAGTTATGATTCCACTAAATACAAGTTGTTTCGTCCGGTTCGGTCCTTGTATCGGATCATGCTCGAATAGAAATTACACTAAAAATGAAGGAAAAAGAAATGAAAAATAATGGCCTCCTATATATAACCTTTTCTTATGATTCCACTGAAGTTCTCAAGTCTTCTTTGATGCGAACCAAAAAAACTAAACAAACACATAATTTTTTATAGCAAGAAGAAGAAGATGAAGATGAAGACTGTTCTTGTAATCATAAACTGTATATTCTTGGCCATTGGAAACTGTGGAGGCCCTCTTATGATGCGTCTCTACTTCAGTAACGGTGGCCAAAGGATTTGGTTCTCAAGCTTCCTCCAAACCGTAGGTTGTCCCCTCATTATCTTCCCTCTTCTCTTCTCCTTCATCCGCCGTCTTCGTTGCCTTGACGAACAAGAAAAGACCCCATTTTTCCTCATGAAACCTCCTCTCTTCATTGCCGCTATCCTCGTTGGTCTGCTCATGGGCTTTGACAATTACCTTTACTCTTACGGATTAGCTTATATTCCTGTTTCCACTGCTTCTCTGATCATCTCTGCGCAATTAGGCTTCACTGCTCTCTTTGCCTTTTTTATGGTAAAGCAAAAGTTCACACCTTTCACTATAAACGCTGTCGTTTTGCTCACTGTTGGTGCCGTTGTCCTTGCCCTTAACTCTGATAGTGACAAGCTTGCAAACGAGACACACAAGGAGTACGTTGTTGGGTTTCTCATGACCATTGGTGCAGCTCTTCTCTATGCGTTTATATTGCCGCTTGTGGAGCTTACTTACAAGAAATCTTGTCAACGAATCACGTATACGCTCGCGCTCGAGTTCCAGATGGTCTTGTGCTTTTTTGCCACTTGCTTCTGCCTCGTGGGAATGCTAGCTGCTGGCGATTTCAAGGTAAAACATGCTTTGTTTATTTTCAAGAATAGGGTTTGAGAATCAAGAATTGGGATCTTTGACTTTCTTGATCTAAAAGGAAGATTCTTGCGTAAAGATTGCTTTTTAAGCCTTTTAAACCAAGAAGGTACCTCTGGATTGTTTATGAAACCCTAAAAGGAAGATTTTTGAGTTGTGTTTGGGAAGAAAGATTGCTTTTTTTTTTAATGCTTTATCCAATCAAGATCTTTGAATTTCTTGATGGATACCTAAAAGGGATAATGTTTTAAATTGGCAGGTGATAGCAGGAGAAGCAAGAGATTTTAAGCTTGGAGAGTCTTTGTACTATGTGGTGGTTGTGTTCACCGCCGTAATCTGGCAAGCATTTTTCGTGGGAGCTATTGGGTTGATCTTCTGTGCATCTTCTCTGGTCTCTGGAATTATGATCAGTGCTCTGCTTCCGGTGACGGTGATCTTGGCCGTCATTTGTTTCCAGGAGAAGTTTCAGGCGGGGAAAGGTGTCGCTTTGGCTCTCTCGCTCTGGGGATCCGTCTCTTACTTCTATGGACAGATGAAATCCGAGGAGAAGACTAAGGCTCAGGAGACACAACTGTCTCAGCTTCCAGTTACTGATTCTGAAACTTAAATGCACAACATATTACAGTTTGGTTTTATTAATGATGTCTGTAACATCAACATTCAATTTCTGAAATATTTCAAATCTATGAGTTGTGAGTTGCTGATTTAATCAAAGATGTAATGTATAGAACTTGAGCTGAAATCTTTTAAGCAAATGTCCATCCATTATATGGAACAATGTCATTGTTTGTTTCATTTGACGACCTGGTCCAGTATTACACTTCACACGTTTTATCTTTAATACAGAGGTTGTTGAAATGTAAAAGAAACCAATACTACAAAGCCATTGACGATGGACAGCTACGAGATCTCAGATCCTTGTACTGTTTTTCAACCATTCTAGATACTTGTCGCTCCCACCAGTTATCGGCATTGCAATTACTTCTGGCACACTAAAGAGACAAGTCAACAATATTCATTAACTTAGCTTGTGCGATTGCCAAAGAAAAGACAAGGCACTTGAGCAAGTAAACCCATGTTCTTGATATGCAAAACACTTCATAGAACAATGCTTACTCGTATTCGTGATTTGCATTGACATGCTCGGTTAGAGACTCTAGAAGAGATTGCCTTGTTTTAATTATTAGGAGCTCCTCGGAGTCACTCTGAACCTGAAGCCAGAGAGATTGATTATATGCAATGTATACAGAGATCAGCTTGCATAAATAGCTCAGATTCAAGATGTCAATGTTCCAAGCCAAAAAAGGTAGTAAACATCGAATGTACAGACTATGTCTTTTATGGATGAAAGAGGGTTAATCATCATTTGTAATATTTTTGAAATCTTAGGAGTTTTTCTAGGTCTTCCTTTAAAGCTCAGAGATCTTTGTTTAACTATTATCCATGGTAGTCCTCAAGATATGATTGAGATAAAAATATACTGCAGAAAGATTTGCACATATCATTCTCTACTTACCTTCCCCTCCCATTCGTACACCGATTCAATGCCTGCATCCAAGCAAACGAACATAAACATCTACTAGTTACAGAGCTAGTAATATTTAAAATCCCAGAAGATGCAAGCAAACAAAGAAGTAAATGCTAAATCGACAGAGTATGCACTGACAGAGCATTGATTGGCTAAAATTAGCTTCTAGTCTTTCCTGAAATAACTTTGTTCTTTTTTTCTGAATAGCAAACGCATTCAGATCACCAAGTGATTACGCTAACAGAGAAGGTTTTCTATAAAATCTTGCTGGCAAAACCCAATTGGACTAAATGTAAATGGATTCCACCCATTTAGTCCACTTACTGAAGTTCTGCCTGGAAACAAAAAAGAGCGAAAGAGGCTAACACAAGAAAGGGGAAGTACCTGGCACAATGTTCACACACGCTGCAAGCTTTTCTTGGACTATGCTGTTAGCCAACTTCTTTCCTGCCAATGTAACAAATAATAAAAATTAAAAAGAAGTAAAAACTCGTCTCAGAACAACATGTCGGCATCTAGCATTGAGAGAGAAACTGATCAGGATACAAAAAAAAAAGATAAGACAAATAATGATAATTTGATCAGGGATCATAGTGGGAGGAAAAACCCATATCTCGATAGTAAATGATAACAGCAAACATGGTAGAGAGTATTCAACTTGAGAGGTGGTTCAATTAGTTTCTTGAGCTTAAGAATACAAGTTAACAAAGAGTTTCCTTAGGCTAATCCTCTAAGTTCCAGATTTGGCTACAAGGGTCTCAAGTTCCCAATATAACTCAAGAAACTTGCAAAATCTTGTACGTTGTGCAAAAACAGATTCTCTTTCGTGTTCACGTTCATAAGAGGAAACTAAAGCTCCATAGTTGTTATCATTTTCTCACCATCCAAAAATGATTACTACTGTCAAAAGACAATGCTCTTCCTTTCGAATCCAATAACTACATTCCTAGAAACACAAAATAATATTCTCCAATCTAAACTACTTCATGGCCAGTTGAAATCAGCTGAAGCAATTAGAAATTAAAGCAAACACAAAAACCTGCTTCTCTGTTAGGAACAGTGACATAGACAACAATGCTTGGCACAGTTTTGCTGCTCTCCTCCATTCTGATCGACGAAGAAGAAGCCTTACTGCTAAACTTAGACCTATAAATTTCCAATTCATGAGCAAAACTGAAACAAAAAAAAACCCGACATTTATTCGAAAATGCTAACCTTAAGAGAGGAACAACAGAGAAGGACTGTGCACAACCCGATTTGAAGGAAGAAGACGAAGAAAGAGAAGAGATTGAGAGAGTTGACAGCACGCAAAACGCGCCGACGATCGGAAAACTCCGTCGAGATCCGATTATCGCCGATACTCTAGTGCACAGAGACGAAGCCATCGCTGTGTATCTCACCCGTTTCTAAATGTTTCTGGAAGCTGCGAAATGTCCTTAATTGTAATAACGTAATAGTTTTGGGGTCTGAATGCAATTTCTTAATAATAATAAAAATTGATTCTTTATCTGAAGTTCAAAGTGACGACGAGAGGAGAAAAATTGTGAATTTGAGGAAGCTTGAAATCGTTTGTTCGCACTAGAGAGAATGTGGTGTTCCGATTGGGGAGACGGCCATGGCTTCGATTTTTTCGATTTCGAGAATTACAAGGTAAACAAAAAATTGACAAATTGTTTGGTTTTGAATTTGTTAAAAGTTTCGGTTTTTGTGAATTGGGTGATGCAGGATCACTATAAAGTTCTTGAATTGAACTGTGACGCTTCTGATGATGAGATTCGTTCCAGCTTTATCCGTCTTGCGCTGGTTTGCTTCTCTTTTCCACTTAATTTGGGACAATCTCTGGGTCTGAGTTCTTCAGTGATGAAGTTGGAGTTGTGTTGCAGAAATGGCACCCGGACAAATTTAAAGAAGAGGATTCTGCTACGTCTAGGTTTCAAGAAATCAATGAGGCTTATCAAGGTTTGCTTCTCTTTCATGTAGATGTAGTTCGTGTTTGACTACAGTTTGTTTGTTGCGCTAGGCTTTGAAGTAGTAGTAGTAAGCTTAGAAATTGGAGAGTTTTGAAGTGAATTTGTTTCATTTTGAAGTGATTCTGTTTTCATTTAGCCATTGATTCTGTGATTGGTTTCTATGGATTTGAACAATAAAGATTGATCATTTCTTGAACAGTGTTGAGCGACCCAATTACAAGGCAGGAGTACGATAAGAAAAGGATGCGTCGTATCTATGAGAACAACATGGTAGACGATATTTAGTTATTTCATTCGAGAGAGCGATTACTTCCAAAGCTTTTGAGTTTGATAAGTTCCCATGTATCATCTGTTGCAGGAACTATTGAATGAGTACAAGGAGCTCATATTGACTTGCAATGGCCTTGGGATGAAGCATTATCTTTGGTAATTGCTAAACAAAGATTAGGTGATATGTATAGTTTGTATGATGGATTAGCATTTAGCAGGGTTGAATTTAGGGACATTAGCATTTAAGCAGGGTTGTGTTTTGAGAGGAAAAGAGCATCAATTAGCATCAATCAGGTTTTTGTTTCTCTGCTTCCACAAAAACCATTTTGTTTGTCTTCCTAGCAATCATTATATCAGTTTCTAAAACATTGATGTCGAAGATGATCGGTTTCGGTTTAAGTCCTAATGATGAGTGAGCTGAGTCACTACAAGCTGAGTTCTCTAACCCTTGACAGGGTTTGTAATGTTCACACTACTCGACATTAACGTATTTTCTCTGTAAATGAAAGATGCCCACAAAAATAAAACACCAAACCGGAATGGATATCATGTACATGAGTACATCAAACAATTAGTTGGAAATGAATTAAGAAGTATTTAAAATGTTGCATAATTTTGTAATTGTAAGAAAAACATATTTCTGTAAAAAAAATTTTGTAAGTAAATAAAGAAAACTAATGGGCCTAAAACCCTAGGGGGCTATTAGATTGAGAATTTGCTAGATTGGGGGATTTTTGGAAAAATATAAAAGGACGGGGAAAAATGTAGAATCCAAGTGAAAAAGAAATCAGAGCGAGAGAGAAGAAGAAGACGGTTCTAGGTCTTGTTTGCTTTCCCCTCCTGCTATCGACCAAGCGAACAATCTCCAGCCACCCACCGATGAAGCGATCAATCAACGAAGTCGTCGGATCTACTTCCGTCAATACTCTCGATTCCTCCGTTGGTAAGAAGCCTGTCTTCCTCACCAAAGCTCAGCGCGAAGAACTAGCCCTAAAACGCCGTCAGGATCAAATCTCCGAGCAACGTGTCCGCCGCGAACAGCTTGGTCGCCCCGAGCCCGAGACTGAAGATGTCTCCAATGGGGATACCAATCGGGATAAGGATCGAGATAGAGATCGGGACCGAGACCGAGAACGTGACCGCGACAGGGAGAGAGATAGAGGGCGAGATCGAGACCGCGATAGGGATAGAGATAGAGATAGAGAGCGAGAGAGAGACCGTGAGCGTGACCGTCGTGAACGAGATCGTGAACCGGATCGGAGAAATAGAGAGAGGGAGAGGGAAGAGGAGGTTAAGGCTAGGGAGAAGGCGCGGGTTGAGAAATTAGTTGAGAGAGAGAGGGAGAAGGAACTTGACGCCATTAAAGAGCAGTATCTTGGAGGTAAGAAGCCGAAGAAGAGAGTCATTAGGCCCAGCGAGAAGTTTCGTTTCTCTTTCGATTGGGAAAACACTGAGGATACTTCTAGGGATATGAACGTTCTTTACCAAAACCCTCATGAAGCTCAGCTTCTGTTTGGGAGAGGGTTTCGTGCTGGTATGGACCGTCGTGAGCAGAAGAAACAAGCGGCCAAGCATGAGAAAGAGATGCGAGACGAGATTCGTAAGAAAGATGGTATTGTTGAGAGACCAGAGGAAGCGGCTGCTCAGAGAGTTCGAGAAGAAGCTGCTGATACTTATGACTCGTTTGATATGAGGGTTGATAGGCATTGGAGCGATAAGAGATTAGAGGAGATGACTGAAAGGGATTGGCGTATTTTCAGAGAAGATTTCAATATCTCTTACAAGGGTTCGAGGATTCCTCGTCCAATGAGGAGCTGGGAAGAGAGCAAGCTTACTTCTGAGCTTTTGAAAGCTGTGGAGAGAGCTGGATACAAGAAACCTTCTCCTATTCAAATGGCTGCTATACCTCTTGGACTGCAACAGCGTGATGTTATCGGCATTGCAGAGACTGGTTCTGGTAAGACTGCTGCTTTTGTTTTGCCTATGTTAGCTTACATCTCTAGATTGCCACCGATGAGCGAAGAGAATGAGACTGAAGGACCTTATGCTGTTGTTATGGCCCCTACTAGGGAGCTTGCTCAGCAGATTGAGGAGGAAACTGTTAAGTTTGCGCATTATCTAGGGTTTAGGGTGACTTCTATTGTAGGTGGTCAGTCAATTGAGGAACAGGGGTTGAAGATAACACAAGGGTGTGAGATTGTGATTGCTACTCCAGGTCGTCTGATTGATTGCCTTGAGAGGCGGTATGCGGTGTTGAACCAGTGTAACTACGTGGTTCTTGATGAGGCAGATCGGATGATAGACATGGGTTTCGAGCCACAGGTTGCAGGTGTGTTAGATGCGATGCCTTCAAGTAATTTGAAACCTGAGAACGAAGAAGAAGAGCTTGATGAAAAGAAGATTTACAGAACCACATATATGTTTAGTGCTACAATGCCTCCTGGGGTAGAGCGGCTAGCTAGGAAGTACTTGAGGAACCCGGTTGTTGTCACCATTGGTACTGCAGGAAAGACCACGGATTTGATTTCGCAACACGTTATTATGATGAAAGAATCAGAGAAATTCTTCAGATTGCAGAAACTGCTCGATGAGCTCGGCGATAAAACTGCCATTGTGTTTGTTAACACAAAGAAAAATTGTGACTCTATTGCTAAGAATCTTGATAAGGCAGGGTACCGTGTCACGACCTTACACGGTGGGAAATCGCAAGAGCAGAGAGAGATCAGCTTAGAAGGATTCAGAGCAAAGAGATACAACGTTCTTGTTGCAACAGATGTTGTAGGACGTGGAATCGATATTCCAGATGTGGCTCACGTCATAAACTACGACATGCCTAAACATATAGAGATGTACACACATCGTATCGGACGTACAGGACGTGCTGGGAAAAGTGGTGTCGCGACTTCGTTCTTGACTCTTCATGATACAGAAGTCTTCTATGATCTGAAGCAGATGCTTGTTCAGAGCAACAGTGCGGTGCCTCCTGAGTTGGCGAGACATGAAGCGTCCAGATTCAAACCAGGTACGGTTCCTGATAGACCCCCAAGACATAGTGACACTGTTTATATAAATTGAGTCGATAGGCTCTTTTGGGATTGATCTCATGCGTGTGTTTAGGCGCATGTTTCATCTTTATGATTCGTAGTTTGATAGTGAACGAAGCAGTAGCAAGTGGGATAGTTGAAACTTGAGTACCTTTTTAAAACTATTAAGTACTGGTTTTTGTTCAAGATAAGTAGCTTTGATTCTCTGCCTAATTTTTCACATATATTTATCCTCTTTGTGTTTAAAATTGAAAATTGATGCTCGAGAATGAGTAACTTATCATGACGATGCTAAGCAAGAGTCAGTTTGGTTATGTCGAAATGACTTCGCGAACTCGACCTTTCCTTTATCCAAAAGCACTAAAGAATGTGAAATATTTTCTTTTGTAATGCTTCGTAATCCCTTTGTCTACAACTACTATATTGCATTTTAGTGTGGGATTTTATTCACTGTATGACGCTGTAACAAATAACTCAATTACTTTTTCTTATACACATAAAAGCAGGATTCTTTATTAAAAGTTAAAACATAGAAAAACCACATGAAACCATAAAAAACATCACTTATACTTAAATGAAAACACCACATGATACCATAACAGGGAGACAACAAAAAGACGAAAAACAACACCAAAATCACTTGTTTGACGATTACATTAAGAAAATAAGAATCTCTCTGCGGACATTGCCTCCACAGTTGGTGAGGTCCTATGTACTTGGAGGAAGAGGAGCTGAATCCATTGGTGCACGAGAAAGCACACAAAAATGAATCTTAGATTCAGATCGATCCCAATACATTCCAATCACATCGCCTTTCTTCAAACCTCTCCTGGTGACAAAGCACGTATGCCATCCGTTGATGAGAACAAACCTTGGATACTTGGCCCATTTCTTTAAAAGCAGCTTGTACGTAGAATCAGTGTCGTGATCATACACGTCGACTGTTAATCCAGAGCCTTCTTGGACCATCATTTGATCATCCACAGGGAGATATCTCAGAATGTGGATGTGTACAAAGCTCTCCTTTAGAACAAGACGTTTTAGATGGCCAAGACTGCATTTGGTCATTACCTTCTTCAAGGTCCATGGATCGGTGACCGTGAGGAGAGTTAGTTCTGTTGAGACGTTGTACCTCTCCTCTTCTTTTCTTGCTTCATTCGACTTAGTCCTCATCCACGCGAGGTTCATTTTTTCTCCGGACGTTGGTTTATTGTAAGCAACGTTGGGATCATGTGGCCATGTTCTGTCATACAAACACAGATCCAGGGAGACCAAACTCTCTTCAGGGTTTTCTGACGACTCGACGGCGTCCAACAGGCAAAGAGTATTAATGGGATGCATATCCATGATAGAAGAAAAGTGAAAAACCTGACAAAGGATCAAAACTCTATAATTTAGTCATACATTTTTAATAAATAAATGGTGTCGTTGTCAAAAAAAAAAAAAAAAAAAAAAAAAATTGGTGTCTGAAAGACTGAAAGCGTTTATTAAATTTTAAGTTTTAAATTATTTTCATATATATGCCTAAAAAACATCAGATCCGTATGAAATGATTTAAAACTACCCAAAACATCTATATTGATTCAAATATTAGGTATTATATTTTTCTCTTTTTCATATATTTTACTAGAGAGATTTTTCAAATTTGTTAAACAATATTGTTTGCATATCAAAATTAATAATTAAAAACCCCCTCTCCAATGAAATATCTATCAAAACAAATTTAAATTAATTCTTTATATATATATATATATATATATATATATATTTCAACTACAATTTCCATACTATAGGTTGAATAACACCAAACAATCAATGTCTAAAACTCGGAATTCTCAATTAAAAAACAAAATATCATCCGAAAAACACAATGGATGAGAAGCCAACCTACACCAAAAACATGCAAGGCGAAGTATGATGCGTTTAAGAAGCGATAATCGTTTTTATATGATAAAAGTTTTGTGAAGTGCTTTATTCTGCGTGTTGTAATTGATGTTTATATAGACATATTGAGTATACATTTATTAGCAAAATATATACATTTAATCTATTTCCTAAGTGTTTTTTTGACCATATATTATTATATAGCGCTATTTATTAAAATGTAATATTTATTAAATATAATATATAATGTCATGGTATATATTAAAAAAATTATAAAAATATATTTAAAGTCTTTATCACATTTAAATAGCATTAAAAATGTACCAAAATTCATCAAGACCAGCTTTGATTCAAAACAAAAATAATTAATATTTATTCCAATAATGAGTTCTTGGTAAGAAAATTATGCGAAAGTAAATGCTAAGCCTTAAAAAGAGAAGAATATATATCTCTCTCCACTCATTGTTCCGATATATATAGCTACTTAGGGTTCTTCTGATCTATAAAAACTTCTGTAGGTGCACGAGAAAGCACACGAAAGTGGAGCCTCGAAGCAAAGCGATCCCAAAACAGTCCAATTTCGTCGCCTTCTCTCAAACCTCTCCTACGGACAAAATACATACGCCATCCTCCGTTTAAAACATAACTATTCAATGTGGTCCATCTCTTTAGAAGCAGCTCGAGTGTAGAGTCAGTGTCGTGGTCATACACATCAATCGCGATTCCTAAACCTTCTTGGATCTTTTTCTGGTCATCCTTGTTGAGATATTTGATAATGTGGTCCTCAATGGGGCCAGTCTGAAGAAGAAGACGGCTAAGTTGGCCAAGATCGCTAGTGGTTAGTACCTTCTTGATGATCCACGGATCTTTAAAGAGTGTTAGTTCAGTTGAGACACCATACCATTCGTCCAGTGCCCTTTCTTCATTCGTGAGATTCCTCATTCGTGCAATCTTTCTTTCTACTTTTGTTAATTTGTAGTCGCTTGGTATGCAAGAAACCTTCAGGTCATCATCAGAGTTCATCTTCCTCTTCTTTGGGTTTTCACAAGACGACAAACAGAGAGTCGTGGAGACCAAACTCTTTTTAGGGTTCTCCGATGACTTGCCATAGAACAAGTATTGAGTATTTGATGCAGAAAAAGGAAGAGGCTGATGAGGCATCTTCATTGCCGATGAATGGAGGTCTAGTGTTGTTTTTTGCAGATTTTGGATCATTCTCGTTCGTTTCTCAAGATGTCGTCGAGAGTTTGTTTATCCAGGACTCAATTTGAGAGAAGGAACGTCGATATATAATAATTTCTTAGTCACCTTTGTCTTAACTTTTTAGGTATTTTCCTCTTTTAAAATGGAAATTCATTTGTTATAGAGAAAAGGAAAAGGATTTATGTGAAAAGTAATTTTTCATTCATTTTTATTCTGCGTTTGAACTATGAAGCTCTTATATATTTTCCATTTCTTAGGGTTTGGGTTTCCGTTTAGATTGAGATGATTGTGCGTCTTAGACTTTGGGTCCCAATTGTATCTCTATTTGCGTGAGTCAATGATCAGATTTAATATGGTTGATGTTATCATCAGAATTTTATTTCAATATAGTTGGTCATTAACAAGAGATATTCAATCTAGATGAGCTAGCGAAGCCCACGACATAGCCCATTACAGCTTTTTTTTTTTTGGACAAATAACCCAATGCATATTTGAACATGCAGATATGTGTTCAATAAGTTTTTTGTTTTGTTTTAACGTGAATTTTTTTATTAACTCAAAGAACAAAGAGGGAGCTTTTTCAACTTATAAGATTTTAAGTTGAATTTTGTGAACCAAATGTGGTAAAGATCATTGCACGAGTGATGATGACCAACATGAGTATAAATCGTCGTGTTCCCGGACAAATCTGTCAATAATTTGCCGATTCAGAATCCTTATTGGTTGGGCGAACATATATGTAAGCGACTTTATCCATGAAATATCTTGTGTAGGCGTGTAGCCAAACAAATACTTATGACTATATTGGGAATATTTTTGTAGTATTCATTACCATCTGTCAAGAAGTATAGCTACCGATGATCTGTTCGCTACTAGTGGCCATGGATATTGACCTTGTAACCAATTGTAGCTAATCACAACATAAAGTTTTGTAACAATTCATACGTAACATGAATTTTCTCATAAACATCCGATCCAATACCAATAGAGAGCTGTAAAAATGCCACCCTCACAAACTGTATATGAACTTTTTTATAACTTGCTACATAAAGTAAACCAATTGAACCCTAATGCACAAGTTACTCCAAAACAATAACAAATATATTCCCGATCAAAGCTTTCTGACCAGAGCGTTCAGATCAAAATTAAAGTACTATCGTAACTAAATACGTATTTTATTATATATACTACTACAATGTGTTCATCTAATTGTATAGATGGCATATTAAGTAATTAAGATGAATGCGACAATGTATGTACATAATTCAATAAATGACATGCTAAATAATCATAAAGAGCTATAAATACCAATATAATACTAGGTCAAAGTTGGCCAATAAGAATAATTCTTTTGTGGCAATCATTTAGACTACGGCATGGTCTTATGCTATTGGTGTGAGATTGGAGTTGATTTGTTCGTGGGAAGTTTGCTCTGACTATAATATTCAAGGTTGACCACAAATATGTAAGCCCATACGTCATCTAGGTCTTTAAATCAATATCTTATTTCACACACTTTTAGATTCCCGATTTGGTCAAATGTTTTATTAATTTAGCAAGTTAGTTTATATGTTTCAGGTTATGTTTTTGTTTGTTAAGTATTGTGTTTTTTCTACAACCACAAGTTTATATGATTGAAAAATGATTCATCAACATCATGCATGTAATGACAATATTTTACCCCCTTAAAAAACCCCTCAATCATTTTTAAAATGGCACGAACAGTCCAAATTGCTTATAATAGAAATAATATTACATTAGAATCCACAATCAGAAACCACATATTAAAAGAGATTCATCGCATATTCCATTCCAGTTTTTTATGATGAAATGTGGAGAGTGTATTCCGTAAAACTATATGTAGCGAATAGAAACAGGATTTGTCCTTTAATTTTGAATATTCATGCTAATAAATAAACCATGAGCTTTTGTAAATTACATAAACTATTTCAAAAATACACTCAACTGTCTTGGATATGACATAAGCGACTTTTGAGAAAATAACATGTAATGTAGCAAAAATAATATGCTATTTTATTTATGTGATAGATGTTTTTTTGGATGTCACGAGATCACATCGATTTAGAGAAAAAAAAAAACGTAATTTGTTCGTCATTTGTACAGTACGTTGTTTGTTAAAATAAAATGATTGTGCGAAATGCATATATATATTAAGGTCAAATGCTAGAAAGATAACCAAGTGGTGGTGGTCCAGTGGTTTCCATTTGCAGAGGAGCGACTCTGTTGGTCTAGCCGTCCAGGCCAGGGATCGACTCCCTGCAAGCGCGACACTTCTGGATTTTACCCCATTTGGGCACTGCCACGTCCTTAGCGATGGGATAACGTGAACCCGGTATGTAAGACCACTTGCCTATTTACCTAAATAATTAGATTTTAATGGTCATTTCGGTAAATTATTAACCCTTTAATGTTTTTTGTAATTAGTATGAGATTTTTCCATAATTTCAAATTTTCATTTGATTGTGGGATTATATTCAAGATGGAAATAATATAATTATTTAAATCCACCACATAAATAATCAAAAATTAGTTTTAACATAAAATTATCATCTAAATACAGAACTGAGCAACTTAACTTAAATATTCTTGGAACATGTTGACCGTTGAAAAGACGAGATTCATCTCGTGAAACAAAGTCACAAATTACTTTTTTCATCACTTTACGTTTCAATTATAATACGTTTACGGTAAAAACATATTTTGTAAAATCACTATAATTTTGTGCCAAATAAATCACAATTTTTGAATTTTTCCGTTTTAATCATAATAAATATTAATATAAACTATAAAGTAATTTAATACATAAAAACAAATAGAATCTCAAAAAGAAAAACCAAACTCTTACGTACATATATTAGACTTGCATTTCTGATACGTAAGAGCATCTCCAATGGTAGACATCCACAGAGTGTCTCACCAATATAATATTAATATTTTTATGTTTAATTTTTTTAGAGAAACTCACACTAAAATTTTACTTCCATTAGTGAGATATCTCTATGGGTGTCTCATCAATATAATATTTATATTTTTATATTAAATTTAATTTTTCAATAATATTTCTAAACATATCAAATTATATCTTAAATATAGTCATTCAAACAAAATAATTATATTTTTATAAGTAACTAATATAATAAATATTAATAATTTTAAAAACATTAATTAATAGTACTATTAATTATAAATAATATATTAAAGAGACTATTATTTTTAAAACCACAATTAAACATAAATTGAATTTTAAACAACATATAAAACCATAATAAAGATATATAAATTAAACACAAAATTACATATAAAACCATGATAACATAAATTAAAATGCAAATAAAAACATACAAAACCAAAATAGATAATATAAGTTTTACTCTTCACTTGATGATGCGCCAAACTTTTGCCATATAGATTTTAATTATATTGGAAATTTTGTAAGTAATGACAAAAGATAACACATTATTTATCAAAATATCAAAATGTTGACAAAATATCAGATTATTCATCTCAGATTTATTTTCTAATATTATAGTATTTTATTAACTAAAAATATTAATTTAAATATCTCTAATATCAATTAAAAATTATATTAATAAATAGTTTAAATTTTTGTATAATGGAACTTAATATATAGATAATTTTATTTTATGAATTGTAGAAAAATAAAAAATAAAAAATAGTAACTTATAAACTATTTAATTGATATTATAAATCTTAGAGTAATTGAATTTTAAAAAAAAATTGTTAAACCAATATAAGAGTGACATGTGTATGAGAGAGAGTGTGTCTAGTGTCTCAAATGAGAAACTTATCTCAAAGCGTCTCAGCTTTTTCCATTAAAAAAATATTTTTTATTTATTTTTGATTTATTTTTATTATGGATGTCTCATGGAGACACTATTGATGGAAGTGCTCTAAGAATGCTAAGAGTTTGATTTTTCTTTTTGATTTTTAATTTGTTTTCATGTGTTAAATAACTTAAATTACTTTATATTAATATTTATTTATGATTAAAAATGGAAAAATTCAAAATTATAGTGATTTTGATACATAAGAATTCTAAGTCAATCAAATTCTAAGCATCAATAAAATTGTTGGATCAATAATTACTCAGCGGCTTGAGCGAACCAATTAAGCCTCCCCAATTATTTCAGAATCTCCTTGTTGAATTTTGGTATAACACAGTCGATTTTTTCTTTAAAGAAACACTATCGATTTTGAGTAATTGTTATGACCTAATCGACTGTGTTATACCAAAATTCAACAAGGAGATTCGAGATGTAACGTTTGTTAAGGTAAATAAAAGAGATGATTACAAAGTCAAAGAATTGTTTTGAAGGTACAAAAAAGTGTGTAAAGTTTATGACCAAAATATCCTCTAGGTTATACAAACTCTCTATAATATTATTGGTCAACAAAAATACATGCGTGTGCGTCTATATATAACATAGATGCAGAGAATAGACATCTTTGCTGTTTCTTTGGCTTGTACCCAAACCCATCTTTGACTTCAAAAATATAACAAAAATAATCATAATTGATATCATCGGATAATGCATAGTGGGAAGAGACCTCTTTCACCAGAATCAATGGCCGGAAAAAAAGAAGAGAAAAAAGAGTTGTGTTGTTGCTCAACTTTGTCGGAATCTGATGTGTCTGCTTTTGTCTCTGAACTCACTGAACAGCCCACCCCACCATCCATGGATGATGAATCTATGCCGCTTACTCTTCAAGGTAATCTCATCAGATCCTTTTTTCCAATAGTTTTATTACTATACTTTATAACTCGTGTGATTGTCTTTTCCATTGGTGATTCTCTTTACACAAACATATGAATGATTTAATCTTGGATTTTTGACATTGTTAATCCCTTAGTGGCTTCACCATATGCCCTTGATCAAATAGAAATATAATCTCATGCATGGCCACAATGTATTAGTTCAATTTACTATATGATTTTTTTATGAATGTTCATGGTTAGATTTTCTTCATGGTTAGATTTTCTTGAAAAAAAACCGTCGGTTTTATTGGTTGGACAAAATTGATCATATTTGATTTTCATCTTGGATTTTGCCATTGGTATAATCCATTAGTGGGCTGCACCATGGCCTTGATCATCAAATGGAGATAAAATCTTATGTATGGCCACAATGTATTAGTTCAATTTATTATATGATTTTTTATGAATGTTCATGGTTAAATTTTCTTGAAGGACAAAATTGATCATATATATATTTGGTTTTCCGACAAATAAGCTTAGCTAGACTTGGTCGCAATGGTCATATTTTGGTTGAGATACCTAGCCAGACAGAGTTTTAGGATTGTAACATATATAGGAAACACGTATTTAAAATGATCACACTTATTTTGTATCCTAAATCATAGGAGATACTTAGCTATAGTTTAATTAACAATAAAGAGGGAGAACATGTATGTAGGTTTATATTTCATAAGTAGATGTAGAAGAGGGGAAAATAAGTTAATGTAGATATTGTTCATATCATATGATTCAGACGCCCTTTAAATAATTTTTACGAAATGCCTCTACACCGATAGTTGATGTTATATTCATAGACACGCATGCACGCTCACCTTTAATTCACCATTTCCCCCACAAGAGTGAACTTACAATTTTCGTCATTTTTTTCTACAGAACAAAGTAACTCGAGGCAACGAAACTACAGAGGCGTGAGGCAAAGACCGTGGGGAAAATGGGCGGCCGAGATTCGTGACCCGAACAAGGCAGCTCGTGTGTGGCTTGGGACGTTCGACACTGCCGAAGAAGCCGCCTTAGCGTATGATAAAGCTGCATTTGAGTTTAGAGGTCATAAGGCCAAGCTTAACTTCCCGGAGCACATTCGTGTCAACCCTACTCAACTCTATCCATCAACTGCTACTTCCCATGATCGCCTTATCGTGACACCACCTAGACCACCTCCAACAATTGCTCCTGACATACTTCTTGATCAATATGGCCTCTTTCAATCTCGAAATAGTGATTCAGGTGCCAACTTATCCATGAATATGTCGTCTTCTTCGTCGTCGTCATTTTTGAATCATCAAGAACATAGACCAAATTTGGAGGATGATGAAAACGTGAAGAACATTACTATCCACAAACGAAGAAAGTAGCATAATCGCATAAAATGCCTCTCCGTCCAAGTTATCAAATGCATTGACCGTTGATGTAGTCCGGCTTTGATCCTCTTGGGCGCTTAATCTCTTTAAGACTTCATTTTGGTAGTCTTTAAAGAGTCTTTGGAGTGGCATTAGCTAGGAATCAGGCCTTATGGGATGAAAAAAATAAGATTTTGGGACATGAATATGCAAGAATGGGGATGAAGAAGACTTTGAAGAAAAAGAAAGATGTCTTGGACAACGTCCTCATATGTCAAGACGACCAACCTGATCGACCGATCAAATGAGATAAGAGTGTTGGCCAGTCGGATCAGGTTGGGTCGAGTATATCAGGTAGATAAGAGTGTGTGCTTTATGTCTTTCCACTCAGAAGTATAGCTTGCTAGTTATCTCCTTTTGTATCACGTATGAAAGAGATTAAAAAAAATCAAAAATATAGAGAGTATACACATGATCAGTGTGTCCGAGTTAACAAAACATAAGCAATTTTTTTTTTAAATATGTATGCACATATATGTTTTAACACGTTGAACAATGAAATTGCTGGTAAATAAGAAGAAATTAGGTAACAACCCGCATGTGTAAGATGAAGCGATTCAAGTAAAATTATTATGGATAAATTATTATATAGGATCCAAGATCTGCTAGTGTAAAACAAGACGTGTAGTAAAAGTTTTTTTGATCTATTCAAATTTACGATTATTTTATATAAGAATATGTTTCACACGTGAAATATTTGAACGGAGGAGAAAAGTTCAACATCATGAAAAAAATATTCATGAAATGTTTTCATTTATGGCAATATGTCTTTTTGTGTTTTTAAAAAACAAATTCATATCTGTTACTATGTTTTATCGAGTAATCATAACCATTTAACCTGTTTTTTTACGGAGAAAATATATTTCACGTAATTTGATGGACCAGTCCACGAAGAACAGCAGTCATAAAATTAACATCAAAACTAATATGCACCATCATATGATTGATTACATGTGGACACTATTAAATGCTATGTGTTATCGAAACATAATAATAACATATAGATTCATTAAAAAAAAATAGTACATGAATAGATGATATCATAAATTGCTATTGGTTTTATAGTGTTTCTCAATTATTATATAAGGGATATGAGATTTTTTTTAAAACAATCAATGATAATAAATAATATAGGTATGAAATCGAAACATTTTAATTACAAAATCATTTGTATGTATTAACCTCATAAAAGAGGAAGAAAATTATCCTAATATATTAAACCCAATTTAGAACACAAATTACCCTCATAACTCACAAATCACAACAATAAAAGAAAATATATATATATATATATAGAGAGAGAGATGAACTCAAAGAAAACAGCCTTCTTCTTGATTCTGTTCCTAATTGTATCTGCCTTATGTGAGTTCTTCACTCATATACAAATATATTATAATTCATTTTAATCAGATATCAATATGTCAACATGTATTACAATAAATTGGATCTGATTTGATGCGGTTTTAGTTTCAGATCAGTAATCAACTATATTTAATTGGCAAAGCAGCCATAGTTTTTTCTATTAGATTATAATTCTATTTTGGTTTTTAGGATATATAAAACTAAATGTTAACAAAATTTTGTATGGATTTTCATATCAATTTGTTTTGTTTAATTAGGTGGTTCAAACACATTTGGTTTATCTAAATTGAACAGTTACAATTTTTTGAATTGTTATTGTTTTTTCTTTTGGATAATCTATTTGAAGGTATAACGATGACAGAAAGCAAAAAATGTCACAAAGACTCAGATTGCAAACACAAAATACCATGTGCAATTCCTGTTGCCTGTCTATATGGCGGTTGCGTTTGTACATTAATGGCATTTGCAAATCGGTCTTTCTCTGCTTGTAAACTTATGTGTGCACAGCTGGGAAAAAACACTATAAGCCATTTTGATTCTAGTCATTGTGTTTGCGGCGATAAGTAAGAAAGCACACATATTGAATAACAAGAGAATTTGCAAAACGTGAATAAAAAGTAATATAAAATTATTTCGTTTCTTTTATAATAACAATTCTTTCTATTCAAAATCAAACAAAAGCTAGGTGGATCTAGATGGATCAGTCAACTGATCAAACGAACAGCACCCAACTAGCTTCTTGAACTTGTTCTTCAAGTGTGTACCCGACATGTGTCATTGTGGTATCTCTTAGAATCTCTTCTTTGAGAAACTATTTCTTGCAGTTTCCTCCCTCTCTCCTAAATTTTGATTTTTTTTTTAACTTTAATTAAGATCTTTTGTAAAGTAAGTGATTATTGGTAGACCATGTTTAGATCATAGGAATTGATTTGAAATTGAAATAATGTAAGATCATTAGTTTACAATTTTAAAAACTTTAAGAAATAACTTTTAAATTGCAAACTTAAAAAACTTTTACTAAAATAGATTTGAAAATAAAAAGAAACACAAAATATAATATCAAATTTTTATGAAACAAAAAAGAACATTAAAGATATAAATAAAAAAAATAAACAAACAAACATATTATTTAATTAAACCCTAACATAGATTTCGGATCGAAAGAGAAATGAAATGTTTTTTTCCTTTGCAAAAATTCGTAGCCAATGATGAAGCGCCACATCACGCTAAAACTGGGCCAAGAACAGTTCTACAACAAGAACAGATCTACAACAGATCTAACACTATTCACAATATTTTCTATTTTTAAAAGGCTAAGAACACCTAAGTGTTCTACCTTTAAATATGGCCTTAGAATCTCTTCTTTGAGAAACTATTTCTTGCAGTTTCCTCCCTCTCTCCTAAATTTTGATTTTTTTTTTTTTTTTTGTTTTGTTTTGTGTTAGAAACTTTGGAAAGAAACTCCCAATGGAGGTGGGCTCAATAGAATAGCTCTAAAGGTTATAAAAAGAATATTATAGGGGTCAAAGTGAACAGTACTAGTACTATGAGCGCCTAAATGCAAATAATCAAATTATGCCGGCCTGACAATCGAAACGACAACGTTTTCTGATGGACGATTAAATCTCTAATTTTTGTTAACTGAGCTAAATTTGTCTCGTCGTCCAAATAATTAATACATTTTGATGTACTATATTATGTGCTAGGGTTAGTGCTATTGACCTAATATCCAAGATTAAGATACTTATTCTTCATTTAGTTGGTAATATTCCGGTTTGGTGAAAGAAACAATCATGTTCGGTTGATTTGTAAGGTTTTGGTTTGCTTGATCATGGGGAAGCTGTAAGCTCCTGAGCTTAGGTTTTGAGGACGGTCTTGGTTCGGGAAATCTCGTGGCAACTCCATGGGATAGTCTAACCCTTTAAGCGTGTAGGCGATCGACAAGACTATTTCATCTTTGTGTTAATCTCGCTCTATCGTTGCAGCTTCTGTTTGTGGGTTTCCGGCTTTCCGCTTTGCGGCTACTCTTTTTGTGTTTGTCTTTGTAAGCTTCTATCAAAAATTAAAAAAAGAAAGGTATAAAACTCAACAATCATACCAAAAATATATATATATATTCTTCATTTAGTTATCAAACTAATACACCTAAATTGATACAAGAGAAAATGGGCATTGCCCTCTTCCTCATTCCTCATCATCTCTAAGGGAAAGGTTCATATCAAAATAGAAAACAATCTTTCTAACATCAATTGTAATAATTCAACCTTGTTCAGATCGAACAACCCTGGATATGAGAGAGCCTATAAGCGAAGAAGAAATTCTGATATATTTTTAAAGAAAGGAATGTGGTGGAACAAGTTAAAAATTATTTACAATGGGATATGCATCCATCTAAAATCTCAATGGATGTTGAATACTACTAATACTGGTAACAACATACTCAGATCACAACATGTCAATAAACCTGTAACATTCTCTAACTTGGCAATAGTCTCACAAAGTAACGTACAACACAACATACTCATGGGTAGCCATCAAGCACGCCTTTGAGTAGGTTTAACCCTTCCGCAGATATGCTCCGCCTCACCCGTGACGGCATTCGGATCTCTATCCTCTGTGGAGGATCCGGAGAGAAGCACACAACAATCACTGTTAAATTGTCACATGTATTCCGTTTAAGGGCCTCCCTCACAAGCTCTCTAGAGCATCTCTCTGGATCATTATGAATCATCAGTTCCTTCCTAGCGATTGTCACAGCGCACTGACTGCTCATCACATCCCACAGACCGTCACATCCCATTATCAAGAACTCATCGTCTTCACTCAGGTCTGTCTCTTGCAACTCTGGCTCTGGGCTTAGAGGACAAGCAGATCCTTTGGGACCTTTCATGTGCCAGTCTCCAATGGCACGTGCAACTGATAGTTGCCCGTTGAGGTAGCCATCATACACAACTCCACCTAACTTTTCTATTCTTACTTTCTCGGCGGTGCAGTTTGGTTTGTGATCTTTGGACAACTCAATTGCTCTACCTTTTCTCCCCAGTACTGCTCGGCAATCACCAGCATTTGCAATTATCAACCTCCTGTAAAGAAAGAAAGTAGCAATTCTATTCAAAATCAAATCAAAACTACAAAAAATGGTAAAACAGCCCATTACACTGAGGGTGAAAGTAAGCAAGTACTCAAACCGCCTTATTCTTTATCTAATACACACATGCAACCTGATAGGTATTGATGAGTTTACAGGTGATAACATATATAACTTCCTAAGTTCATAAATATGAATTAAATGCCCTTACCTTCCAAATATAAAAGCTGTCAGCGCAGTGGTCCCAGAAGAGATGTCAAGAGAAGAATCATCTGCAAATTCATAATCAGCTTTTAAGAAAGCACTCTTAATTGCCTTCTTTACGCATAGTGGGAAGGAGGAGTCCTCTACAATGAATCTCAGTATGTTCTTTCTAACAAAGTGTGCTGCATCTGTGCCACCGTGGCCATCAAATACCTGCCAAAGGACACACAATCAACAAATGTTAAAAGACTTTATGAAGTAATACCTCTGATATCGTACAAAAGAAGAAAGAAGAATCAGGCTTATGAACTACTTTTATGCTTCTTTAGGTAAGATTTGAAGATACACTCACCCCATAGAAGGCTCCAAGAGAAGAGCATTGAACAGCTGCACCAAGATGATGAACAAGATCATCGATGCAAATGTGTTCATCTTCCATGAACTGTTTTGCCCCTTGCTCAGCACAACTTCCTGATCGGTACACAGGCAGAAACTCCGATTTTTCATCAAGTGACTTCATAACCAAATTACAAACATCCACATCCTGCACAAACAGAAACCAGTTACATCATTCGAATCCCATTGCAACTACAAAAGAGGAAAAAAATAAATAACAGAAATTGCGGGTCAAATAAATTACCGTATTGGCTGCAACCTGCAGCCTAGTAGCACTGCTTGTGAGGTGCCTCGGAGGTTTTCCTTTACTTATCTGCTTAGTGTCATCTAAGTTATCTAAAGTATCAATTTCTGTTGCAGAAGAAGCATTGTCCTTGTTGAAATCTCCCTCAAGAACCGTTAACAAAGGTGAAAAATCCATACTCATCGCTGAGTTCTTCTCTGAATCATATAAATCTATCAGCAATCCAGAAAGAGTCTCTTCAGTAACTATTCCTCTTGTGATAGCGTTTTCAAGTCTGTTGCTTTCCAAGGACTTCCTTTATTCCCACTAGATCCAAGATCAACAGAGACCAACTTAAAGGATTAAACTTTGTGAGAAACAAACTTCACCAAAGACCTTGACAACTACAGCAACCTTCCTTCCGAAAGATCAATTTCAGATTTTGATAAAATACCCAAAATCAGCAGATCCTTGATCTTGTAGCAGACTCAACAAATGAAGAAAGTGAAGAAATCCAATAACCCACCACACCAACTATCCAAAGCTTGCTTCTACAACTTAATTAAGCACCAAATCAAGCTTCCAAAAACAACTCTGTTATAGAACCAGCTCTACTCAAAGGTTTTTACTTTTTCTCAGGTCAGATCAAGCAAATCGATTATCCAGAAATATAACCAAAACCCAGAAGCCTATTCAACAAAACCCACCTCGCAAATTTCAGAAACCCCCGAAGAATTCAACTTTCAGACTAAACCCCAAAAATTTGATGAAAAAAATGAAATCTTGAAGCAGGTAGAGAATTCAGAAAGATAACAAAATTACAGAAACAAAAAAAAAACTCTGAAATTTCTCACAGATGACAATGATGATGAAATCTTCTTATTCTCTCTTACCGTCAGATCCTTTTTGAAGAAATTCTCGAAAACCCCAGAAAAAAGTTATAGCGTTTAAAGAAGAAGAAGAAGAAGAACAGAATTTGACGAAGGACAATTTCCAAAAGCTTTCTTGAGAGAGAAAGATAGATAGAGAAAGATAGATAGAGAAAGAGAAAGCTTGTGTCTCGTTCGGTATTTGGTTGGCCACCGGCGTTTCCAGGTAATCTCTTAGATCGTCTATCTGTCAAACCGGAGCTATCCTACCGACACGTGTCTATAAATCAACGGCTATGCATTACTTTGACCGGGTGGTACCGCCACAGATTCCTAACCGTTGGATCTCTTAGATAGAAAATCGACGGTCAATATCACTTCCACGCAAATCTCCTTTTTGTCTTTCCCAATGGCGAGAGGTTACCTCCGATTAAAATAATAAAGTAGCGGCGTCAGATTCCCGCCATCCACGTGTCGTATAAATATTGGTTACAGTAATGTTTCGGCTGGGTTCACATTACAGAGAAATTTGTTTCCGGTTTAGGTTCATCAAAACCGGTAGAAATAAATTGGTAGTTAGTTGTTGGACATCATAATTCATACTGATGGAATTAAGCATATTAATTTCGTAATTATCATCTAATGACTTTTATTGCAACTAAAAGTATAAATTGGTAATGATTAAATTTAGAAACTTTTGAAGACTAATTAGAGTCTAAGACTAACAAACATATATATGGTTGTTCCACAGATGATTATGGAGTTGAATGTTCTATTTGATGATTGTTGAGATTTTTATTTGTCCTTTCTAGTGGAATCGTATTGGGATTAATATCTTCTTCTTCTTCTTCTTCTTCTTTTTTTCGCCAATTTAATATTTAGGGATCTTTTCATTGTAACTTGTAAGTAAGTTTAGCTTTGTGCATTGTTTTAAGTGTTTTTTAAAATTTATTTTCTGTTCATAATATTTTAAGTTTTAATTAGAGGACTAACACTTTTTTTTAATGAATATTACATTTCCGTTTGATGAAACATGTTTCATGTTTGAATGGAGAGAGTAAAGATTCCAATGTGAATTCTTGAAACTTCTATTCAAACATGTTTGTTAATTGTTAGTAGTTGTTAAGGATTTGACTTTTAAGGTACATTTATTTATTTTCTAATATGCTATCAATCAGTAGGTCAAACATATTTGTGCTAAATAAGATGTCGCGAAATGACGTATAAGAGTATTCTTGACTAAATATTTTTACAAATTTGGCGTATAATTCTTCACAAATTCTGTTGTTGTTTTTTAAAGAGAGAATGCATAACGTGGGTGATAATGTTGTAAGACGGTCAAAATCCCTTAGACTTAACATCTATTTATTGATTTAGATTGGATCATAACAATGGATAAAAGGAGGAAAAAAAAACAAAAACATGTCAATTATCACAAAGCGTTAAATAAATCACATTGGAGAGTAATCAAACCAGAAGCAAGAGAGAAATATCTTGTGATTAATTTGTGAATAACGAGTGGTTCACTTCTTAGCTTTTTGGTTAGCGGAATCTATGGCAGAGGGAGCACCACTACCGGAGAGGGTTGGTGCATCGGTTGTACCGCCGCCTTGGCCAGGCTTAACGTCTTGGTGACCGGAAGTTCCATAAGCATTCTTCTTATAATCTTCTATATCCTCATACTTTGTGTACGGACTTGTTTCTAGTGGCAACTCTTCTTTCTCTTCTCTCTTCGACAAATTTCCTGACATATTTCTTGAATTTAAGTTTATCTTTTTTTCTTCTTCTTCTTGTCTGAAGACAATAATATATTTTGGAAAAGAAAAAGAGAGTTAATTACTTATTGGAGACGTAAATAACTTTTGTCCAAAGAAATTGCACAAAATTGGCCATCGAACTAGGGAGTGTCATTGACTAGGTAATTTCGTCATTTGGCTAAATCTCAATTTCTCTTTATTTCAAAGCTCTAAAATCTAGAGCATGCACGCATTGTCTAAAAGATATTCGCAATGCCACTAAGTGAATAATCATTTGGTTAGCAAAATAATAACTATTTGTGATACATTTTCACACCTTAAGTTACAAACCTAAAATTAAAAACCTATAATATAAAAGAATACAACAAAAGATTATATCATGAAAGAAGTACATAATTGTGTTCTTCTTCTTCGACATAAGAAGAATTCAACACAGTTACGAATCCTTCTTCCAACATCTGTCTACTAACCAAACTAACAAGATCCTTTGTCTCTTCAATCCTCGGATGCATTGTATCTCCCACAACAAAAACATGCCACTGATTCTTCAGCGCGATCCAACTGCAACCCACTTCTTTGCTCACCCCGTTTGTTCTCATGAGTTTCCAAACCCGTTCCACATCTCTCATCCGCCCTAAAGCCGTGTAAATGCCTGCCAGTTGCACATACGTTGATGATTCTCTAGATCCAAGGGACATGAGCTTCTCTCCTGCATAAACTCCTAGCTCACAATTCCCATGGTTCTTACATGCGCTTAATAGTATCCGCCAAAGGCATAAACCGTGATCAATACTAGCTGATTCGATGAATTCTTTTGTCTCTTTGAGCTGTCCTGCACGGCTCAGCACATCAACCATACAAGCATAGTGGTCAACTTTTGGATCAAGCCCGAACTGATCAGACATCATATGGAAATAAGACCAGCCTCTCTCTACAAACCCTTTATGGCTGCACGCTGATATAATGTTCACGAAAGTGACATCATCTGGTTCTGTTCCTTCTGCTAACATCTCCTCAAACAGTTCCAAAGCCTCATCTCCTTGTCCGTTATGGGACAAGCCTGAGATCATCGCGTTCCAAGACACAACATCTTTATTGGGAGTTCTTCTAAAGACGAGGTTCCCATCTTCTAAACTCCCGCACTTTGTGTACATTGTAGAAAGTGCACTTCCAATTGGAACTTCAAGCCCAAACCCGTGCTTGATTGTGTGGCCATGTACTTGCTTTCCGAGCTCCAAGGTAGCTAGAGAGGAGCAAGCTTTTAGAACACTTGCCATGGTTGGGTCGTTTGGGATAATACCTGCTGTTTTCATTCTGCGGTACAGAATCAAAGCCTCTTCGTTATCTGAGTTTTGAACATATCCGCTAATAAGCGATGTCCAAAGCGCCACATCACGTTCTTGTAGGCAGTCAAAACCTTTCCTGGCATCTGCTAGACAACCGGCTTTTGCATACATGTCAACCAATGCAGTAGTTGCAAATAAATGTCTTTCAAATCCCAACTTTAACAAGAAAGAATGAAGTTGTTTCCCTTCTACTAGATAGCAAATGTCACTGCATGCATTTAGAACCCCAACAATCGTGTATTCACTGGGCTTGATTCCAGCAGAAAACATTCTCGAGAAAAGCTTTATTGCTTCAAGTGATTCCCCATTCTGAGAATAACCAGTGACCATTGCTGACCATGTAATTGAATTTCTGTCACCAGACGAGTCAAACATCTTGCATGCCTCATTCAAGCTCTCACACTTTGAATACATTGTAACGAGCGCATTACTCAAAGCTACAAACCCAAGCAACCCATTTTTAACTGTGATGCCATGGATTTGCCTGCCTAGTCCTACATATACGGTTGCAGCCAGCGAGCTAAGAACCGCAGTGAAGACATAGTCACTATCACTTTCTTTCTCCTTCTCCTCTAAGAAACAAATTGAAGACTTTAATTGCCTCCTCAACACGTCCTTCTTGTAGCATAACCAGAAACCATAGTAGACCATGTATAAGTATTTCTTTCAGGCATAAAGGCGAACACTTTAAGTCCATCCTCGACCAAGCCCGCTTTACAGTACATGCCCACCAACGAAGTGTCAACATATATATCCCCAAAACTTGACATTTTGACCACAAGTGCGTGAGCCTGCCTCCCAACTGTACAACTTTGAAGACTCGACTCAGCCTTAAAAATCCCGGCAAGAGTATAAGCATTTGGTAGTATATCCTGTGCTCTCATCTCCCGAAACAGCTGCATAACAGTGTGGGAGCTGGAGATACCGCCGTTCTGAGAATAGCCAGTGATGAGACTGTTCCAGGACACAACATCCTTGCAGATTATGGCGTTGAAGATGGAGTGGGCTTTGGCCAATTGTCCACATTTAGCGTAAAAGTTGACAAGGACATTGGCATGTTGGGTGCATGTTGATGTACCCGTCCTGATGATCTGTGCATGAACTGCACGTCCAGCCACGAGGTTCCTATGCTGTGAATGATGAGTCAGTGCTTTTAATAACGTGGAAGTATGAGAGAACGGGTTGATTTCGGTTTGAAAGGTACTTGGATACATTGCTGCGATTGGTATACAACATTGTTTGTCCCTACACAGAACACGCTGATGATGGTAAGGAATGAAATATTCATATTATCAGATACTAAATAATAGCTGAATTACTATCTAAGAGCAAAAGTGTCAAAGTAGATCATCTAATGGAAAGGAAAAGTACTCACTGAGTCGTTGTTCTCGATTTGTCTAGACCAGAGTGTTCTTCCAACTCAGGTTTCTGTCTAATTGCTAAACTCTGACCATTTTGAATAAAAATCAATCTAAATGCTACTAAAAGATAATCAAATAACATAAAACATGCAGTAAAGAGGTATTTATGTACCTCTCTGTCTAAATCAGTGAAAAGGCCAATACTTCCAACTCCATAAATATCTTTCTCAAGTTTCTTCTTTATTGCTGTCAATTACACATGGAGAAACTGTCAACACCAAATTACTTACAGAGTGCATGAAAAACCACCCACATTAAGCCTAATGCTATCGTTTACAGCCCCATGAATCTCATGGTCTACTTTGAAATTAATCTTCATCATTTGCGAGAGTTCAACAATTTTTAGAATACCAAAGATAATGAACACTGACACAAATTCTTAGGCATGATTGCTTAAACTATGTTATTTTTCATTCCTAGATTCGCATCTGCTTCGGCTAACGTAAATTATATCCTAAGTTTCGAAATTGCCATTGCGGCCACCGCTCTGATAATCCTTGAAAAGTTGTGCCTTTATCAATAAGTTCTATAAGCTTCGAAATGATATAGCCCGAAATCATTCCCAAAGAAAATGCATGACAAAGTTTAATAGAAGTAAACATAATTTACCCTTCATGGCAGGAGCTTTGATCATAGAATTCAACACCTTTGTGGGGCAGCCTGAACATAACATTTCCATCATTAGCGGCGCTAGTTAAATTGAATTCCAAGTACTTAACGCTATTCTCTGATTAATACTTCAAACTACTCAACAATGTACTTATATTTCAAAGCAATCTGATACTTCAAAAACCAAAACAGAAAACTGAGAAACTTTCGAACAAAAGATAATCAATCAAATAATTTAACAAGGCATTATGAGTAACTAACCATACCAGAGAAAGATCGGTACTTTTACCTTATACTCAAGAACAACCAAAAATATACACTCTAAGCCTTTCTTCCATGAATCTTATAGACGCGGACATGGAACTACTGCAATAACCACAAACAGTCAGAAACAAAAAAATATATATATTTGAGTGAAAAGACGCGTCTTATATAGCACAGGTATCTCTTAGGCATTTTATCGAACACTTTGTGTGCAGAAACAAATATTTTTAGAAAAAGAAAGGAACATGAACCTTCTTCTGTTTGCTCAACTTAAGGCGGCGACTAGTAGAAGGAGAAAGTAGCAACGGCGGTGACGGCTGCGAAATGGTGACGACGGCGACAAACTCAAGACGGACGACTCGACTCGAAATTAGGGAGTAATTTTTCGAAATTTAAGGTTTTATAAACTGACTGAGACAATTGAACAAAACCTGATTTAACCGAAATAAATTGAACCAAACAGTTGGTCGGCGATTTTACCAAACCTGACCCTATAGCCTCGTGTTTTTTGTAGTAAGTCTATTTTGATAAGCTGGTGGTACAAAATTGAACTAATTGTGATACACACAACAAACAATTACATAAATAAATGATTCAAAAAACCTATAATTTGAAAAGAAAATTTGTGTATTAGAATAAGCCGGTTAAGTGAACGTAGTGTCTTTGACCGGTTTGGTTTTTTAGGGACCGCTTAAGAGGTCTCGAGGTTGAGATTGATCACTTTCTTTAACATCAACACTAGCCGTGATATTGGCCGGAGAAGCAGACTCAATATCGCCGCCGGTTTTAGGTCGGAGATTAGGCAATGGAGACTGCATTGGACCTGAAGTTTCGCTCTTTTTCTTTGCATTCTTATGCCAATTCTTTAATGCCTTTGACGTTTGATCATCAAACACCGATCGCTTCATCGTTGATCCCATCTGAAAAACATGTAAAAAATCTCTAGAGTGATTACAATGGAGGCTTTTTACTCTTGTTGAAAGAGAAAGAATGAAGCATTGAACTTTTGACATGCCTGAGTCACGAGAGCGTAAAGAGGAAGTGTGATGTAACTGCAGAGAAATTGTACTCCCACTCTGCATTATGAACTCAAATTAAGATTCTTGCGGCTCAAGAAAACCAAATTTCACAAAAGAAGATTCTTGTAGCTCAAGAAAACCAAATTTCACAAAATATGTGGGGAATTGTTGATGAATGTAGTACTCACCCGAGAGCAACACGTATGATTATGAGGGCGAAATGGTGATGAAAACAGGACCGTAACCCGAACTCATACTGCAACAATGGAAGCAGAGTGAGAGAAGTAGATAGAGATGATGGGAAAAGAGAGCTTTGTGTTGTGTTTATTTACCCATATCCAGAAGAAGTAAGTGATCTCAAAAGCATTCTGAAGATTGAAGTAAGCTCATTAGAACAAAGATGAATCACTAAACATACTTTTTTCTATTGTTTCATTTTATAAGCGGCGATTAGTTGTACCTGGAAGAGAATGAAGTGGATGATATGGAGGACTAAGGCGGGACGACTTAACCAGAAATGTCGGTCAGAGACATTGACAAGTGGCATCCCTTGTATCACGGCGTGTCTCTCCTGAATCTCCAACGCCATGTCTGATATGATGGCTTGAAGCTTGGTTCCTATCGCTAATGTCAACTTCAAACCAAACACAATTAATCGGGTTTTTCTTTCTCTATATAGCTCTTTTCATGGAAAGAAAAAGCTATAAGGTAGATTGAATTACTTACAACTGGAGGAATCATGGTGATCACAGCAGTAACATACCATCCTATACCGGTAAACACCAGAACAATTAGCTTCTAAGCTCCGTATGTTGAAGAATATTATAACACAAGATATATAAAAAGACTAACCGTGAACATCAAAGAGTAAAAAGAGCATTACAAAGGCCCATAGCTCGGGACTGCATTACCGGAATGATTGTGAAATTGCATCAGAAAATGATGAAGAAAGGATTATTAGTGTAAGAAGAAAAAGTGTTAAGATGTACCTTATTCCCACGACTACCTTGAAGTCGTCTTCCAATGATCTTTTGATGTATTTTTGGAAATTAAACTTCATACCGGGTGCCAAATGGACCTAAAGAAACAGAGGATTTTGGAAACCAATCTCAAAAAATGTTTTGGGGAGAACTTAAAGACATGTTGAGTAACTAATGTCAAGGAACTCACACTTATGAACCCATGACGCATTGTCAAATAATCAGATTTTCTGACAGATCTCAGCATTTGACGAAAGAAACACATCTACAAATAGAGTAACAAGGAAATTCTCTCTTGCTTTAGATACATAGAAACAAGAGATGGAATAAAGAAAAGCGCACACAAACAGAATCTTACAACGTAGAAGGAGAATCTATTTTTGGCCCAAGGATTGACATGCTCTCTAACAAATGATGTCTCATGTGTGAGCCTAAATCTTGAAGGATCTGTAAATTACATGAAAGTAAAAACAAATTGATTTTCTGGTTTAAATGTGACTGAAATCCGAAACTATAAGCACAATGATCTAACCATCCATCATTTCGTGATCATTTATGACTTCTTCCTCCCAAACTTTCCATCCACGAATCTGCATAATGACTCCAATCCAACAATCAAAATCTCACAAATTAAATACATATACGGTCACGTCCTTAAATTACACATTATATACATATATATATACCTTCGCTCTTCCAAGCATCATGGTAATAGCACTATAAATGACATGAAACACAGCCAAGAAGAAGATGAAGATATGCACTTGATGCAACGCGTTGAGTGATATAAGTGGCACATAACCCTGCAAACATCAAAAACACTCTTCTTCATCAATTTCTAGATTTTTCTCATTAAACAAGAAAAATAAAGAAAGATTGAAATACCTTCTTGCACTGAGTTGGAGCGGCATCAGCCAAAACACGGCGTTGTAAGTGGTGGGTAGTCTTTGGCTTCTTAGACTCACCACTTGGACCATCGTACGGACCACAAAAGGACATCGCATGGCCGTATCTTGTCGCCACACACAAGCTTGCTATGTAGTTTTGTCCAAATGTTAATAACAGAGAAATGAATCCCAAAACCATAAGCTCTGCAAAAACAGAAACACAAAAAGTTTTAAAACTTTTAACCCACGCAAAAAAAACAAAGGCAATTCGAGGGTTTGGTACCGTTCTTGATCTTTTGAAGAGCTTCGTACAAAGCTTTCTTCCTTCTTTTCGTGAAAACCTGCGAAAGAACAATCAATGAGTGATGTTATACAAAATTAGAATATGTAGAGCAATCTTTGGGAATATGTGTTAGATTTTATTACCTCTCCGATTTTGTGAATCATGAGCTCTAGAACGATAGAGATTAAGATGATAACGCCACAAACAGTAGAGACGGCCCATGTCGGTGTCTGATCGAGCTCTCGCGGACCTTCTCCAGAAGTGCTACCACCTCCTCCTCCTCCAGCCATTTTTTTTTCTTAAAAGGGATTGTTTTTTTTCTATGTACCTTGTCTTATATGGTTTTTTTTTTTATACGACCATCAATTTTCAAATCTTCTACGGCCAAGAAACGGCGGGAACATGCAAAGAAGGAAGATGTCTCCGTCGTTCCGCTAGACGGATTCCGGTGATGGCGATTTTCTGGTTTTCTTATTTATTATTTTATTTGTTTTTGGGTTTTTTTTTTTTTTCTTGTTTTGGAAACTTTTGCTCTGTTTGTTCATTGTGTAGCTCTAATGGTTTTGAATCGGAAATGTAGGGAGATGAACGACTTGGCGGATTTATGGGAAATTTCAAAATATAATTTTATTTTTAAAAAATAATTTAAGCAGAGTTAACAAAAAAAAAAAAAAAAAGACGCCGTTGCCGGGGATCGAACCCAGGTCACCCGCGTGACAGGCGGGAATACTCACCACTATACTACAACGACTTTGTTAATATGTTGGCCTTAAACAAAAACTTAATAATTTGTTAACAGAGAAGTCAATTCTTTTAGGGGCTGAGACGTGAGAGACAAGAAGAAACCCTAATTTCCAACGACCTTTGTTGATTCTCGAAAAAAAAACAATGGAGAAGATGTCCGATTTCCAAGGGAATTGGTGGAGGAGATACTCAGTGAAATCGATGAGAGAAGTCCGATTGACTTGCAAAAAGTACTTTATCGAATCACATTGGTAAAGCAGCAGCTGCAAAGGAAGGGGAGTTTCTGCGGATCGTGATGGTAAACAATACGGTTTGTTTAATACGTGTCAATCTCCATGGAATTCACAACAACTCTGATCCATTTATAAACTATGAAGGTAAACTTATTAGCCTAAACAATTCAGATGATGTCGCTATATCTCGAATATGTAACTGTGAGGGTTTATTGTTATGACTACACTAGGCTCGTGGTTTGGAACCCGTATACGGGGCAAACTCGGTGGATCTGCATTGAACGCAACTCTGGTCCCCTTTGGTATCATGCTCTCGGATATGAGAAGAGTGAATCATGCCGCCGCATCCATAAAATCTTGAGATTTGCTCATTTCCAAGTAACAGATATGTGCACGAGATCTACGAGTTCAATTCTAACTCATGGAGGGTTCTTGATGTCACTCCTAACTGGTATATAGCGTATTATTACTATGGTGTATCTTTAGAGGGAAATATGTATTGGCAAGCTACATATAAGAATTTCGGAGCAGAAATCCATGATTTCTTAATTTGTTTTGGTTTTAATAAAGAGAAATTTGGACCTCATTTGCCTCTGCCGTTTGAGTCTAGTTATGATGTTGTGACTCTATATATCAACTTTTGGAGAAGAGCAGCTTGCGGTGTTAGTTCAGCCTTTCTGTAGCTATGGGATGGAAATTTGGGTTACGAATAAGATTGAGCCCAATGCGGTGTCATGGAGCAAGTTCTTAGCGATTGTTGATATGGGAGTATTGATTGAGCCGAGTTTCCTCATTCACAAGGAGAAGCAAGCCGTGGTTGTTTTTGATGAACATGGCGATTTAGTGAACCACCGTTGCGACATAGCTTACATCGTTGGTGAAAACGGATACTTCAGACAAATGGATCTCGGAGAAATTACAGAGAGACAGGGTTTATTGTGTGGATGTGATGAAAAACTTTTTAAAAATTTCTTACACTTTGCAACCAGATATGTTACAAACTAAGTCTGATTCTTGTATTTTTTTTTCTACCATTAAACCAATAAAACTGTCTCCTTACCAAGAAAAGAAAAAGGGAAATAAGAAACAAAACTTGAATGGAAACAAAGATGTTGGTGATCTACAAAATGTATCTAGTGGAATCTAGTAGATAAGTGTCTGTGGAGTTGAGAATCAGTAGGCATAAACACTGGAAGTTGGTCTCCTCTCTGTGATCTAACCTGTTGGAAATAACCAGTCAATGGGTTTCCTCTAGCCCTTCTGCTACCATCAGTCCCAGAAGAAGTTATGGTGTTGAGACGTTCATTACCAAGAGGACTGCCAAAATCTGTTCCGGGAATCCGAGACGATGATACAAATCGGCCAGCTTCTGGATCCCAAACTACTGAACTCTCATCGCTTGACGGCAAATTTCTTCTAGCTGCAACAACAGCATTTCTGCTTTCTTCCTCATTTAATGGTGACTCGTTAGCTGGTGATGACATGTACATTGGGTTGAAGTGATCTCTTGTCAAACCTGGACTACTAAGGCTACAAGACTCTAAATCAGCTTTGCCTTTTCTAGTGTGATGGGTACTTGCGGGGCTGCTTCTCCCGCTTACATTGCTGCTGGTTTTGTAAGGGTTTTGCCGCGAACTTACTGGAAGAAGCACTGATGAAGATGCACGTGCTTTTGCAGCTGCTTTAGATGCTTCTTGTGAGTCGAGTTTTGCCAGCTTCCATGGATTGATCCTTACTTGTTGACGCTGAGGTGGCTTCTTCTGTGAAAGCGAGTCGGGATCTATTGTGGATCGTACAGGTCCAGGCTCCAAATGCTGGATAACATCGTCCTGCTAAAAAACAAATATTATACAACTGAAGGAAGCGGAAAACATAAAAGATTTGGTTTTTACCTGTTGGTCCATGAATATGTTTGGAGGTGTACACAAGGAGACACCACGGTATTGAATGCTCAATCCAAGAGAGCTTCTAGCACTGGTGGCTGTCACAGCTGAGCTTGCAGGTGAAGGATGCTGGCTTGTTTGGTCTAGCTCATCTACAGATGTTCCAAGTTGTTCAGTTTTCGCCCTCAGGGCAACAACATATTCATATGTTGTGATTCCCTGCAGCCAAAAAAGTGACATCAAAGGCGTGTTTCCTTGTGCTTTGTCAGTGGAGAGTAGAAATTCAGCAACATGGTGCAAGAAAAAATATATACAAAACCTTTCGGATCAAAATGATATGGAAAAAGAAAAGTTCCCCAAGAGGTATCAAAGCCAGTAACGAGAGAGTTGTACAAACAACCTGCAGAATGAGAAAGCAAGCTCAAGTTGGAAACTAAGCATTGATAGAAAACAGAATAGTTTCTTTGAGAATACTTACCACAACAGCGGCAAATGGAGGACGGGAGAATCCAAGCCCAAGCTTTTCAGTTATAAGATGTTCCATTGCCTTTTGGTCCACTAAACATCGAACAAATACAGTTACACCAACTCCAAATTCAGCTATCAGCTGGCACCAGATTTGCAAAGCCATATCATATGGATAGGTTAATATTATTCAATGAGATAAAACGTAGGCAGAATCAACCTTAAAGTAACAAACTTTGTTGGAAACATACCCAGAAAAAGCTTGCCGCCATAAGACACACAAAGCTGATGTAGTTTTTCTGCCCCACACAGTTATTCAGCCACTAACGCAAAATAAACTTAACATATCAGATAAAATTGCTAAGCCTGAAACCCAACGGAAAAAAATTACATTTTCAAATTGCATACCCGGCAATGATGATCAAACCCATCTACACACTTGCCACAGCTTCGACAGTGCTTGCTAAACATACGTACCTTCGAAAAAAGAATGTGCTGTTACTGTAGAAGACGCAATGAGAAACTTCTAACCACAAAGCAAATATACGACTATACCTCAGCATTGCACAATGAGCAGAACAGAGCTTCTTCTTGTTCGTTCGATTGCTCTTGTTGAGTATCTCTACGGCAATCTTGTATGACTAAACAACCACAAATGAATCTTCCTATAGCATTACAGCAACCTGAGCCGTGTCTAATATATGGCCCACCATCAATTGCTGAAGCATTATCTGCAACAGAGACATCACTATAAGAAAGAAGTATCTAAATTATGTAAGCCAAAGCATCATCGGTATAGCACGTACCAGGCACATAGTTACTATTCTGTGACTTATGAGCTGGAGTGTAATCAGCCTTCACAAAGATTCCAGGATCTGCAGGATCTATACCAGTGCATCGAATGTAAAGAACTAAAACCGAAAACGCCTGTAAAATCATTATGCAAAAGAGAGATGAGAGTTGTGAGATTCGAGAGCTTATATTGTGTTTAGCAATTTTTCGTTTTAGGTCTTACCAGGAAAGAGTAAACACCAATGGCAATATATTCATAGAGTTTGTTTCCAAGAAACGGAGCAAAGAAGGCATAGTAAGCGACAGTTAGCAAGAAAAATACAGTTATAGCAACAACCTGCGCAGCAACAAGAGCAACAGACCGTGTTAGATAAACATTTAAACTCAATGTAATGGATCTTAAGAATGCACATGAACTATACACATATACATATACTCAAATGTCTGTTAATCCATAAACACATAAAGCAGAGGAAAAAGAAGAGATTTTGAAAATGATGTGAATATATAATCACAACAAAGAAAAACTACCAGATACCAACAAGAAATTTTAATGTCATTTTCAGAAAAGGGAACAAACTTGTCGCAATTGCAGATTATGACAGGAATTTCACAGATCGTTCAAACCAAAGTCAAAAACAGAACCCAGTCAATACTCTCTCTCAGTAAAGTATTGTAAGAGAAAAACCTGAAATGTGTGAGCTGGAAGTTGCCATCCATGTCTTCTCGCCATTGCAGTGAAGAAACCCAAAACCCTAAATACTTTATCTCGGGAAACCAGATAAACCCCTAGATCACTCGAGAAAAATTCCTAAATCTAAAAACCTTGAACTCGTCCAAAAAGTTGAAGATCAAAATGATTTTCGACTAAATCAAGTGCTTAGGAGCTTGACCCGAGTGTATAAGCACTTGATTTAGTCGACTAGTGAGGAAAATTTCAGGACTTGAAAGATTCATCGGCTTGAATTTTATCGATCAGAGTGTCTCTCGGGGAAGTAGTAACAAGCAGTTAGAGAATTAAATGAATAATAATACTACTAAGAACTGGGTTAGACTTACACTAAGAATTTCCCCCTATAATATCTGAAATTCACAAATATTAGACTTGTTAATATTTATTTTTAATTTAATAAACTTACCCTAAGAAAAAAAAAAAAAACTTACACTAAGAATTTAATATTTACTTTTATCTTTGATTTTTTAAAATGTGAATATCAAAACGGATAATCTGTCATGTATTAATATCACATATGTAAATAATATTCTACAGAATTGATTCATATAGTTGTTGATAAAAAAATTTATTATTCTGGTTCAAATTAACTCACCAAAAATTCATAGCGGGAATCCAAAATGAAATGTTAACGTTTTTTTATAATCCCTAAAGGCTGTGGAATTTTACTATTTTTTACGATGACAAAATGAAATTCGTTTCTCTTGTTTTATGTCAAAAGGAAACATACTTTTTTTCTCTATATTTATAATGGGATTATATAGTATAATTGTAACAAATAGCAAATTATGGCATGTTTGTCCATATGGGGAGAAAACAAATAAAGTAAACAAAAATAATTCCTGAAAAACTAGTTTTTTTAACTTAAAAGTTTACACGTGGCCATCCACTAGCTGTGTTTTGAACAAGTCAGAGACGCCGTGTAGTTTCTCATCTCGCCGGTCAACTCTGAGCAAGAGAGAGAGAGAGAATGCATTTGAGTGAGAACGAAGGTATCGAAGGCAACACCTTCGTGGTCACTGGAGGCCTTGGCTTCGTCGGTGCCGCTCTCTGTTTAGAGCTCGTTCGTCGTGGTGCTCGCCAAGTCCGCTCTTTTGACCTCCACCACTCTTCTCCTTGGTCCGATGACCTCAAAAACAGTGGCGTTCGCTGCATTCAAGGTTCTAATTTCATAGATCTCTCTAACCCTTTTTTCGATTTGATCTCTAATTTGTGAATATCAAGTTTTTAGTGTTAGATCAGTTCTGGATTTATATTGTGATGATGATGCAGGTGATGTGACGAAGAAAGGAGATGTGGATAAGGCTTTAGATGGAGCTGACTGTGTTTTGCATCTTGCTTCTCATGGTATGTCTGGGAAAGAGATGCTTCAGTTTGGTCGTTGTGACGAGGTTAACATAAACGGGACTTGTAATGTCTTGGAAGCTGCGTTCAAACATGAGATTACAAGGCTTGTATATGTCAGCACTTATAATGTTGTGTTTGGTGGTAAGGAGATTCTTAATGGTAATGAAGGTTTACCGTATTTCCCTCTTGATGACCATGTTGATGCCTATGGTCGAAGTAAATCGATTGCAGAACAGTTGGTTCTCAAGAGTAATGGCCGACCTTTTAAGTAAGTCTGGTTCTTGATTTTAACGGTAGAGGATTCGTTGGTGTTTATTAGGGAGCATAGTAATCTTTTCACTGGCTTGTGCTTATGTAGGAATGGGGGCAAACGGATGTACACATGTGCAATTCGTCCAGCGGCTATATATGGACCTGGCGAAGATAGACATCTTCCTAGGATAGTTACTCTAGCAAAGTTGGGTTTGGCGCTCTTCAAGATCGGTGAACCGAGTGTCAAAACAGACTGGATTTATGTCGAAAACCTTGTCCTAGCAATCATCCTGGCAAGCATGGGACTCTTGGACGACATTCCTGGCAGAGATGGACATCCCGTCGCTGCTGGTCAACCATATTTTGTCTCTGACGGTAAACGCATCTCTTAAGCCTTGAAACTAGCTTCAAAAATCAAGCTGAAATATTTTGCATTTGCGATCTTGTAGGTTCCCCAGTGAATACCTTTGAGTTTCTACGTCCCTTGCTAAAAAGTTTAGACTATGACCTGCCCAAGTTTACGATATCTGTACCTTCTGCACTGTCCTTGGGTAAGATCTTCCAAGGTGTCTACACTTTGCTATATCCATGGCTATCAAAGAGCTGGTTACCACAGCCCCTTGTTCTTCCTGCTGAAGTCTACAAGGTAACAGTTTTTCCCCAACTCATATTCCAGCTGAGATCACAAACCAACTTGTATGAAACTTTCAATGTGGTGCAGGTTGGTGTTACGCATTATTTCTCATATCTAAAAGCCAAGGAAGAGCTTGGATATGTTCCATTCAAGAGCTCCAAGGAAGGAATGGCTGCAACTATCTCATACTGGCAGGAAAGGAAACGGAGATCTTTAGACGGTCCAACCATATTCACTTGGATAGCTGTTATACTAGGAATGTCAGCTCTTTTTGCTGCGGGATGGTTACCCGACATAGGACCTGTGCCGTTCTTAAGAGCCCTACACCTCTTCTTCTTCCGGACAATCACGGTTGTAAAGGCTGTCTTCATCGTATCAGTGATACTACATGTTGGAGAAGGAATCTATGCGTTGCTTTTGGCTAAACGAGTCGACCCAGGAAATGCAATGGGGTGGTTCTTGCAAACCTGCGCTCTCGGGTTTTTCTCAATGCGGTTTTTATTGAAGAGAGCCAAAGACCACCAGATTTAAAACCAGCCTTATTTTGATGTTGTAATCAAAAAAAGTTTTACATGATAAATGTTATCAAGATTGAGAAACACAAAATAAAAGATCTACATTAATCAGGATATTCTAATTTCTGAACAACTTATGGTTCTGAAAGTACCTCAACATAAAATAAAAGATCTACATTAATCAGGACATTCTAATTTCTGAACACCTATGGTTCTGAAAGTACCTCAAAACACAAAATAGGTCAAGTTATCAAACTCCTTTTGTCTGAACAGAACTAGAAAGTCTAAACCAAATATAGAAATAATCATCACTCAAATAACGGGAAGTTGTTTGTTTTAAGCCGACCCAGATCACATGGCTACTTCCAGCTGTAAGATCCTGTGCCCTGATGAATAGGGCTTCCATGTCCTCCTCCACAAGATGACTCACTCATTGTGCCTCGAGATTGCGGGCTACCCGGAGTCATCAGCACCTGCGTTGGGGCCACACGCGGTAATGTGGGTGACGATAGTCCCATCTGTCCCACATGCTGTTTTGGTTCTTTTTCTCCGTCTGGTATGAAACTCCCAACAACAATCTGTAATTGGAAAGCCAAATGTGTCCTTACATTGATCTCATGAACATCGATGCATAATATGTTTGAATTTGAAGAAGGCAGAAAATACCTGAACAGGTGATGCTGCTATAAGAAGACCAGCTACACTACCACCTAGGACATTACCATCCGGACTTGATAAGGACACACTTAGACCTCCCGTCCTGCTTCTTTGACCATCGTTCTCCAGCAAATGGAACGATCCCGATAAAGACAGAATCTCAAATCTCCCCTGGTTATAAATGTATACAAATCACTAGGATTAAGCAGTAAAAAATCAGAGAAAAAAGGGATTGAAGAACTTTGCAAGCTGAATCTTGATACCTCATATGTAACGGTTCCACCGGATGTGCCAGACTGGCGGAGAGTCACATTGGAGATGGCTCCATTTGCAGACATGACACACACAGCACGTGGTCCATTATGAGCTAACGCCATTATCTTTGATGATACATCCTATCCCATGGATCAAACAGCAAAAAAATCATAAATATGTCAGCTCTTAAATTTGATAATATCAAATGGACCTAAAATGTCAACACTAACAGCCACACACAACACACTCTTGTCAGGTACGAGAGCGTTGATCATGTTCAACATTCTCTAGTCACCAAATAAAGATTGACCTTAAAAGACAACAACTCGCACTCAACATTCACAAAAAATAAAGAGACCTAGGTGATCGTTTACTACAACGATGAGCTTAGACAATCCTAGACACCATAACAGTTAAATAAGGAAATTCAAGAAGCTAGAAGAAGAAAGAGACCTCTCCAGTCATCACGGTAAGTACATGAGGCGTAAATCCGATTCCCGTCGAGCCTGCAACAACAAGAATCTGTCAATAATATAGCAAAGCAAGCCACAATAGATGCCAAGATTGGTAGAGGATTTAAAGAGCAAAGATGGTTGAAGAAGATACGTTTAAAAGGGCATAAAAGTAATATGCAATTGCAATGATTCTAGAGGTCATTGTTTAACTACCATATTCACCATTTTTACTATATTCTAATAGATTGCAGCCGACACAGAACTTTCCAATTGAAGCACGTGAGAGAAGATTCCAAAATATCAGAAGAATCATTGTGAGTTACATTACATATATAATAAATACATACCTAAAGCTTGAAGCTTGAGCCTTTTGCTAGAAGAACCAGGAGGTCTTCCTCTCATCTTCTTCTCTCCTCCACCGCCGCCGCTAACAGGTTGGCTCACAGTGAAAGAAGGAGCTCCAGAAAACAAACCAAGTGACGTTTCACCACTCTCAGGTCCGTATTTCCTCGGTCTACCTCTCCTCTTCTTCACAGGCTCACTTCCAGTCACGGCTCCATGCTCAGCTCCGGGCATGTTCATGTTCAAGACAGGATTCTCACCAGCTGAGTTGGGTTGGTACTGCTGCGGTGGTGATGCTGACCTCATCGGCTGCCTGTAGAGATCGGCTCCGTCGTCTCCACCGAATGACGATTGCATGTTCTGAGACTGCTGAGGTTGAGCTTCACTGCGTTGCTGCTGCTGCTGGTGGAGAGCCATTGTGAATTGCACTGATTCTCTGGTCGCCGCCATAAAACCCGTCTCAGATCCTGACATTTTCTTCTCACTTTCCCAAACCAAAACAGGGGAAAAAGTGTTAGCAGAAGATTAACCAAAAGCACAAAACCCTAGTTTCCATTCAAGAAGCTCTGAAGTTAAGAAAGATTGAAACTTTAGCCCTAAATCTAAGCAACTACACGCCCAAGAGAGACAATTCAGTGTTTCAACTACAAGATTGTACCATCTCCAATGAAAAATTTGAAACTTTAAGCCCTAAATCTAAGCAACAACGCTCAAGAGGGACAATTCAGGGTCAAGATTGTACCATATCCAAGGAAAAGTTTGAAACTTTAAGCCATAAATCTAAGCAACAACGCCCAAGACCAAGAGGGACACATCAGCGTTTAACTACAAGATTGTACCATATCCAAGGAAAAGTTCGAAACTTTAAGCCATACATCTAAGCAACTAGGCCTAAAATTCAGCATTTAACTCCAAGATTTGAACAAAATTGTGGATTTTTAGATCTCTCTTCTCTCACACAAAAATTTAGGAGAAAAGCGGATCAAGCATTAAGGTTACCAGAATTTAAGATTAAGATGAAAATTATATAAACATAAATGAAAAAGAAACCACTTTTTTAATATTAAATTTTACAGGAGAATTTTGTTTTCTCGAAGAAAATAGAAAATCAGACAGGAAAATATCGAAATTTACATTAAAAATTGAATTGAATGTAAGAAAGAGAGAGGGTGAGAGAGAAAACTTACGAGGTGACTGAGGAGAAAATTCAGGAGATAAAGTAAAAAGACAAAGAGGAGATCTCTGCCTCTTTTTTTTTTAGGGTTTTTTATTTTCTTTAGACCAGAATATATATATATATACAGCGGAATCTGTCCCAGGACCAAATCTTTTTATTTGGATTATTATCCCCAATTATCTAAATATTTTCACTTTTTTCTTTTATTTTTAATTTAGTCCAATTTCTTTTTTTTATTTTTCTCTAATTGTCCAGTAATAATAGTTTTCATCCAAAAAACCAATACTATCTTTTCAAGTAGACAAAACCTTGATTTTTTTTAAGAGACATATATTATTGACACGCAAAATAGATGATAATAAAAAATTAGCTTTTAGATATTGTAAAACATATATATTAATGACCCGGAAATATTGTTGATGTAGAATCATATAATATTTTCTAAGCTAAATATGGTTCCTTTTATAAGAGATATATATTATTGACGTGTAAAATAAACAAAAATAACTTTTGTGATAAGTGTTCAAGAAGAAAAAAAGTTAATTTTTGCTTATTTTCCACGTCAGTAATATATGTCTCTTGTAGAAAGAGTTAACAAAAGCAGATGTTCATGATAAGTGTTCAAGAAGAAAAAAAGTTAATTTTTGCTTATTTTCCACGTCAGTAATATATGTCTCTTGTAGAAAGAGTTAACAAAAGCAGATGTTCATGATAAGTATTAAAGAAAAGAGATTTAATGATGAAAATTTTTTAGCGGATGAGCAAATTTTGTGGTGTAATCTACTGAAAATTAGGCAAAACATTTGATAAAAATTTTGGTGATCTAATAGGTAAATATCACAAAGTTGTTGTAATGTATATATGGACAATGAATTTAAGAAAAATGTGTCAATTAGTTTATTTGGTTTGGAAAACAAAAAACAATATACGAGTTATTTTATAAGTTATATACAGAAAAGCATTTAATAAAATGAAGAATCTTTTATATGAATAACGACCAAAATATCTTTTGTTATATATACTTATATATTAAATTCGTACACCATATTACTCTAATCAAGAAAGTCTAATATATATTATATATGTGATGTACTCCTCATCAATAGATGATTTAGCCATTAGGTGATAGGGATGTCAAATAAAAAGCAAACGGAGGTAGAAGACCATGTTTGATAGTTGAAAAGTCGAGCTCCCATAGAGGGTGTAAACTAAACTATGGTAAAAGAGGTTCCTCTTTCCTTCACCTGATGGCAATTACAAGAAGAGTTCGATAAAGCAAAAACAAGGTTAACAATCAAATAATAAGATCGACTTACCTATGACATATGACATACATACGTATATTAAATAAAACCTAAACAACAAAACTAACCTCCTAATACATGTGATGTACGTAGTATGACATGTATGATGTACGTACATGTTAAATTCAAATATAAACCATGATAAGTTATGTACATCTATAAATTTATATTGTGTACATATATAGAATAAATTGTTTGTCATAAAAAGCAATCTCGTCAATTCGTTTATAGTTTATAGTTTGCCAAACAAACAAAAAAGTCGTTTTCATTTTACCAAATAACGAATAAAACCCCAAAAGTTGCCAAACCACGTAATTTTCTTAGTTCGAACCTACAGATTGAAAATGTTTAGAGTGTAGTATTTATACGGACATAATTTATCATGGTTTATATTTAAATTTAACATGTAAATAGTATTTTCACTACAAGAAATATCCACATTGATAGCACATGATGATAGCTCATTTTCCGTAACTGCTATGAAAGATAAATTTTTTATTTGAATTATATATAATAGCACTGAAACAACGCTAAAATAGAAAATCACCAAATAGAAAGCTAAAATCACTCGTTCCGCCAATACTTAGGCGAAATAATTCACTTAAGCGCCATATGTTTCAGATCCAAAAACTTAAAACGCCAAAGTAAAAAAACTAAAACCCTTCACTTTACCACAAAATAAAACATATCTCCAAAAAACAAAAAAATCCCAAGTCGAAGAAAAAGATTTGTTGGATCTGAGACATAGCCATAGCCAGTTAGCCACCAGCGTGAAGCTCGTCGCCGGCCTCCACCGTGAAGCTCGTCGCCGGCCTCCACCATGAAGCTCGTCGCCGGCCTCCACAGTGAAGCTCGTCGTCACGACAGAACACAGTAAAGGTACTTCTATTTCAGATTTATTAACTTATGAACCCTAAACTCATCTTCACCGTCATATTCCCGATTCTCTCCTCGGATTTCTCAATCGTCGCCTCCGTAACTTGCACCGCCGGAGCTGAAACCGGAGAAGAAGAGGCATATCTTCACCGATTTTGAAAATTGCGTTTTCGGTTTTGGTTAGGAGTTTGGTGAGAGCTGGAGCAGATTCAAGCCATGGATCTGGTGGTTGCTAAGTGACGGCAATTACTGTGAATATGAGAACTGTGAAGACGAAGACTGAGAAAGAGTGAACACATGGTCGTCGTAATTACGGGTTTTGCATTTCTTCTTTTGGATCTCTTTTGTTGATTTAATCATCTCATCATTGTTGATTTTGACTTTAGATACGTTTTTGTTCTTTAGGTAATGAAGCTCCAAACTTGAGGTACTACTACATAGTTTTTAGTAGCCACATATGTAAGTTGGTTTTGGATTATTTACAAGATGAAGCATACCTATCGTGTGTTTTTAAGTTGGCTTATCTTTTCTTATCTTATTTGATAAGATCTAGCTAAATGATTGATTTGAATCATTGCTTTGATTGCATTGTTTGCACCCACTTTGTTTTTTCTCTTGTAAAACTATGGAGGAATGTTTGGTGGAGTGTTAAGTCTTAATTTTATGTCTTTAGGGTGCTTGCGGACAATGTTGCATGTTCTGGATTTTTGGTGTGGTTCCTGATTATACAAAAGATTTTGAGGTGAAGGACGAGCGAAAATAGAGAATTAAGAGATGGATGATAGTGAAGGTAACTCATTTTCTTGGAATCTGTTTTCAGAATTTGCTTGAGTATTTCTTCTTGTTCTTTGTGTCATTCTTTTTGTTCTCTTGCTTCTTCTCTGGCCATAAACTACTCTTTCATGGTAAGATTTGTGAACTAAAAAAATGTCTTTGTTTGTTTGTATATCTCAGTTCTGGAAATTAATTAAACAATCTCTTTTTATTATGTAGGTTCTGAATTCTTACCTCTTGATATATAGCAAAACTGTAAGCTTACTTTGTCTTAGGTTTTGGTATATGTGTAAAAAAGCTACTGCAAAGGCTATTGTTATTAACTGAATTTTGAATCAAATGCAGCTTACATGAAAAATCATATGTTGGTTTTATCGGAGATTGATATAGGATTGTTGTTGTTTTGCCTTTCTTATAGGGTGGATGAATCTTTTGATGCTAGAGAAATGGAGTATGTGCGTTTAGTATCCGCTGTTTGTTGGATATATGGTGAGATAACATTTGTTTCGAAATTATTTTCTTTTGGTAAGTTGTGAAGCAGAGAGAGATGGAATCCTGGAGTCTCTAGAAGTGACGTAGTCAAGGTTCTCTCCTTCTTTGTTTCTTACTTTGCTTCAGTCAGGTTCGTCGAATTCTTTCTCCTAGCTTTCAACTTGTTTATCTTTTAAGAGAATAAGTTTAATATTTTGGAAATTCTAAATCAACTGGTACGTGATCTTGTTTCTTCTAAAACTAAATTACACATCTTTCATCACTATAAGTAAGAAATGTTGTCTTTTTGTAACTGATTTATCTCAAAAAATTAGGAAAGCTTTCAAGTATGAGTTTTCCATTTGATCTCTGTTTTTTTTTTGCAGTCTGGAGCTTTCAAGTTGTCAAAAGATGGTTTTCTATTGCTCCAATTTGCTCCTTCTGCTGGTGTACGACAATATAATTAAGGCAAGAAACAGGTTTGGTTTTATCTCTTAACTTCATATGGTCCATTAAGCTGTAACTTTGTTAAGACCATCTCACTGGATTTGGTGTTAAAAGACAGTCTTTTTTCTGGTCACTTATTCAGCCTAAGTAAGTAAATATAATCTTCTTCTTGATTCTTGTCAAAATGGTTTAAACATTGTCTCTAACAGTTTCGATCTCCGTATATATATTAGGTGTGCAAAACAAGCTTGTGATTGAATTACTTACTCGGATCATGTTATTTTTCAGGTTGCACTTGATTCGCCTCCAAGCTTCTGTTTGTGCTCTCTTGTCCTATGCTACTGTTGTTGTTGCTGCAGCTTCTGTCTCTTCTCCTATGCTACTGTTTTTGTTGCTGCAGCTTCTGCAAAAGAGATCTCAGGATCCTATATTTCCCTCTTTCCTCACAGTTTTATACATAGTCATTATCTAGTAGAAGCATTTGAAAAACTAACTTGTTTTACTTATACAAAGACAGCCAACGACAAAGAAAAGAACCAAGCTATAGAGGATTTGGAGATGGCAGTGAAGTGTGGACATCAACCTAAGTTCTTGGAGGGAGAGAAAGAGCAAACCAATGGAGTTCTTCGTTTAGTCCATCTGAATTACAATACTTGTCTTGTTTAAGACCTTGTTTTAAATGGTGTTGAATACTAAACTATGTATCTTTTGATGATCTATGGAAAGAAACATGCTTTTAATAAATTGGTTTTGTAGCATATAATTAATTGGATTTCAAATATATATATTTTAATTGCATATGATGTATTAACGTATAAAAATGTGCTATAAAAAAATTAAAGCATTTTAATAACGCTATGTTAGAAAGTACCTATAATAGCACGAAAAATAACTTAATACATAATTAAAAAAAAAAAAAAGTCGTTATATCAAAGCGTTTGTCTAATGCTATGGTAGAATGCTCTATAATAACATAAGGAAAAAACGCTATCGTATGTAGGGGATCTACCATAACAGGGGCATAAGACAGCGTTTATGAAAACGCTATTAATGACATATAATAGCTCTTCTCTCTTGCTAATAATGTAGATATTTCTTGTAGTGTTTTTCCAAAAAAAGTTCTAGAGTTTTAGTATTTACCAATAATGGATATTTTGTTAAAATTTTTAGTTAAATATAAAAGTTTTTTTATTACACGGGTTTAATATATTAATAAATAGGGTTTTTTTCCCGATGAGGAAGAAAGAAAAATATGCCCCTTTGTTTCTAATACTGTAGATTGATGTTCTACCATTTTTAGTTTGTCTCACAAAAATTAATTTTTATTTTTCTTTTTATTTTTTATTGATTGATATTATAAATTGTAAAATTCAAGTCCCAATGATTAAATTTATTAGACTATAATTGGTTTATAGATACAGAAATGTTTGATACAAAAAATAATAGAATAATGATTAATTAATGATTTTTTAATATGAAAATTATTAATCTTTTAGGAATAGAGAGTATCATTTTACGGAGATACATCAAAATTTTGGTAACTTAACAACATTTGAAGATTAACCTATTTAGTGAAAAAGTTAATTTTTTATTTTCTATATCGGATATCTCCAAAAACCTGATAAATTTTACTGTTTCCAAAAGCAAATTTATTATTTTATTTTTTTTACACTTATGATTGCCTGACTGGTATATATGAAATAAAAAAAAAAACGTTGTAAAATACAACTATGATAAGTTCAGTGTCCATTCGGAAAAAAATTGTTATTGTAGATTAAGATAAAAATTATACTTCGTTGCAGTTGCCATTCGGTTTGGCTTTTATTATACGCACCCACCCTTATTTATACCAATTCGATCTCATCTCATTTTGTCACCAGCACATCTCAAGTACACTACAATACAAGTCATCTTCTTAATCTTAACAAGACAATAATCAAAGAAGAAATAACAGTTTCAAATTTAAGTGTGTTCTAACACTCTACTCTATCTTCAGATGTCCGGGCTTTTCTTGTGTGGAAGAAAATGTTTAATTGATCAACGAAAAGCAGATTCTTCATCTCCTCCAATTGTTTCCGGCTTCTCTCCATTTCCAAATCCAATTTCTCGAAATGTACAATCCTATCTCGGATCTTCTTCATCTGTTAAGCCCAATTTTGTTTGTTCCAACATCAATCAAAATTGAGAATAACAATATAATCAAAAGTCTATGGGAAGTTGCAGATTGTTACTAACCTCAACTTCAACAGTCTCTTTGATTGCTACTTCTACCTCCTGCTCTTCCTTCTCGATCAGAGACTTCGCATCTGCCCAAGCTCTTTCAGAGTCGTTTCTAGTGGTTTCACCACTCGAAGCACCATTGGCCTCTGTATCAGAAAAAACAAAAATGTCACCATAGGGTTTGGCTTGGGACAGAAATGGACTGCAAATAGAGACAGCTAGGTGACTAGGTCTTTGATACCTTGTCGATTTGAGTCTCCGCTGGCATTTTTGTCAGCGTCGTAGTCTACATCAGATAAAGCTGTCACTGCCGCTCGAGCTGCTGCTTCTGCAACATTTGTGCCAGCCAAAGCTGAAAGAAAAGCAGCCTGTAGAGGACATGATAGGAGAAATATCATTCAGAGACGGCCAATGAAGCATAACAATTGAGATGTGATACAAGTAACACAGTACAAAATTATCTAATACATATTTGATTCCTAAATGCCTTTTTATATGTCAACTACAATTTGATATTACTAGAGTTCAAAAGGAACCCCACAAGGTATTCTAGCTTTAGGGTCTTTAAGAAGACATTTACACAAGTCATGGAATAGCCTAGTGCAGACACTGGACTATTCTTCAGTAGCCTAACAACGCAACAAATAAGATTAACATAGAGAATGAACGCAACTACTCAAATTGTAGTGTCTTTCAAACCTGAGCCATTATTGGGTTGCTTGCATCCGCAAGAGGCGTTAATTTCATCCGCTTATTGGGAGAAGAACAGTCTTTATCTATTCCTTCAGATTCAGGAATAGCAGAGCCCTTGATCTGATCAAACGCCTCTAAACCATCCTCAAAGTCAGACTCTTTTACAAACTGTTCCCCAAACGGAAGCTTGACAAACTGAGAAACACAATCCTTCTCGGTTCTACCAGTAACATGCGGTGCAACCTTCTTCCAATCATCTCCATAGTGCATAACAGCTTCCAGCAGAAGCAGAATTTCCTTTTCAGACCACTGTATCTTTGACTCCTCACTAATCTCAACTCGCTTAAACTCCGAGGAGTTAATACCAACTCGATAGTTACTACGGACATAGCACCTCGCACACAATGTCAAGTCATACTGAAAAGAAAAATGTACATAATTTCATAAGTGTAGGCTTTGATATTACCATACTCCAAGTGCCATCATTCTAAGTGACAAACTCAGAGAACGAAACTATTACTATGCCCACAAATTAGGAAATCAAACCTTATCACAGGCGAAACAAGCTATGCTGCAAATTGATTTGCAGCCATTGCAGATTCTCTTGGCAGTTTCTTTGACAGTAGTGGATGGCTCAGAAGCAGCATCTCCGACGGATTTTCCGGCCTCTTTTTCGTCCCACTTGAGCGGCTTAGCAGAGGCGGAGCTAGTATAGTTGATAAGCCCCCATGAGTCTAGGAAATCAAATACGCGACGAATAGAGACAACATCACTGACGAGAGTTCTCCGAACGTCAGTGAAGCTAATCTTCCGAGGATGGTCGTCTCTGTACTGCTTAATAATCGAATTCCTCAAGTAGAGGTAAAACTTAGGGTTTTTGGATGAAGATCTCGAATCGAAAAATTCCGGCAGTGAACGGACCTCGCAATCGTTGATGCCCGTCCACGAAAACCAACCTAATTGGTCAAATCGATTATACAAATACAAAATCCAGAAGAAACAGAGAAGAAACTAGAATAAAAGAGAAGGTTTCTCGGCGTTTGCAGACTTACGGGAGTAGCTAGGTACGTAGATAGTATCGATATCGGAAGAAGAAGACGGCGGTTGAGGCGACTGCAAAGCTGCGGCAACTCCAGACGTAGTTTCGGAAAGAGAGGGAGTATTTGGAAGAATTTCCCCAGATCCGCCGGAATCGGGAGCTTTCATGGCCATGACTCTCTCTGTTCAACTAACGCCACTTCGAAGGAAAAGAAAAAGAATCGTGTTATCGAGCGGGGCAAGTTAAAAAGTCGGATAGCTAAATGGGCCCGGTTTGGACCCTATTCCAGGTCCAACAAGGCCCAATTCCGTATCAGAGTCCGATCCAGATACAATACGTATAAGAAGATTACCTGGTTTTATCCGTAAAAACATACAACAGTAAGAAATTGGAACATTTTATGGAAAGAGTAACTGTAGAATGGTAATAAAAGTAATGGTATCTAAGATTAAGTACCAAAAACTCAGAAATTCATGATGGAAAATATGTTGCACAACTCTTATTATTGAGTAAAAGATGAAAGAGAGTGTGTGCGGATTGGAACACTTTTAACACATGGAGCCAAAACACTCTTATGCTCTTCTTTCCAAGTTTTCAGTCCACAAGCTTAGCTTTCCGGTAGCTCTCTACCGAATCCACAAGTGTTTCCTCCAACGCCTTGTAAGTCCAACCCAACTTCTGCAATTTCTCTGAACTCATCTTCACTCTTTCTTCCGCTTCGATGTATCTGACATTGGATAAGTAGAGGTAGAGCTTGGATCAAATTTAAGAAACTTCAAAACACTGATCTAGAAGGTAAGTGACATTTCTTATAGACAGCAATTTCTCAAAACAAAAATTGCAGACCAGCAAAAACAGTTTTTAAGGTTTATAAGTTTTTCACTCAAAAATTTGTCAAGGATGGTTTTGAGTGTACAAAATTAAGCAGAGAGATGTGTTGTTTGTTTTACTTACCTCTTTGGGTAGTTGTAATGTGGATAAAGACTCTTCAGCTTCTCAACCACTATTTGTTCTTTGACCGTGTGGGCTGTACATATGTATCTTCCTTCAGCTTCTGCTTTCTCATAAACCAAGAGTAAAGCTTGAGCCACATCACGCACATCTACCAAATGTCGTTCTTGGTTATCACGTGATTCAAAACCCTCTGCACCACACAAAAGTAAAATCAAGATACGAGATTCACCACACCATCTACCAAGCTGCTTCTGAGTTCTGACAATACCAGATGTGATAAGGCCTGTTTATACCTTTAAGAAGTTTGAGAAGAACCAGGCTACTAGCATTTACTGTGTGCTGCTGCAGTATAGGTCCCAAGACAAGGCTAGGGCAAACGCTGACAAGATCAAGTCCGGCTCGTTTTGCAAATTCAAAAGCTTCACTCTCTGCTCGTGTCTTTGCTAGACAATACCAATTCTGCCAGAGGAACTTAAAAATCAGCAAAAAAAAAATATATATATGTAAGATTTAACAAGTGAGATGAGTGATTGAGGATGCATTAACCTCAGTTTTCTTGCAATATTCCTGATCAGACCAACATGTCTCATCTAATACTTGATTCTTTGACCACACAGGGTTCATGAAAAGTGCAGCTACAGAGGAAACATACACAACACGCTTAACATTCGCTTCCACGCATGCCTTAAGCACATTCAGCGTGCCATCCACAGCAGGTGCGATCAATTCTACCTGCAAAACCAGTCAAAGCAGAGTGAGACAATGTTAAATAGCGCTAATGAGAGATCATAGTAGTGAATGAAATCCTCACCTCAGGATTTGGGACTGAAGCTGGTGGAACCGGACATGCAACATGGAAGACGCCGCTACAGCCTGCAATAGCAGATTGAAGAGAGCCGTAGTCCAACAAATCAGCCTTGAAGAGCTTGAGTTTGTCACCAGCTTTTTCGAGCTTCTTCAAATGAGCATACTTTTCATTATCTACAACAAGAACCAAGTAAAACTCTTCATCAGAACAACACTAAAAGAAGAGAATGATTTGGGAACCGCAAACAAAACTCAAAAGCTAAATCTTTTATCCTTATTGGAGAACAGAAACTAGCAAATCTAAACCCTTGAAAGTAGATGAAAAATTTCAACTCTGGGAACAGACTTTCTACTTCCACGCACATACAGGTGACAGGTCAACTAGAGATCGGAGTGAATAAAGGTGGAAAATTTACAGAGGAGGAGAGTAAAAGGAGAGGAGATTCAGTACCAGGGTCTCTGGACGAAGTAATCCCTAGAGAGGAGAAGATCGACGACCCACGAACCCAAAAACCCTCCTGCACCGGTTACACAAACCTTACCTTTGTGAACAACCGCCATTTTCGATCTCTTAATTGTTCCGAGCAAACAAGAAGGTTCTTACTAAAATCGGCTGAGAAGATGTTTTTTGATTTTTCTTCTTCCTTGTCCAAGTGCCAGGTGGGTATGCTACTGTTTGACCATCTGCCTCCACACTGACCACGCACCATCTCAGAATCTTACCTATTACAGTATTATTTTGGAATATCGCTGTCTTTAGTATTTTTTTCGTATATTGTAATATGTTTTCTCATCACCAATATATCCACTTCGATAGTCCTTTTTAAATATTTTATTTTGCTCAACTTTGTTTTTTAATATTTTTTGGTTCAAAGTTCAGCTTTTCAGATATCTGATCTATTTCAGATTACTGTTAACAACTTTGGGCTCTTGTAACATGTAATGCCTATCTTGTTTTTTTTTGGTTAATAAGACACATTATATTGTTGGTATTCTTTCGTATTGTTGTTTGTTTCATCGTTTCGTTTTTCTTTTATTGTATTTTTGTGTTCTGTAAAAAAAATAATCAAAAACGATATAAAATTTAACATTTTCCCCAAAAAAAAAAAAACACATTATACGAATTTAAATTTCAGTGGTAATACAATGAACTACTCCCTAGCATAAACTATGAAGTTATATGTTATGATCGTATCGGCTATATCTTATTTTAATACTCAAATAATCGAATTGTTAGTTAACGAAAACCTTCACTGTTGATTCTCTACTCATGAAAACGACATCAAGCCATAAAAGACCAATAAGTATAAGTTATAACCAAACCAATTTTCATTAAAAACATTCCCGAATGCTGCAAAAGTAATGAAAAGTGTACAAATATTAACAATCCAAAATCTTCTTGTTGTTAAGTTTTCTGACTTCAAACTTTTTATTTTTTCCATTTTTTATTCCACAGAATTTATTTTATTACCTACATATTCAAAGTCTATGGGCCAATGTTCTCCGGCCCACAATATATTAGAGCGGGTCTCCTAATGTTTACGTGGAGAAACTAGAGCCGCATGATGTGTCAATCACAAAACGAAAACAGATTAACCGTCTCGGCGACCGGTTTAGCCTTTGGCAGTGTTCACCAAGCAAATGCGAATCACATCAAATCGCTGCTTTTACTTTTCTATCAATTCCATATCGAATCATCATCAAAGTCAAGCAATCCTCAGAGAAGAGATCCAGAAGAACCCTAGACCAGTAGTATTGAGCATCAAATCAATGGCTAGTAGCTGGAGAAGATCAATAGGGAACGTGAGGTCTTTCATCGGAAATTCCATGGGAGGTCTTAGAGGAGGTCAGAGTGCCGCTTCTTGGGTCGTCGCCGGAACTATTGCCTACTTTCTCTGGATTAAGCCAGCTCAAGATCTTAAAAAGGAACAAGTGGTACCAATTTTGATTTTTCACATCCAAAAAGTTTGTGTTTTTCTATGGAATCTGTTAATTTCATTTCTTCTGTTGTCTCTGGTTTGATTTAGGCTCGGGCAGCTCTTGCAATGTCTGATCCAAACCAATACGTTGAGAAAAGGAAACCAATCGCTGATCCTCAGGTAAATTTCTAACAATTTATCGTCATTTGTGGATTCGTTGTTTCGAATATCAATGGTTTCTTTATGCTATATGTGCAGGTTACTGGTTTGATTTATGGAAACAAGAACAGAACTGATAAACCACAGGATTGAATTTTTCTGTAAGTTTGAAACATCTGGTTGTAAGTTAGCTTCTACAGTTTTGTTCCTATAGCTAAAGATCATGTATAGACACTATAGTTGTCACTTACAACGAATAAAAGATGGAAACTTTTTTTTCTTACCAAACCATCTGTGAAGGATTTTATGTGCATTGTGAGATTAAGAATGGATCTGAAAGTTCGTTTTGACTCCCACTTTCTATCATTTCATTTTTAGTTTGTTCAATTTGGCACCAATTGGCTTCATGGTTAGTAACTTTATGAAGTTTGCCGGTTTGTAACCGAGGCTGGAAACTTATGCATCGACTTGCATCATTTGAGGTCCTTGCAATTACTCTGTGGTTGGTTTATTCTACTATGGTTGTGTACCGCCACAAGGATGGGTGAATATCTCGTGTCATATTAGGAAAGTATGTCTGTCTTGTTCTTTAGTTCGATTGTCAATGGAAACCTTATTTTCCATATCATGTGATGGCGATTGACCTCTGTTTTTTTGTTGCGTATTGAATTTGAACTTCTTCCCTCAGACCCTTGTTTGGAGCAATATGCTTTAGTGTCCTTATCTTGGATGTTCTATGAATTGGTCAGATTGATTTGGTTTGTTCTGCTTTGCGTTCCTGGATTCATTCAGTTTAGTGTGCTTGTTGTTGAAGTCTTCTAACTAAATTTGTATCCATCGGAACCATATGTAATGCATTGCAAGTTCTTTGGTAAACCTTTCATGACTTTGGTATCCAAAAGCCATATCTATGCTCGTATACCAATCCCCGAAACATACTACATAAATTAGTCGGGTAATCTAGTTATCGTCAATTAGTTTTGAGTTTTCATCTCTTTTGTAATGAGAAAATCGTGGTGCCGGTTAGATTTTACAACAACATCATACCAAAACCAAATGAATCTCTTTCCTTCTAGGAACAACGCCAACTTAGAAGTTTGCAAATAGTTTGCAAATTGTAGAGAAGATTATTGGGTTATTTAGATCGACGACGGAGAACTGACTAAACCCTGTCGTTGATCAAAAAAGATCTGAGAAACCTATCGTAGCTTAAGGGGCATTTAGACAAATTTACTGGACAAATTTACTGACCTGGTCAACTTTCTAGAAAATTATGAAGATGTACCAAATTTTTCCTCGAACCCCACTTGTCATTTTCATTTTGACGGTAGGACCAATGAGAAAACGTTCGAAAAAGGTCAACACATACGACGCGTTTCTGTTGACTAAATAAGTCCTCGCCGTCTCCTTTGGTTCATCATCCATCATCCTCTTTGTTTAAATCAGGAGAAAGCTCACGAGAATCCCTCTTCAAATCAGAAACACCACAAAACATGGCTGCGCGTACACTCCACGCGCTCTCAGTCTCCACCTTATTCCTCCTCCTCCTCTTCTTCGCCGCATCACCAGCGAAAGCTCAGCAACCGTACGTCAACAACCACCAGCTCGCCTGCGAGGTCCGCGATTTCGACAACATAACCAACGGATTCACATGTAATGGCCCAATTTCTTGCCGCTCCTACCTCACTTTCTATTCTCAACCACCGTACAACACGGCGGACTCAATCGCCAAACTCTTAAACGTTTCTGCCGCAGAGATCCAATCAATCAACAAACTTCCCACCGTCACCACCAGAATCCGTACCCGTGACTTGGTCGTGATCCCAGCTAACTGCTCCTGCTCCTCCTCCTCCTCCTCCTCCGGAGGATTTTACCAGCACAACGCCACTTACAATCTCTCCGGCAACAGAGGGGAAGAGACTTATTTCTCGGTGGCTAACGATACTTACCAAGCTTTGTCCACGTGTCAAGCCATGATGTCACAGAACCGTTACGGCGAGAAAGAACTAACCCCCGGATTAAACCTCCTTGTTCCTCTCCGGTGTGCTTGCCCCACCGCGAAACAAACCGCCGCCGGTTTTAAATATCTCTTGACTTACTTAGTCGCCAGGGGAGATAGTATCTCCGTCATCGCCGATAGGTTCAATAGCACAACCGCTGCTATAACCGAAGGTAACGAGCTTACATCAGAAGACACTATCTACTTCTTCACGCCGGTTCTTGTTCCTCTCAGAACTGAACCTACCAAAATCGTTATATCTCCGTCGCCTCCTCCTCCACCTGTTATTGCTACGCCGCCTCAAACGCCGGTGGATCCTCCGGGATCTTCTTCTTCTTCTCACAAATCGATTTACATCGGCATTGGAATCGGAGCTGGTTTGCTTCTCTTAATCTCTATCTTAGCTCTCTGCTTCTACAAACGAAGGTCTAAGAACAAATCATCGTCGTCGTCGTTACCGGAGGAGAATAAGCTCTTTGATTCATCTACCAAACAATCTATTCCCACAACAACGACTCAATGGTCAATAGATTTATCCAATTCATCAGAAGCTTTCGGTCTGAAATCCGCCATAGAATCTCTAACACTATACAGATTCAACGATCTTCAATCCGCTACTTCGAATTTCAGCGACGAAAACAGAATCAAAGGCTCTGTTTATCGCGCGACGATCAACGGAGATGATGCGGCTGTTAAAGTGATCAAAGGAGATGTTTCTTCCTCTGAGATCAACCTTTTGAAGAAGCTAAATCATTCTAATATCATCCGTCTCTCCGGTTTCTGTATCCGCGAAGGAACCTCGTACCTCGTCTTCGAGTATTCGGAGAATGGATCGATCAGTGATTGGCTTCACTCATCGGATAAGAAAGTTCTGACATGGAAACAGAGAGTTGAAATAGCTAGGGATGTAGCAGAGGCATTAGACTATCTTCATAACTACATAACTCCACCTCATATCCACAAGAACTTGGAATCCACAAACATACTTCTTGATTCTAATTTCAGAGCCAAGATTGCGAATTTCGGGGTTGCGAGGATTCTTGATGAAGGTGATCTTGATCTTCAGTTAACAAGACATGTTGAAGGAACACAAGGCTACTTAGCTCCAGAGTATGTGGAGAATGGAGTCATTACTCCGAAACTTGATGTGTTTGCTTTTGGAGTTGTGGTTCTTGAGCTTCTTTCAGGGAGAGAAGCAGTGACAATACATAAGAAGAAAGAGAAGGAAGAAGAAGAAGAAGTGGAGATGTTGTGTAAAGTGATAAACAATGTGCTTGGAGGAGAGAATGTGAGAGAGAAGTTAAAAGAGTTCATGGATCCATCTCTAGGAAATGAGTATCCGTTGGAGCTGGCTTACACCATGGCTCAGCTTGCTAAGAGCTGCGTCGCAACTGATCTTAACTCGCGCCCATCTGTCACTCAGGTTCTAACCACGCTTTCGATGATCGTCTCCTCCTCCATCGATTGGGAGCCTTCTGATGACCTTCTTCGTTCGGGCTCTCTTGGCAACTAGTTTAGTTTTTTTTTTCTTATTGGTAGTCAATAAGTATTTAGATTTTAGATAAGGACCATAAGGCTAAAACGTTGAGATCAAATAAGTACCACACTGTGAAACAAAGTAATAAGAAGATATCATAGAGAAACTTTATTTAGATCTTGGCATGTTATTTCAGTAGTCTTTTGTACTACAGTAGAATCTTAAGGAGAAACAGAACCAAAATGATACAAGTAAACAAAAACAACAATACCACTACACATAAAATGCTTATCAGAGAGAATCATATCCTAAGATTGGATTATGTTATCTGGTTATGATAATTTCATCTAAATCAAAACAAGAAATTTTTTATGTATAATCATAGTCACACCAGAAGGGACAAAGAATCTAATTTGTTCCTTTTCAGACTTTAGAAACATTAGAACTTCTAAGCATATGGCTTGCCTATTGAATCTCAATGACAACTATGCCCAGATCAAATCTAGGAATTAGCTTATTTGCTTTCAATAATTATATATTATTATTATACAATTCCAACTAGCTTGCTATCATCGAATGAATCAATCATCAATGATTTTAATTAAAGTCTTTAGCTAAATCAATTATTTTGCATTACGAAAAAAGAGAATAACCAAGGAAATTTCGTATGATGTCCAAAGTCTTGATTAACTCTGATTTCTATTTAGTTCAATACACAACAAAAGAAAACACAACTAATTAAAAAAATATTGATTAAAGTCATTAATGAAATAGTAAAACAGAACGAAAAATGATACAAGTAAACAGAAACAACTATACCTTTATAGACAAAATGCTTATCAGAGAGATTACAGTTATATTCTGGTCATGAGAAATTCTTCACATCGGTCCCAAGTTTTTTCTGCTCAAACTCTTTAATCGTCTTCACTAGCTTCTTCATGTTGTCATCATACACATACGGAAGCTTATTGTACAATGTCACCTTCTTCTTGGCTGAATTTGGTAACATCTCTCTGCAAAGCTCCTCATGCACAGTTATGGTGTTGTGGTAATGGTAATAACGGATCTTTGTCTCTGTCTTGTGTAGTGTTTTGCCTACTATGTTTTCAGACATGTGAACTCCTGTCGCAAATGCATTCTTCGCTTGGATCGCATATTTCCTATCACGTCGTATGTTTGTTCTTGAATCCTTAAACACCAACTTCTCAAATCCCCATTGCCTGAACAAAAACAAGAAACAAGTGTGTTCCTTTTCATCACCTTTATATCCGGAAACATCAAGAATTGAATCAAAGTGAAAGCTAATTGCTAGATTCGATCATAATAGTATCATCTAAGCTAGAGACAGAACAATGCTCATAAGCCATCACTAAACTTGTTGATTCCAAATTGCATTATAAGACTTTTGAGGTTGAAGCTAGTACCTGGGATAATCTTGAGAGGAGTCATTTAAGCAAAGAACACTAGACATTGGATTCTGCTCAATCGTAAACTGCGTGTTAACCGAGAACTCGTCGAGCACAGATTCAAGTGTATTCCCATGCGGCAGATATATGTACTCATCAACATCAAAGAAGAAGGTCCAATTCGCAGCATATCGATACCGATGCAAACAATCATTAACAATAAGAAACTGATTATAGTAGTAACCATCATACTGCGACTGATCCCTAATATTCTGAACCGTGACCCTCCCGGCTCGAATCCAAGGCTCAAGAACCTTCCTAACTTCCGGCGACACTCCACCAGCATCGTGGAAAACAAAATGCGATTTGTCACCAAAGAACCAAGCGTGGTAAGCCATCCACTCTCTCATACGCGACGAGCTCACGTTTCCGTACAGAGACGAGCCACAGTAGAGGTAATCGTACTGATACGGCGGCGAGTATTTCGATTCGTCGTAGATTCCAGCTGATTCCTCTAAAGTAGTGAATCGTTCAAAGAGTTTCGGAGATTCGTTGTAGTAAGCGTTGAGAATGAGTTTACCTCCGGTGTTATCGGAGTTAGGGTTTGAATTGAAAGTGCAATTGACGACGACGACGGTGTAGACTCGTCCATAGCCCCAATCTGGTAAAATCTTCTGTGCTTTAGCTCGAATCGAAGTTCCATTGTTAGATATCCACTCACACTTGTACCATGGCTTCCCGAAAACGTGGATTGGTTTTGACGCGAGTCCGATAACGGAAAACGTCGCTGGACCGCCGCGGTAAGCTCCCATTAGTACGAATAACGCCGCCGCGTTTCCGAACGCTTGGAAAACGCGTTTGTTCGGATCTGAGGGAGTTGAATCGTACTTCTGAGAAGCAGCAGCAGTTGTGGTTGAGAGAGAGGTGGTGAAATTCGCCGCCGCTGTGAAGTTCGATGAGGAAAGTATGGTGGTGGTGGTGGTGGTGACGGCGGAGCAGGGACGAGCGGTGGAGATGAGGTTGTGGTAGTAAGGAGGAAGGTTCCAGATAATCATGACGAGAGAGAGAGCTAGTAATGTAGCAATTAATGGCTTCTTCTCGAAACACACTGTGGTGGTTGATAGCACCGGCGGCAAAACTTCCTTCCTCATGTTCTTTTTCCCGGCGACGGTGAGTTACAAAACGCACCGTTTCGTTTCGGTTCGGTTCAATAACTTTAAAATAATTTAAAAGGAGTGACGACAAGCGTCAGAGAGAAGTGACGAGAGGCTTTTGCCGACACGGTGTGTTGAAAAAGAAGAGACTCGTGGCTGTCTCTCACATATGATGTGGTGGTAGAGGTTGTTATGTGTATAGGAATAGGAGAGTGGGCTTGGATCTGTTATGATTTACGAAAAAGACATTGCATCTAACTTATAAAGTTGGATCAAGTCTGTTTTATGTATTGCTGGCTCCCATTTGGCAGCATGGTGGGGACACATGGTCCTTTGGCCAAGTTGGCGTAACGGTGCAGCTTAACTTGATGATGTTTTATTTATTTAGTTTTCTGGTTAGAAATCGAATGAGTTTGGGCGAATAAACGGAAAGGGTAAAATGCGAATAGACTCGTTAAAGAGTTTGTGAATTCCCAGCAAAAAGACAAAGTGTCTTCCAAAATTCCTTTGAATATGTCTTCCAAAATTCCTGGAAAAAAAGACAGTCTAAATTGAATGGTGTAGAGGATAGTGCTAAATCTATAAACATAAGCATAGTCATGATCTCTTACGTAAGAGCGCTCAGTTTTGCGCACAAGTCACAACATTGAACAACGTCTAATTTGATGTATTTGATTAGACAACCAATCTACTATACATTTTTGCAGCAGTTTTTGGGGTACCCAAATCGGGTCAAATTTGTTTAATTTTGACCCGGAAATCTTCAATCAGATCTTTCCTTAAATTTTGGCAAAATTAAAAAACGAAAATAATTAATAAAATCTAAAATATATATACTTTCTCAACTAATTACTATATTTAAACGCTTTATTTATGATATATTCTCCACAATTTTTATAGATAAAGAAATCAAATATGATGATTTAATGCTAATATAACAAATTTGCACTAATTTCCTAAAACCTCTCTACCTAATTTAAACATAAATATATGATTCTTATTTCACTTTTATTTGATCTTATATTTATATTATTTTAAATTTTATAAAATATATAAATAGTTAGTAAATTTTAGTTTTTTTTTTTTCTGCATATGTTACAATTCAAATTTTTTAAAACGGACATATATTACTCAATCGATGAATAAAAATATGTGTGTAATCTATATTAACATTTTTAAGAACAAATTGAGCATTTAATCATGTCGTTATTTTATTCAGACCCGAAATTGAGTCATTCGGATCTTTCTTTAATTTTTACAATTATCTAAAATAGGACAGTATATCACGGGTGAAATCCTAATTAGTATTTTAAGATACAATTATAAATTGTTTTTACTGGTTGGTCCAAAAACACACACTAATTTAAAAATATACATGGAAACTATTTGAAAGCAACTTTCAAATTAACTCGAATTATATGACATTTAAATAAAAGTGTTATTAAAAAAATAACAAAATGATGTTTAATTTCATTTTAGATTATATGGTTGGACGGGTTTGGGTCAATATTAATACGAGACAATATACCACAGGTGAAATCCTATAAATAACAAATCAAAATACAATTATACAATCTTAAACACTAAACAAAACAAATACAACTTAAAATTTTTTATTTTAGATACAACGCATGTGACCCGCGGTATACAACAAAAAATATTATACACAATAAATTCATCAATTTATAAAAATAAAAAAATCAAATAATTAACCCGCGGTGTACCACGGGTCATATCCTAGTTGTTTAACATAATAGTCGCGATATATGCATATCTTTTAAATGTAATGCTTTAGAATATATCATGTGCATTAACCCCTGAATTAAAAACATGATGTGTTCTTCCAGTTATGGAACTCTTAAGCGTACGGCAAATGGCTTTTAGTTTTAGACTTTAGTAATAACAAATTAACAAGCATATGCAAATTGAATGCGAATACGATTGCATGCATTTAAGACTTGTTTTTTTTTTTTACTAACTTAAACGTCAATAAAGGAGATCATGTGTGTCACATTCCCAAACTGAAGGATACCATAAATATCGATCTTATTTTATTTTTCTTCATTTCATTTTTTATTTCCTCCATCAACTGTTTTATTGTAATTTTCCTTTGGAATGAAATCTTCACATTAAACCAAAAAAAAAAAAAAAACTGTTTTATTGTCGGTGGAAGTTGTTACAGTTAAAAAAAAAAAAAAACAGATTTTCTGCTACTATAATCTTCAGTACATTTTGTTTGGTAATTCATAATTGAGCACACTGAGTTTAACGTGTAACGCAATCCCTTGTGGAACCGACACAGAGAATCTTGTGGAGGAACTGTTTTTAGCTTCCAAGTCAAAAAGTGAATCATGCTCGTCATTTAAAGAAGGTAAAAAAAGAGTACACCTTCTCTTTTATCTTTGGCTTTGGCTTTGATTGTTATTATCCAAATTCCAAAAGACCAAAACCATCTAGTTTAGAATCAAAATAAAATAGTAAAAATATAATAATCCAGAGTTATTTTGTTCAGCCATATTCTGTTATTTCATTTACTTCCTCTCAGTGTAATTTTCCTTCTATTGTCGATTATTATTAAGGAAAATTTGCAAAACTGACGCACAAAAAAACATAAATTAAGTAACCAGCAGTTTTCCAAAAAACGAGTTGATATATGTTGTATTTTATGTATATGGGACAATTTTACCCTTTATTGTGATTGACGCTCTTCTCAGTTTTCCCATCTCTGCTGCAAATGTTGCATCTCTCTGTCACAGCCGGCACCGGAATTTTGTCACAGCCGCCACCGGATTTACGTCACAACCACCGACGGATCTTCGTCGTAACCACCGCCAAATCTCTTCCTTATTATGAAATGATCTCTTCTCTACTTCTCTCTCACTGGTGAATCTCTACTTTCTTCTCCCCCTCCGATGTATCTCTCTCCCGATATCCGTCTGTGGATCTCCTTTTCTATTTCGCCTTATCACCGATCCTCCTCCTCCCTGATGTCCACTGGCTTCTCTATCTTCTCAATTTTGCAAACGTAAATACAAGGGCATTTTAGTCCAAACCCAATTAACATAGTTACTTGCTGAATTATGGATATTAGATAGGTATAAGTTTAATTTTGGGTACAAAATTGGTTATTGAGCTAATTCACCCTATTTTTAACTCTAACTAACTAGTAATCATTTTAAATAGGAGTGACCTTCAGTTATCTGTATGAATTTCAATTTTTTTTTTAATTCCAGAAAATAGGTCTATTGAAGACAAAATTTGGTTTTGTTTTGGACAAGCTAATTATTTGATGACATGTATTAACTTTTAGTCCATTTCGGCTAAACGGCTCGGTTTTATAGAATTCGGGGTTCGGTTCGAATTCTTCGGCGTAAAATGGATTATTTTAATAAGATTCGATTCAAATTCGGTTTGATGAATTTCGGTTCGGTGTGGTAATTATCGACGCCACTTTTAATGGGTTCAATAAAAGGAAAACGGCTCCGCCATAAATAAAATAAAAAAGAATGTCCAGGCCCATCAAAGTTAGGCCCACCAAAAGCGTGACTGTGCGCGTATATCAACGAAGCTCTCTCTAATGAGTAACTAACGGCTATATTCCCTTGAATTTCAAAATTTTCTCAAGTCCAGCGAAGAAACGACGATGGCCACCGAAGCGAGGGTTCAGATCTCAGATCCAGAGTCAGACTTTCTGAACTCGAAGCAGGAGACTGGTTACGAGTGGGAGCTTTTCAAGGAGAACGTCCGGCCATTGAAGAGAGGTCGCAATGTTGGTATTCTCAACCACGCTCTCAAATCTCACTCCGACCACCAATTGAGGAAGAATCTCGTCGAGAAACGAAGGTATTGCTTTCAATTTCACGTCTTTGCTCTTGGGTTTTAGTCCAATCGCTCGATTCTTGTTTAATTTTGTGCTGTTTTTGTGAATTAGGAATTTGATTGAAGCCATTGATGAGTATGATGGAGACGACCCTTTGTTTCCATGGATTGAGTGAGTTCCTTTATCTTTCTTGATTGGGTTGTTGAAAAACTGAAACTTTTTGTGCCGATTTCTTGAAGCAATCTTTATGATGTACCAATTTGTAAACTTGAGCTTCTTGCTTGGTTTCATTGGAAGGTGTATAAAATGGGTACAAGAGGCTTTTCCACCAGGAGGAGAATGCTCAGGACTGTTAGTGATATATGAGCAGTGTGTTCGCAAGTTTTGGCACTCTGAACGTTACAAGGATGATCTTCGTTATCTCAAAGTCTGGTTGGAATATGTAATGAGTCTATCTTTAAACCCTCTAAATCATTCCTTCAAGATTGTTCTTTGTTATGGAGAGTACTCATAGTTTTTTTTTGTATTTTTTGAAGGCGGAGCATTGCGCTGATGCGGAAGTGATTTACAAGTTTTTGGAGGTCAATGAGATTGGAAAGACACATGCTGTCTACTACATAGCTTATGCTTTGCACATGGAGTTTAAGAATAAGGTGAAAACTGCTAATGAGATCTTCAATCTCGGAATCTCTAGGTAAATGAACAGACATGTAATCATATTTCATGTTTCTGCTCCAAGTTAAATGGTCTGATTGAAAAGTGGTAACTTGTGCAGAAATGCAAAGCCAGTGGAAAAGTTGAATGATGCGTACAAGAAGTTCATGGTGAGAACGATGAGAAGGTCCAACACAGCTGGTGAAGTAAGAAGTTGTTCTCTGTTTGTAACTGTATATCTATGCATTACGCTCTTAGGTTTTTCACATCATAATTTATGTTCCATTTACCAGCAGGAACCAAAGGAGAATAATGACTTACCGTCAAGAAGCTTTGGCACTTTATTGTCCAGGGGAGATAACAGTGAGTCACATTAACTTTTACTTGAGAATAGCTAAAATGTTTTGATAAGCTCTCTTACATTAGAATGTTTCTATAGATGCAAGAAGGCAGGCGTTAGGAAGTTCTAACCCACAAGCCAAAAAACTAAAGCCAAATCAGTAAGTAGTTTGATTAATGTTTTGTATTTTGCGCTTCCGTTGCCTTTTTGGCATATATAAACTTCACCAAAACTCTACATATGTTGTGCAACTCATTATTGTAAGCCCTTTGTCTTTTGCAGCTCATCCAAGACACCTTTTCCTATCTACACAGATGCAGTTTCAGACACTACATCAGGGAATCAACCAGAGTCAGACAAGTCAAAACCAGAGTTTG